CCCATGTGGGTACAGTGCCCCAAGGACTTGGGCTATCTTCCACTGCTCTCTCATGCCATAGCAGAGAGCTGGATTGGAACTGGAGCAGCCGGGACTCAAACCGGCGCCCATATGGGGTGCAAGCACCCCAGGCGGAGGATTAACCTACTGTGCCATGGCGCCAGCCCCAGCCCAGATTTCTTAAAATTTTTATCTGGAAGCTTGCTGACCACCATGGCTTTTTAAGTTAATTGTTTGATACTACTTATTTTGTTTTGAAACAGGAAATCCTGCAGAAGAAACCCAGTAGTCTCCCTTATTTCAGGAATATTTTTGTTAGAATCACTATAAATTCATCATTATACATTATTGTAATTAAATCTTTTAAACAAGGAGAAACTTTCAAATAAGCTTCCCAACTTATACATTATACAAATGAGAGAAAATATCCTAAGGCATTAAGTGATTAATACAAGGTCAATATTAATAAATGACCTGGGATCTCTTACTTTGGTTTTCTGACTCTTAAGTCCATTCTAAGGTATTAGTTTCTGATTGTATTACTAGTTTTCTTATTGTATTACATAATGTCACTTTTTAGTCAGTAGAAAAATAAATTTTTTATACATTAAATACAGGAGAATTACAGGTTTTAGTGATACACAAACATTTTATGGACATGGTTGTTACCTTTCCTGAAACATAAAAATGTATGAAGTTTTGTGAAAACTTAAGTCTCCATATGTATGTGTGTGGTGGTACAGATTTCCATGATTGCTTTCTTTTAACTTTTTATTGTTAGTAATGAATGAATCTTTTTTTTTAAAGACTTATTTTTATTTATTTGAAAGACAGTTATAGAGAGAGAGAGAGAGGTCCTCTATTCCGTTGGTTCACTCCCCAAATGACCACAATTGATCCAAAGCCAGGAGCTTCTTCCAGGTCTCCCATGTGGCACAGGGGCCCAAGGAGTTGGGCCATCTTCCACTGCTTTACCAGGCCACAGCAGAGAGCTGGCTCAGAGTGGAGCAGCCAGGACACAAACCAGTGCCCATGTGGGCCGCCAGCACCGCAGGCTGGTGCTTTAACCCGCTGCACCACAGCGCCAGCTCCAAATCTTTTATTTTGTATTTTACATTTGTATAGTTTCTAAACAGTTTTGCTGTTTAAACACGTAGGCCCATATTAAACATTGTCAGGCAATTAAGCTGAAAGTATCATAAACAATTTGTGAATCAGATGGAAAACCTTAAGCTGACTGCTAAAGTTTCCGAGCCTTCTTTTTGCATAGATCCAATAACCAGTCTATGAATGAATTTACTGTTTGTGTAAAGCCTTCTGAACTAGGCAAAATGAGTTTTCTCATACCATTAAGTACTTACAACATGACTCAGTGTAACGTACATTTTTTTAAGATTTATTTATTTATTTGAAAGGCAGAGTTAGAATTGCATAGGGAGAGAGAGAGAGAGAGAGAGAGAGAGAGAGAGAGAGAGAGAGACATCATCCATCTGCTAGTTCGCTCCCCAATGGCCTCAGCAGCCAGAGCTGGGTGAACTGAAGTCAGGATCCAGGAGCTTCTTCTGGATCTCTCACATGTATGCAGGACTTGGGCTGTCTTCTACTGCCTTCTCAGGTGCATTAGCAGGGAACTGGATGCGAAGTGGAGCAGCCAGGACTTGAACCATCCCCATATGGGTTGCCAGCACTGCAGGCAGCAGCTTTACCTGCTATACCACAGCACCGGCTCCTGAATCATACATTTAACTTTAAACATGTAACTGCTATTTTGCTTTACAGTACTTTGAAGATGTTGTTTGAATTAATGTAAAAATCTTCTGAAGCACTAGAAGATATTTGAATTAATGAGAAGAAAAAAAACCCCACAGTATGTTTTTAGTATCAAGAAAAGGAATTTCAAATCATTACACGATTTATAGAATTCTGCCAAAATCTTGGTTTTTCCATTTCTTAGGGTAGGTTTATAGAAATACAGGGACTTGTTTAAGGAGTAGGAACTTTAAAGATTCTGCATACAGATTACTATATTTCTTTCTAGATAGACTTTAATCATCTTTAATTTCATCATCTTTGAGCTGTCCTGTTTCCCAGCAACTAGGTTATATGGCTTATTTGTACTCTTTAGATCTTAGTTGATAATAATGATGCCATTTTCATTTAAGTCCCTGCTAGATGCCAGATGTGCTAATAAACTAGCATGAGTTATTTAATTTAATATTTACAGTTACAAGATGAACTATTCCCATTTTTGAGAAAACAAGGTTGGAGAAATTAATTAGCGTTCCTTTAACATCTCACTGGTAGTAAATAGCATAATCAAGATTCAAACCAAGTCCAAAGCCTGTACAAGGATACTTTAGAAAGTTAGTGGAAATGCAATTAAAAGATAAGTTTGTTTTGGTGCAGCAATATTGTAAGTCCATGCATAATCTTTTTCTTTTTAAGACCCCTTACATTGTATACACTGCTATCACTCTATTTGTCATGCTTATTTATTTATTTTGAAAGTAAGAGTTGTATAGAGAGAGGGAGAGACAAGGGAAAGGGATGGGGGTCTTCCATCTACTGATTCACTCCCCTAGATGGCTGTAATGGCCAGCGCTAAGTCAGCTTGAAGCTAGGAACCAGTAGCATTTATTTATTTGTTTTGTATTCGTTCATTCATTCGTTCATTCATTTTTTAAGGAATACAAATCTCATAAGTACAACTTTAGGAGTATAGTTATTCTCACCATACCCACCCTCCCACTTATACTCCCACTCCTCCCCCTATTACCTCTCCCCTTCCCAGTCCCATTCTCCATTAAGATTAATTTTCAGTTAACATTGTTAATTGAAGACCTGCTCTATACTAAGTAAAGATTTCAACAATTTGCCCCCCCCCACACACAGAAACTGTTTTTGAGATCTAGTTTTACAGCTAATTCTCATAATACAACTCATTGAAAACAGAGGTCCTGCATAGGGAGTTGGTGCACAGTGACTCCTGTTGTTAATTTAACAAGTAACACTCTTAAGTGTGATGTCAGTGACCACCTGAGGCCCTGGACATGATCTGCCTAGGCTATGGAAGCCTTTTGAATCCATAAACTCCATCAATATTTAGACAAGGCCATAAGCAAAGTGGAAGTTCTCTCCTTCCTTTAGAGAAAAGTACATCCTTCTTTTTTTTTTTTATTTTTTATTTATTTATTTATTTTTTTTTGACAGGCAGAGTGGACAGTGAGAGAGAGAGACAGAGAGAGAAAGGTCTTCCTTTTGCCGTTGGTTCACCCTCCAATGGCCGCCGCTGCAGCCGGCGCACCGCGCTGATCCGATGGCAGGAGCCAGGAGCCAGGTGCTTTTCCTGGTCTCCCATGGGGTGCAGGGCCCAAGCACCTGGGCCATCCTCCACTGCACTCCCTGGCCATAGCAGAGAGCTGGCCTGGAAGAGGGGCAACCGGGACAGAATCCGGCGCCCCGACCGGGACTAGAGCCCGGTGTGCCGGCGCCGCAAGGTGGAGGATTAGCCTAGTGAGCCACGGCGCCGGCCAGTACATCCTTCTTTGATGGCCACTTCTTTCCACTGAGGTCTCACAGAGACCCTTCATGTAGAACATTTTTTGCCACAGTGTGTTGGCTTTCCATGCCTGAAATGCTCTCATGGGCTTTTCAGGCAGACTTGGAAGCCTTAAGGGCTGATTCTGAGGTCAAAGTGCTACTTAAAGCAATTGTCATTCTATGGACTGCTTCCCATGTTGGAACATTCTCTCCTTTTTAATTCTATCTATTATTATTTTCAGACACTTGATCCTATTTATATGATCACTTTAACACTTTATCTATGTTCATTTTAACACTTAATATGATCACCTTAACACTTAAGATGGCATTTTTACCAGCTAGTTTAATGGGATTTGGGGTTCCATGACAAGTTTTAAACTGTACCCTTAGAAGTAAGTCCATAGAAATGTATGCAGAACTAGACAGTATTACAGTTAGAAACTTCCTCCTCCTTCTCTTATTCCCACTCTTACTATTTTTTTACTGAGATCTATTTTCAGTTGACTTTATACACAAATGATTAACTCTGTGTTAAGGAACCAGCAGCTTTTTCCAGGTCTCCCATGTCAATGGCAGGGACCCAAGCACTTCCACTACTTTTCCCAGGCCATTAGCAGGGAGCTGGAGTGAAAGTGGAACAGCTGAGATTTGAACTGGTGCCCTTATGGGATGCTAGCATCACAGGCAGTGGCTTTACCTGCTACTCCACAATGCTGGCCCCTCTGTTTTATTTTATATTAGATTATTTCACAGTGTAACTGAACTTTTGGTTTCTCATTTCTGAAATATTAGACCTCCTTAAGAACTTCTTAAGTGCTGTTAATAAGCTTCTCTACCCATCTTTCTCTCCCTTTTACTCTTTCTCTCTCTTTTTTTTTTGAATTGTTTTTCCCTTACACAAAGTGTGGCCAAGATTAAGGCCTTTTGGGATGCTGATTGATTGTTTTATTTCATGCAGAAGCAGGTAATCCCCAGAAAACAAATACTTCTTGACTTTGGAGACTACTAATGTTTTAATGAAATGTGCTTGCTGAGCACTGGCATTCCTTGTAGCATACTTGAAACTCTGAGAAGTATTTTTGGAAAGAAAATCTTTTTAAAGTTGGTTTAAGGCCATTTCACAAACTTACTTGACTGAACCCATACTGTGCATTATTTGATACAGTATCTTTAGTCTATTTCAGTAGAAGCTTTATGTCTTTTCTGTGAGGCCTCTCTGCTAATTCTGTAATAATTTAGTAATATTAACTAATTCTAATCAATTACATAGTATATAAAACTAATATTATTTTGTAATCCCAAAGCAACTAATCTTCAGTTTCTGAAAGTGGTATACTTCTCAAGTGGCTTTTAAAATTTATTCTCAAGAGGCATGGAAATCCATCTAAGCTTCGTTCCTGCTTATAGGTAAAAATTTAATGTTCTGTCTCTCTTATTCTTGTCTCTGTTTTTAACAGCTATTTTTAAATGCTAGCAATAAGGTGGCAGACAAGAACCAGAAAGACCTTGCCAACAAATTACTGACAGAAATGAATGAGGACCAGGTATCTACAAAGCCTGCATCTTGTTTCAGCTGAAGTTCAAAATCAGTCAATGAGAGCACCTATTCCTGTACTTTTCGTCTTCTCTTAAAATATACAAATGTTATTTAGCTGTAATATTCATTATTTTTTGAAATAATTCAGAAATTAAAAATTCCTTTTATCTTAAGGACAAATAACTTTATGGTTGATATAAGCGATCAGCAGGATTCCATCTGTGTGTGTGTGTGTGCTCTTTTCAGTTTAAGGAGATATGAAGTACAGGAATGGCATGCCAAGATCAATGCTGTTCACCTGGTGGTGACCCCGTATTTTGGGAGCTTCCTTCTCTAAGCACTGTGGTGTATTGGGGTCTCAGGGCTTTGTGAAAATGTATGGTTGTTGTTAACATCTTGATTCTTTGCTTCTTATTGACAAGCAATGATTATAATTCAGTGGACAACTGGAATCCTGGAGGAAGGGAAATTAACTCCTCAAGGGTTAATTTAGGATAAAATTTGATAGTTTTCTGTTGCAAAAGTTCAACTCCAGATGGATATAATAAGCCCAAATATGTCATTTATGTTCTCATAATACATTAGGTAAATTTTGTTGTAGAAAAATTGCTACATATAAAATTGCTTTATTTTTCTTTCTTAATATGTTTGTGAGAATTCTCACATGATCTCTTTTGTTAACATTATTTTAATGTCTGGATTTGAAAATAAGAGTTGTATAAAAAGAAGCATTATAATTATTATTTTCTATTCTGGATGTCAAGTATCAGATTACAGAGTACTGTGTTATTTCAGATTTCTTCGAAAGTGTTAGTCCCTCTGAAGGACTACTTATATACATTAATAAAACAATTTTAATAGTCTCTTAGAAGCTTATGTTACAATTCAACATTGTAGGTGAAATGAAGTTTTTTTTCTTGCTCTCCTGGGTGAAGTGTAGCACAGATCTTATTTGTGTGGAATTCTGCTGTATGCAGAATGTTTACACCATTTTATTATTTATTACCTTTATTATATGTTAATTCTATGTAATTTTGTTTATTTTTTTAAGATTTATTTTTTTGAGAAGCAGAGAGAGAGGTCTTCCATCCGCTGGTTCAATCCCTAAATGGCTACAAGGGCTGGAACTGAGCCAGTCTGAAGCCAGGAGCCAGGAACTTCTTCCATATCTCCCATATGAGTGCAGGGACCCAAGTACTTGGGCCATCTTCCCACCGTTTCCCAGGCCATTAGCAGGGAACTGGATTGGAAGTGGAACAGCACAGGTGGAGGCTTAGCCTACTAAGCCACTGTGCCGGCCTCATAATTTTGTTTCACAACATCAACAAAAACCAAAATTCTAGAGTAAATGATTTTCCTAAAAGTGGAGAGCTAAGCTCAGCACTACTAGGATCTAAGCAGTTCTCTTTGTACTCAATTCTTTTGCTGGAATGACTTTGCTTCAGATCATAGTATATATGAGAATTCTTGAAAGGAAATTTTTAGAACTATTTTTTTTTAATTTTTTTTTTATTTTTTGACAGGCAGAGTGGACAGACTGTGGACAGACAGTGAGAGAGAGAGAGACAGAGAGAAAGTCTTCCTTTTTCTGTTGGTTCACCCCACAATGGCTGCTTGCAGCTGGCGCGCTGCGGCCGGCACACCGTGCTGATTCGAAGCCAGGAGCCAGGTGCTTCCCCTGGTTTCCCATGCAGGTGCAGGGCCCAAGCACTTGGGCCATCCTTCATTGCCTTCCCGGGCCACAGCAGAGATTTGGACTGGAAGAGGAGCAACCAGGACAGAACCGGCGCCCCAACCGGGACTAGAACCTGGTGTGCCGGCGCCACAGGCGGAGGATTAGCCTATTAAGCCACGGTGCTGGCCAGAACTATTTGTTTTTACAACATTCTGGTCCTTGTTTTGTTTCATAGTGACTGACCCTAGTATGGGTATAATAGTCATGTTCATTTTTTTAATACTGTTGCTGTTAGTTTTTTATTTTTTTCTATGAATGTACTACCCTGAAATTTAACACATTGGACAATATTAGACAAAATAGAGCTAGTTTTTATTTTCTGTAACAGCTTTTGGCATTAAAGGTTGCCTTCTCAAGAAGGATGACAGTGTTCATAGATATGTATTTCATTTTCTGTATCTGCCTCAAATTTTCCATTTTATAGGAAAATAGGTATACCTTATCATTTCTAAATATTAAGATTAATTGGAGTCTATACCGAGCACTTCACTTTTAACCTAAGGTTTGGAAACTTCAGCGCACAAGATTATTTTAGCTATCTTTTATGCGTGCTAATGGATTGAAACTTTAAAAGTTCAAGTATATTTTTAAAAATAAATTAAAATAGAATTTCCAGTTACAGACTTCCCTCCCTTCCTCTAGAGATTGTCCATTGTTTTCAAAAAGCATGTATTAAGCTTGATGTTTTCTCCTCAAAACTTTTCAATATAATGAGTGAAGGTGCCCTTACCGTGACTTATTTTCTGTTAAGTAGGTAACTTCTTTTGCAGGTTTTAGTGTTTCAGAGATACATTTCATTGAAAGATGACTATAGTGCATGTTAAATACTTACTTTTTCAGGTTTTCAGAGAAAAGGTTTCCTAACTGAACAAAATCTTGAACACATTTGTTGATATCTTGTGTTTTGTTCTCTTCTGGTAGGTGTTTCAGGGACAGTTGGATTGTTTGGCCGTCTCAACCATTCAGGCTTTGACAGCAGTGATGAACAAGTCTCCAGCTGCTAAGGTGAAACATATAGCTGCAAGCTTTAAAAGGTGTCAGATGTACCAGTTTTCACTATATAGGTCCCATAGTGCTGTATACACAGTCTGTGACACAAATGATTTCATTCCTGATTAAATAGCTTACAAAATATATTAGTATAAGTGCTATTTTGTTGATAATTTTAAAGACCTGGATGGCACTACCTTAGGATTTTAAAAAAACCATTTATGACCAAACCACGAACTAGAGATTTATAATGTTGGTTAAAGAATGGGAAGATAGCTCTGGTATTGAGATAGGAAAATGTTCAGTTTAAGTGTACTCTATGGCTAGTTAGTTGAAGGGACTTTTATATCAGTTTTTCCTTTATTAATGAAATAATCATTCTTCACCTGTTTTATCAGTTCATGACTCACTATAATATCAACATTTCTCATGTGTGAACAGCCAGATCAGTTCAATACTTGTTTTTCAAGGTTGGATGATCTTGAAAATTCTGATTCATTGTTTTTATAGTCACTTATCCTCAGAGTTTTCTGTCTCTCCTCACTCACTGCCACTGAGTGTCCTGTCCAGTTAACACTGGTAGTTAGCACATGAGTAATTACAAGTTTAGTGGAGGCATCCATGTAAAATGAAAGGCATAGTGCCAGGCATGTGGTACCTGCTCAGTAAACGTTACTGTTGTTATTATTACCTTACATTCTTATCTGCCACTTCTAATACAAGAGTCTTCAAAAAGTTTATGAAAAATGTCTTCGAAAAAAACTATGTGTGGATTTTGAAGTTTTTTGCAGGAAAATAAATTCATCTTTTAATTCCATTTTTTCATGAACTTTTGAAGTATTCTCTTATACTTCATGCCTCACCTTTCCGGTACTGGAAGTACAGTGATGACTTCTGATCCCGGAGCCATTCCTTCAGTTGTATGCCTTAGTTTCCACTGGTTTTTGTAGAAGACTTAACTTTTGTCTTAGACATGTTGCTGTAACTACTGGTTAGGTTCCTATGGAACAGGATTCCTTAGCTTTGACAGTTTGATTTGTGACTTTAATCTCAAGTTAATATAGTTTCTGTAAGGAAGAAGTCATTTTAGTTCTGCATAATTGTTTTATGGGACAGCAGATTGCTTGTATACTGAAAATCAAACTAAAAAGATGTTCAAGTCTCTTTAGAAGATACATTTTTTTTTGGGCTATGAAATAACTTGCTTGGTTTAAATGTCATACTATGTAACGGTACCTTTATTTTATTTTACGTAGTAATACCTTTTGAAAAAAGGTTTTCCTTCCTATCTTTGATCCATGTTCAACTAGTTCTCTTCCCCAGAGACAATCGAGCTTATTGGCTTTAAGTCTTTTGACTGTCTACATTTCTGACTAAATTAATAGACCAATTTATTAAGTTCCAGGTTTTTTATTTGAAAGGCAGAGTTAGAGTAAAAGAGAGAGAGAAAGAGGGAGAGAGAGATATCTTCTGTCCACTGGTTCACTCCCCAGATAGCTGCAACAGCCAGGGCTGGGCCAGGCCAAAGCCAGGAGCCAAGAGCTTCATCCAGGTCCCCAATCCAAGTGGGTGGTGGGGTCCCAAGTACTTGGACCAGTCTCTACTGTTTTTCCCAGGCCATTAGCAAGGATAGGAAGTAGAACAGCTGGAACTCAAATGGCACCCATATGGAATGCTGGCATTGCAGGTGGTGTCTTTAACCTGCTGTGCCACAATGCCAGCCCCAGTTACCTTTATATTTTACTTTATGGTTTTGAATGTTTTTGCTTCAGAAATAAATGTGACTAAATGAACTTGGTGCTCCAGATAATTTAGACTATTTAGATACAAAGAACAGAGAGAAGACTTTTTGTAATCACTTTTTTTGCTAGTCAATACTCAGAACTGCCAGGATTCTTTAGTCCTTCGAGCCTGCTGTCTATTTCTTCTTATTCCCAAAGTATCCTTGTATTTTCTCTATTTTTATTTTGACTTCACCTAATACTCTACTGATAATAAATGAAGAGAAGAAACCAATGGAACTGTTATATGCCCTAATCTGCAAATAGTATATTTCTATAACACATGATTATTCCTATTTTCATTTTTTATATTTTAGTAGATTATGATAACTTTTTTATTCCATATATGTATATAATGGAACCTATTTTAAGATGAACATGTGATCCAAAAAGTGTTTAATTCATAATCTTTTTGAAATATTAAGTTAATTAGCTTAGATGGATATTATTCAATATATTTAATATTCCATCAAATTCATTCTTTGAAAATGCTTTAATATATTGTTTCCCACTCTCCTAGGAAGTATTTAAAGAAAGAATTGGTTATACACATATGTTTGAAGTATTAAAATCTATGGGTCAGCCAGCATTGGAACTACTTAAAGAACTAATGAATATGGTGAGTTTCTACCCTTTATTAAAACAAATTCCACATCTCAAATTTCATAAATGGTAACTAACCTTTTATCTTCTATGTTGCTTTTCAGGCCGTAGAGGGTGACCACACTTCAGTTGGTATTTTGGGCATAAGTAATGTCCATCCTCTTTTGCTTCTCATCCAGTGGCTTCCAGAACTAGAATCACATGATTTGCAAATCTTCATCTCTGATTGGCTGAAAAGAATTTGTTGTATTAATAGGCAGAGTCGAACTACTTGTGTCAATGCAAACATGGGAATTAGAATCATCGAAACTCTTGATTCTCATTCTTCCCTCCATCAAACTTGTGCTGAGAACTTGATTGCAATCCTTGGTTCCTTGGGGAGTCAGTCAGTGAGCTCAGAAGAAATCCGTCGACTGTTGAGATTGCTGAGAGTGGATGAAGCTGAGCATATTCACCCTTATACCATTCCTGTCACTCGAGCAATCCTGACAATGGCCCGGAAACTAAGTCTAGAGAGTGCACTGCAGTACTTTAATCTGTCACATAGTATGGCAGGAATTTCTGTGCCTTCCATACAGAAATGGCCCGGGTCTGCCTTTTCTTTTAGTGCGTGGTTTTGCTTAGATCAAGACCAGTTGACTCTTGGCGCTGCTAACAAAGGAGGAAAGAGAAAACAGTTGTACAGGTACTGGTACAAGTTGTAGAATATAAATGAATACTGTTATAACAATATGTGCTGTGATTTTAAAACTGAAAAAAGCATTTGCAAGGATCTAGTTTTTAAAAAATTTATCTGAAACTTCTTCATCCTTAGGATGCACACTTTAATTGAAAGTACTTTTTTGTTTTCATGACAATTGCATATCTCAGATATTTTTCTGGTCAGGTTCTGAGGCTAGTTTGGAAATAGTTTCTGCTGAAAAATAGTGTAAACATAGAGAAAAAAAGAATAAATTTGAATCTTGATCTCTCAGTTCCCCTGAAGGTGCTGTATATTTATATGAAGAATCAGAAAGTCTTCATGTGTGTGCTCATCCAGACTTACGTTGCTAATAATTGTTAATATGACTTTTTATTTTAAGATCTTAAATTATGCTTTTTGAATTTTATTTGGGAGAATTTTGAAAATTTCTAGTATTGCTATAGTTTGCTAATGGAATTCCTCTTATAATGCTGCCTTTTATAATTTTTTGAACTCTTATACCCAAAAAATTTTTAAAATGACTTTGAAACAAGGTTAGAATGATGTGTGAAAATAAAATGAAAGTCACAGATTTTTTTTTTTAATATTTAGTTATTTGTTTGAAAGGCAAGTGACAGAGAGACAAAGAGACAGATCTTGCATCCCCTGTGTCACTCCCAAAATTGCGACCACAGTCATGTTTGGGCTAGGCTGAAGCCAAGAGCCAGGAACTCTATCCCGGTCTCCCATGTGGGTGGTAGGGCCAAAGTATTTGTGCCGTCTTCCATTGCCTTCCAAGGTGCATTAGCAGGAAGCTAGATTGGAAGCAGAGAAAATAGAACCATTGCTCCATTATGGGCTGCCCACATTGCAAGCAGTGTCTTAACCTGCTTAGCCATGATGCTGATCCCCACATAACTGTTTTTAAAGATATTCCTGGTAGCCTTAAGGTTCTGGTGCTTTCAGAGATGATGAAACTGAACAACTGAATTCAAAAGTTCTGATAATAGATGTTTTTGTTAGCTTTTTTACAGGAAGTGGAATGGGTTTTGAAGCTTTTATTACCCATTCAGGTATGTTGGTTGTGGCAGTGTGCACAAAAAGAGAATATGCAACAGTGATGCTTCCTGATCACAGTTTCTGCGATTCCCTCTGGGTAAGGCGTTAGGTCATCGCATTGAACTTCTTGATTCTCTCCTTTAAAAAACACACAATTAACATAAGAATTCTTTGAGAGACCATTAATTTTCACTTTAAAAGTTCTGTTCATATTAAAGCTTATCTATAAAGAGTTTACTTTTGTTTACTCTTTTGTTAAATTCAGCAGTGATCAGTTTTCTGCTGAAAATTGAAATGAAGTGTTATAATGTCTTTATGATTTTCTAGAAGCAAATATGGTTTTGAATTTGAGTTTAAAACAAGATGATAGGTTGTCAAAATGCATACCTATTGCTTTTCTATAAATATACAATGCTTCTTATTAGGAAAATTGATTCTAAAAAATACTTAGTGCTTGAAAGTGCAAAAAAGATGCTGTTATAATTTGTATAAATTTTCTAGTATAGGCCTAAGTGGCTTTGGAGTACCATAGAAAAAACTGATGTTCATTTTGAGACCATCATCTTAATCAGCATTTAGCTATGCTCAACCTTAATATTTACAGTGCATATACACTATTACAGAGTAGTACTCTAAAAAATTTTGTTATTCCAAAGACCTATGTAATTTTAGCCTTTTAAATGTATGTTTTACTTCATCAGCACAACATAACCATTGTTCACATGCCTGGAAAAAGGCCCTTTGGTCAGAGTCTAGTGTATATCTACGACAATGGACAACAGAAGGTATCTGCCCCTCTGAGATTTCCTGCCATGAATGAAGTAAGTGTAGCCTACTCTTTACAGGTTCATTGATTGAGAACTCTTGAAAATTTCAGTTAGTGTAGAAGGCTCTGCTTATTCTGAATATGTGCCTCACAGTTTCAAACTGTTTTCTATATACCAAGACAACAGTGAGTTAATATTCTTTTCATTAAATGATCTCAAGGAATGTATAAAAGGGAGAAAAGAATTCAAGGAAAAAAATGTAGTTAGGGCTTGTATAAAAAGACTTAAAATGGGAAAGCCCGGGAAATGAATAGAGCAGAACAAAGTATTATTTAATAAAGAACTTCAAGTATACAAAATTCTTAAGAGAATACTGTGATAGCCATTTGTTTGCATCCCCATTAAATTTGAAACAATAATGAAGAAATCTTTAAGTCTTCACATTTTAGTTAAATATAAGATAGAAGTTACTTACTTTGATGGTTCTCAAAGAAGACTAGTGTAAAAGTTCTTTGAGAATTCTTGTATAATTTTGAGAGGGCCTTTTCTGAAAATGATAGAATGGAGTAAATGAATTCTCAAGTCCAGAATTCAGGTAATCTCACGTTGCTTTTCATCTTGATGACCGTTTCAGGATAAACTGTAAACAGAATTATCATGATGTGTTTATAAATTGTGAGGAAGATTTCTCTATTTTATAACAGTAACATTAAAATTGTTTCACAACACACATTCCTTAAAAATTCAGAGATAGGCATTTTGCCTAGCTGTTAAAACATTGGTTAAGGTACCCAACTCTGACTCCTGACTCCAGCTTCCTGCTAATACAGACTCTGGGAGGCAGGGGTAATAGCTCACGCAGAAGAATTTGTGCTACCCACATGGGAGATCTGGATTGAGTTCCTGGCTCTTGGCTTCAGCCTGCCCTCAGGGCTATGGCAGGCACCTGGAGAGTGAACCAGCAGGTGAAAGTGCTCTCTCATTCCCTCACTTGCTCTCTGCATCTCAAATAAAAATAAATAAAATTTTTCTAATTTCACAATCTTACCAAGGAATATAAAGTGAGTATAAAGGTAACGCATCCAAATTCTGTTGGTCAAAGGTAACTTTGTTAGTGATTTCTTATGTATACATGTTCATGTCCACCCCATGATACACTGACAGTAAAGCTATTTCATTTTTATTTTCAATCTATTTGATTAATTGTATAAGAATATAAATTGAATTGAATTTTTTGTATGTTTCTTAATTTTTAGCCTTTTACTTCCTGCTGCATTGGTTCAGCTGGGCAAAGAACCACCACTCCTCCACCATCCCAAATCCCAGATCCACCCTTTTCATCTCCCATTTCCCCTCATCGATCATCATTTGGTGGAATTCTGTCATCAGCCTCCAGGGGAGGAACAGCAGAAAAGTCAAAATTGACTACCAAATTGATATCAGCTGGAACCCAAGACAGTGAATGGGGATGTCCCACGTCTCTGGAGGGTCAGCTAGGGTCTGTTATTGTCTTCTGTGAAGCACTACAGCCTCCTCAAGTGAAGACGTTATATTTAGCAGGTGAGCATGTACAAATATACTATTTAATTAAACTTATTAGAGTTTTTCCTGTTATCTAAATATATTCTGAGAAATGTATTTTATTTGATGGGTATATTACCTTTAATTGAAGCTGAAAGGGAAGAAGTAGCATCATATACCAGTTGAAGGCATAAATAGAGCAAACCTTTGGAAAGTATTTTTTTTTTTTAAGATTTACTTGAAAGACAGAGTTACAGAGAGAGGTAGAGACAGAGAGAGAGGTCTTCCATCCGCAGGGTCACTCTGCAGATGGCCTCAATGGCCAGAGCTGACCATTCCAAAGCCAGGAGCCAGGAGCTTCTTCTAGGTCTCCCACATGGGTTCAGGGGCCCAAGCATATGGGCCATCTTCTACTGCTTTCCCAGGCCATAGCAGAGAGCTGGATTGGAAGTGGAGCAGCCAGGACACAAACCAGCACCCATATGTGATTCTGGCACTGCAGGTGGAGGCTTAGCCCACTGTGTCACAGTGCCAGCCCCTAAACTTGTAAAATTTTTACAATTCGTGTATTAATATACCCAGAATTCACAAAGGCAGTAAAATTAGAAGACCTTAAATAAGATTATAAACTTTTTTATTTTGGGTTTCTCTTTTATTTGGGAATTATTTTAAGCATACATACTAATTGGTGCCATTGGTTCCTGACTGCATTTAATTTAATACAGCAGGATGTTCAGGAGTTAAGATTAGCAGTCATTTACATTGCAGAATAGCTTATTTTTTGTCAATCTTTTATAGATTGCAGAGGAGTTTTGAGATAAAGGAAACTGTCCAGACATTCAAAGTTTTATGTTAGAAATTTATCATTACTTTGAAACTCACTAATATTTCAAGATCATCTATAGAAAAATTCGTTAATATGTCATTTAATGTAATTATTACAATTACATAGTTTAGATTTTGTTCTTACAATTTGTCATATATGCAATTCTGCTCTTACAAGGAAATGTTATATAGTATTTTTAAGTGATTATTTCTTATAGCTGTGTATTTCCTTGGGTTCAAAATGCATGATGTACTTAGGTTTTCTATAAATTTTAATATTGATACAAACCTCACATTCTAAATACGTTGATCGGTTTGTACTTATGGTTTTTCTTCTGTTTATGGATTTAAGGATAAATTCCCAAGATAATTATTTGAAGTGAGTGAATATATTTATGACTCTGAATACATATTTCCTAATCAGTTTCCAGAAGAAATATGTCAATTCCCAGGCCTTGTCAATAACACTTAAGTGTTCCAGGTTCACCATAGCCTCAATGAAGTAGAATGGTCCATTCTATTTCCTCTATTTTTAGATGTGAAATAGAACCTTGTTTTAATTTACATTTGTTTGATTTTTAGTACAGTTGAGAATATTTTCCTACTTATTTGCTGTTCCATTTCTGTGATGTGTATTCAGATTTTTGATTGAATGTTTTGCTATTCTAAGACATTTGAATTGTTTTACATTAGATAAACAGATCAGTTTCTTTCTGTTAATTTTTGAATGCCATGTAAAATTTTCTTTCTGTAGTGGAAACTGATTCATTTCCCAACTTTTCTGGATTTTGGATAAATTGGAGGTGATAAAAACACACGTCTTAATGTGTTTTAACTGTTATTTAAATAACTTTAAACAGCTAAATTTTAAATCTGTTCTGATAATACAGAACAAGTAGGCCATGTGTATTCAATGATGTGTGTGTATGTGTATAAATAATTTTCAGGTCCAAATTGTTTAAGTCCTTGGAAATGTCAAGAGTCTGACATGGCCGACCTGCCTGCTAACGTCCTTCTTCACTACACAGCAAAGGTCAGAGCAAATGCAGAACTGCCCGTCTTCCTATAACTATGGTGTGCACGAAAACTCCTCTTCTGTTCCTTTTGTGAATTCAGTAGGTAATTGAGAAGGGCGGGCTGGAATTCGAATACTATTTTTAAAAATTAATTAATTTCAAATGAAGGTGAGAAGCAGTAAAAATTAAGGTGCATCTCCTTAACTAGGGTATTGATGTTATTTTGTGTCATGCCAACAGCATGAATGGGAATGGTTGTAGTTGGAATTTATGTGAATCAGTTGACTGTTCAGCAAATGAAACTTTTTGAATTTGTGTTCTAGTTTTTTGGGGAGGAGAGATGAGACAGAATTGTACTCAACCTTTTGTGTGTTTTTGAAATGTGATACAGAAAACAGAAAAAGGAAAGAAAAAATGTTTACTTCAGAAGGAGAGAGAAGAAACCATATGTGTGCTTTATACAGTCCTTTTTCTTTCAAGGCCTTATCTACTGAAAGTTGAGTCAGTGAAGACAGGGAGAGAAGACTAAAGGTAGCATTAGGAGGAAGAAAAGGGAGAAATGGCATAAACAACCTCATCTGCCTTTGCTACATTCAATGTTACACTGACTCAGCAGTGCTTCGACTGTGTGATTAGGGTCGTGGAAGCTTTCTGGATTAGGCAGCTGGTACTGGATCATAATTTATTACTTTTGAGTGTTTTATTATATTTAACTAATAAAATTTACTTAGTTTGATAAATTTCAAATCTAGATAGAAGTCCAAAGAGTAATAAAGTGACATCCCATATACTCTCCACCAAAATCACGAGTTACTAACATTTTGCCATACTAACTTAATTTATCCATCTCAAATCATCTATGGAAGCAGATTGACCTTGCTATAAAGATATTTTATCACTTGATAATTTATATAACCAATTACCTAAGAAAATGGAACATGATTTATCTAATATATAGTCTGTATTCAGATTTTCCCAAAATGTTTAGCTTTTAATAAACTAATTCTGGACCTAGTCAAGTTTCATTCAATGCATTGCTTTTGCCTCTTGAGTCATCTGTTTTTTAACAGTGACTTTGTAATTTATTCATTTTTCATTTATTTCAGAGGCAGAGAGAGAGCTGCCATCCATTGGTTCACTCCAGGTGCTTGTGAAGGCCAGGGTTAGCTGAAGCTATTTGGATGTCAGAGATCCATTTACCAATGTCTCACAGGGTATATATTAGCAGGAAGCTTCTTTCAAGAGTAGAGTTGGGATTCAAACCAGGGAACTGTGATACAGGGTACAAGCATCCCAACTAGTGACTTATCCACCAGGCTAAAAGCTCACCCCTGGAATGTTTATGTTTTTTGGTTTAAGTTTTCTGTAACTTTTTTCCAAAAAGCTATGCTATTTATTCAACTATATTTCATATTCTTTCTTTCTTTTTTTTTTGGACAGGCAGAGTTAGACAGTGACAGAGAGAGACAGAAAGAAAGGTTTTCCTTCCATTAGTTCATCCCCCAGATGGCTGCTACAGTCGGTGCGCTGTACCAATCTGAAGCCAGGAGCCAGGTGCTTCCTCCTGGTCTCCCATGTGGGTGCAGGGCCCAAGCACTTGGGCCATCCTCCACTGCCTTCCCGGGCCACAGCAGAGAGCTGGACTGGAAGAGGAACAACTGGGACAGAAACCGGCACCCCAACCGGGACTAGAACCCGATGTGCCGGTGCCGCAGGCGGAGGATTAGCCTAGTGAGCTGCGGCGCCGGCCATTATTTCCTTTTTAAAAAACGATTTATTTATTTATTTATTTGAAAGGCAGGTTACAGAGAGGCAGAGAGAAAACAAAGTCTTCCATCCGCTGGTTCACTCCCCAAATTGCCTTACGGCTGGAGCTGGGCCAGTCTAAAACCAGGAGCCAGGAGTTTCTGCCTGGTCTTCCAGATGGGTGCAGGGGCCCAAGGACTTGGGCCATCTTCTGCTGCTTTCCCAGGCCATAGCAGAGAACTGGATTGAAAGTGGAGCAGCCAGAACTTGAACCAGCGTCCAAATGGGATGCAGGCACTGCAGGCGGTGGCTTTACCCGCTACCCAACAGTGATGGCCCTCATATTATTACTTATTTTCATTCTATACTATCTAGTGTAGATGGTTAAATAATCTTTGGATTTAATATTAAATTCAGTAGCATATTTAGTAGCATATTCTAGACATGATCATCATCAGCTGGTCATCTTGACATTGTAATGATATTTTTACGAAGTAACTTGACCTTGATAACATTAAGGTTAGATATATATTTTTTTTACTTTCTCTGTTTGTTTTACTGCTGAAAGTAAAATGTTTAGGAGGGTGAGTATCTTTAGCTTAGTGGTTAAGATAATTGTATCTTGGGGCCAGCCTTATGGTGTAGTAGGCTAAGCCTCTGCCTCTGGCGCTGCCATCCCATATGGGTGCTGGTTTGTGTCCTGGGTGCTTCTCTTCCAATCTAGCTCTCTGCTATGGCCTGGGAAAGCAGTAGAAGATAGCCCAGGTGCTTCAGCTCCTGTACCCATGTAGGAGACCTGGAAGTAGCACCCGTCTCCTGGCTTTGGATGGTCCCAGCTCCAGCTATTGAGACAATTTGGGGAGTGAACCAGTGGATGGAAGACCTTTCTCTCTGTCTCTCCCTCTCTCTCTGTAATCTACCTCTCAAATAAATAAAATCTTAGAAAAAAAAAAAAGGTAGTTGTATCCTCCCACATCAGTATGCTTCAAATTCCAGTTCCCTGCTAATGCAGACCCACAGAGGAGGTAGATGGTGGCTCAAGTTGTTGGGTATCTGCTACCCATGCAGGAGACCTAGATAGAGTTCGGCCTTTCGGTTTTAGCCCAGCCTAGCTATGGGGTTGTGGGAATTTGGGGAGTAAACAAGCATGTGGGAACTCTTTCTATTCTATCTGCCTCTTTTTTTTTTTCCTTTCTTTTTTTAAGATATGTTTATTTGAAAGTCAGTGACAGAGAGACAAACATTTTCCCTTTGCTGGTTTAGTCCCCAATTGGCCACAGTAGCTAAGGCTGGGCTAGGCTGAACCAGGAGCCAAAAAGTCAGTCCATCCAGATCTCCCTTATGGATGGCAGGGACTCAAATACATGACCCTTCATTTGCTGCTTCTCAGGTGCACTAGCAGGAAGCTGGATCAGAAGTGGCATAGCTGGCACTTGAACTGAGTTCTTGCTGTAGTTCATGCCTCAGATGACAAGTAACAGTTACTTTTGATGAGGGAATGCTTTGAAATCTAGTTCCCGATTCTTTTAAGAGACAATCAGTAATGGTAAACTTCATATGGTAGGTTTCTTATTATTGACTGTACTATATAACTTTTAACGTTATGGTGAAATGTTCCATACATGGCTAAGTTTATATTTTGTTCTAATTGCACTTAATTATTTGCTATGGTTTTCTTTTTTTCCTCAGGCCTGCAAAAACTCCATCTGTCTCGATTTATCTGTTAACTGCTTGCATGGAAGATTAACAGGAAATAAAGTGGTGAATTGGGACGTTAAGGTAAATAAATAAGAAATTATGGCCAACATATTGTATTATTAATTTATCCTTTTAAAGATTTGTTTTTAAGCACCACCAGATCTGAGTGATAGGTCTCAGTTAAAATGTTACACTGATATGCAGTTGAAAAGATAAGCAAGTACTTGAATGACTACAGCAGTTGAATGACTGTTTTACTTGCTTGAAACTAAATTGCCTTCCTAAACTTTGCTATGGGCCTAATGATCTGCATAAGAAAAATAGGCTACTTAGTAGTGCGCCATTCTTAAGGTATTTAATCTCTAAAACTGTATGACAGATTTCAGTCCCTCCTTCTATGTCAGATACTTCTTGTCTGTAGTCTTTTATCCATTAAGGTTTTTTTTCGAAAGATTTATTTTTTTGTTTGAAAATCAGAGTTACACACAGAGAGAAGGAGAGGCAGAGAGAGAGAGAGGTCTTCCATCCACTGGTTCACTCCTCAGTTGGCCGCAACAGCCTGAGCTGTGCTGATCTGAAGCCGGTAGCCAGGAGCTTCCTCTGGGTCTTCCCATTTGGGTGCAGGGGCCCAAGGACTTGGGCCATCTTCTACTGCTTTCCCAGGCCATAGCAGAGAGCTGGATCGGAAGTGGAGCAGCCAGGATTTGAACCATATGGGATGCTGGCACTGCAGGTGGCGGCTTGACCTGCTAAGCCACAACACTGGCCCCATATCCATTGGGTTTAAACAAACTCATACTTTTTTCTTTTTTCAGAGTAAAAATGAATAACATTTTGTCTTCCCCACATTGCCCTGTTGCTATCATTTCTTGGCTACCTTCTTCTTAGATCTCATGTAAATTGTACAGATGGAACATTGCTTCTGTCTGGAAACTGCTGCTCATTTTCCATGACTAAATTAGCTGCGCTTGTCTTGGTATCATTAGCACGTTATCATGTCACTTACTCCTGCTGGATAGTAACTCTACTTGCTTGACTCTCCAGTAGTATTTACAGACTTCTAACTGCTTTTTTCACTACTGTATGATGCAGGAATATGCAATAAATAATTCTTGATTGAGTGATTAATTAGTAGAAGTATTTAGGCTTAGAGGAAAGTCGGAGATGCTCTACTTCTAAAATGTAGCATTTCCTAACTGGATATCATTATATTTAGTGAAATAAGCCAGTCTCGGAAAGGCAAATCCCATAAGGTCTTTCTGATCTGTGGTAACTAATAGAGTACCTAAAATGTAATCTATAGGAGAGAAACTGACACATTGAGATGCGTTAATTTTGAACAGCCTGTCCCGTGATTGTCGAGGAAGAATAGTTTTTTTTCTTCATCCTAATTGGTGAACGCTCTATTAGTGTACAGTTAATTTTATGAGTTTAAAAAGTATTAATTTTATGAGTATAAACATTTTCTGAAAAATTGATTTCTGTAAAAAATAAGAATGGGAAAGGAAGGGGGAGGAGAAAGAAGGACAGGAGTATGGTGGCAGGGAGGTAGGGGGGAAGAATCCTCATGTTCCTGAAATCTGCATATATTAAATGCATGAAGTTGTATCCCTTAAAATAAAATAATTTTTAAAAAGGTAACTTAAATAGAAGTTATAGCCTAAGTAAAATTTTGCAAATGTGAAATATATATAAGGAAAGTTGGTGGTATATCAAAAAAATATTTTTAGACAGTTAACACCAGTCAAGCATACTTATTGTTTCAGTGGAAGAAAAATCATTATAATAATTTTTCCTGGGACCAGCACTGTGCCACAGCGGTTAAGCTGCTACCTACCATGCCTGCATCCCTTAAGAGTAACGGTTTGATCCCTGGCTGTTGTACTTCTGAGCCAGCTCTCTAATAATGCACTTGGGATAGTTCAAGTACTTGGGCTTTTGCCACCTGTGTGGGAAACCCAGATGGAATTGCAGGCTCCTGGGTTTGGCCTGGTGCAGCCCTGGCGGTTGTGGCAATTTGGAGAGTGAACCAGCAGATGGAAGATCTCTGTCCTTCTCTCTGTAACTTTGTCTTTCAAATAAATAAATCTTTTTTAAAAAATAGTATTTTTTCCTGTGTAGAAATGAACCTATCAATTCAGTGTTAATCTTATGTTATTCATGGTGCATAAAGCAATTTTCTCTCTAATTTTGTTGTAAGTACATTGTCAACATAATAAGATGTACGACATGATTGATAATTCATAAAGTTAACTTTTGCTTTATTTGTAAGGTTGGTTTTTATGAAGCTAGTTCTATGTATTTTTGATAAAAATCAGATTATTTGAGGTGCACCATGCATACCTGAAAATTCAGTCTTTGATGTCTTGAGCATGGCTTTGTGAATTAACCTGTCAGAATTTTGCCTGCTGTGGAAATTAAAAAGGAAACAGTTGTCAAGAGGAAGACATTTCTTTTAAATGAATTTTTTTTTTTTTAAGATTCATTTATTTGAAAGGCAGAGTTACAGAGAGCGGGGAGACAGGGAGTGAGAAGTGATCGCCATTCACTAGTTCATTCTCCAGTTGGGCACAGTGGCCAGGACTGGCTGAGCCAACCCAAAACCAGGATCCTGGAACTTCATCCAATCTCCCACTTGTATGGCAGGAGCCCAAGTACCTGGACTGTTGTCTGCTGCCATCCCAGGTATATTAGTAGGAAGTTGAACAGAAGCATAGTATCCAGGAATCAAAAGGCCCTCCAATATTAGATGTGGACCTTGTACATCAGTTTCTAGGCAAACATATTTCTTTTTTAAAAAAATACCTATTAGACCACACATATTAGGCCTGCTATCTTTTTTTTTTTAAGATTTTTTTTTTTTTTTTGATAGGCAGAGTGGACAGTGAGAGAGAGAGACAGAGAGAAAGGTCTTCCTTTGCCGTTGGTTCACCCTCCAATGGCCGCTGTGGCCGGCACGCTGCGGCCGGCGCACCGCGCTGATCCAATGGCAGGAGCCAGGAGCCAGGTGCTTTTCCTGGTCTCCCATGGGGTGCAGGGCCCAAGCACCTGGGCCATCCTCCACTGCACTCCCTGGCCACAGCAGAGAGCTGGCCTGGAAGAGGGGCAACTGGGACAGAATCCGGCTCCCCAACCGGGACTAGAACCCGGTGTGCCGGCGCCGCAAGGCGGAGGATTAGCCTAGTGAGCCGCGGCGCCGGCCTTTTTTTAAGATTTATTTATTTATTTGAAAGTCAGAGTTACACAGAGAGAGCAGGAGAGGCAGAGACCTCCATCTGCTGGTCCACTCACTCTCCAACTGGCCACAACGGAAGCCAAAGCCAGGAGCCAGGAGCTTCTTCCGGGTCCCCCAGGAGAGTGCTGGGGCCCAAGGACTTGGGCCATCCTCCACTGCTTTCCCAGGCCATAAAGAGAGCTGGATTGGAAGTGGAGCAGCTGGGACTCCAACCAGCGCCCATTTGGGATGCCGGCACTGCAGGCAGGGCTTTACCTGCTATGCCACCGCACTGGCCCCCAAACATATTTCTACCAGGAAATGCATTTTTTTCATGATTTATTCTCCTGTTTGTTAGGCCTTATTATGTGGTGATGGTTGTTTTGCTCTGCATTGTTAGAATTATGTTTTAAAGTCTTTTCGTGGAGTTATGTTTGGATCGCCTTTTTTTGGGATCCCTAAAGTTTGGAAAACAAATAGTGGCCTCTGACACTGCTCTTTAAAGCATCTTCCCACACAAACATTCCTTCAGCTTGGGCTATCTAGACATTGCCTGAAAGTTTAGCAAATTATAACTTCCTATAGGCTGTGTAGATGTTAAGTGGCAAAATTGTCCCTGTTTTATAAAATTAAAAAATTTTAACTTTCTTTTTAGGATATCATAAACTGCATAGGTGGATTAAATGTACTCTTTCCTCTGTTGGAACAAATCAGCCACTTTAATGAGGGACTGATTCCTGGAGGATTGAATGAAGCAGCAGTTTCTGAATTGGTAACAGCTGTAGAAGAAGATCGGCTGGTATTGACCTCCACAAAGGCATCAGGTATGCAGATGAAATGAAAAGAAAATTGTCATTGAGACATTTTAGAATTAATTGGAAAATAGATGAAAATGTCTTCTAGGTGTTTGGAGGTCTAGCAGCTTTCCCTGATTTTACAGTACAGTTCAGTAAGTTTATTCTAATACTTTGGTCAAAACACTAAAGATGTTGATTTTACTGCTGAGTATCCTTAGTTTATACTATTAGTGGATATATGACCACATTGTTAATTTGGGGTAGAGAAAATATTTTACATGTACTTATAATTATACAGTATGCAGTTGATGTTTTTTCTGAGTCCACTGTACAAGGCAGCAAACTAGTGAACCAGATTTCTTCTTTGTTACAATATGTATTGTGATACAGACAAATGTGATATAAAGGTGATTAGTAGGGTGGGCATTTGCAATAGTAGTTCACACGCTGCTTGGGTTGCCTGCATTCCATATTGGAGTTCTGGGTTTGAGTCTTAGTTCCATTCCTGATGCCAGCTTCCTCCTAATATGCACTCTGGGAAGCAGCAGGTGGTGGCTTAGGTGGTAGTTGGGTCCTTGCCACCCACATGGAGACCTGGATTGAATTCCTGCCTCCTAGTTTCAGCCTGGCCCAGCCGTAGCTGTTGTGGTCACTTAGAGAGTGAATAACAGATTGGAGATTTTTCTCTTTCTCTCTCTCTCTCTTTTGAATTCCTGCCTCCTAGTTTCAGCCTAGCCCAGCCCTAGCTGCTGTGGTCATTTAGAAAGTGAATAACAGATTGGAGATTTCTCTCTCTTTCTCTCTCTCTCTTTGCTTTTCAAGCAAAGAGATAATAATAATAATTTTTTTATTATTATTTTTTGACAGGCAGAGTTAGACAGTGAGAGACAGAGGGAAAGGTCTTCCTTTCGTTGGTTCACACACACACACACACACACACACACACCCCAATGGCTGCTACGGCCGGCGCACAGCACCGATCCGAAGCCAGGAACCAGGTGCTTCTCCTGGTCTCCCATGGGGTGCAGGGCCCAAGCACTTGGGCCATCCTCCACTGCACTCCCAGGCCACAACAGAGAGCTGGACTGGAAGAGGAGCAACCAGGACAGAATCTGGCGCCCCAGTCGGGACTAGAACCTGAGGTGCTGGCACCACAGGCAGAGGATTAGCCAAGTGAGCCGCGGTGCCAGCCATAAAATTTTTTTGAAAGTGATTGGCTTAGGGCCAGCGCTGTGACACATTAGGTTAATCTTCCACCTGTGGCGCCAGCATCTCATATGTGCATTGGTTCTAGTCCTAGCTGGTCCTCTTTCAATCCAGCTCTCTGCTATGGCCTGGGAAAGCAGTGGAAGAATGGCTGAGGCTCTTGGGCCCTTGTACCTATGTAGGAGACCCAGAAGAAGCTCCGGCCGTTGTGGCTGTTTGGGGAGTGATCCAGTGGGTGGAATACCTTTCTCTCTGTCTCTCTCACTATCTGTGACTCTACCTTTCAAATAAATAAGTAAAATCTTTAAAAAAAAAAGTGGATGGCTTAGTTATGATTTTTAATTGCATATTCTCACTTCCAGAGTCAAGACTAGAGAGGAATCTAGTTGCGACATTTATCTTGATTGTGAAACACTTTATTCAGAGGCATCCTATCAACCAAGAAAATTTGATTCACTCCCATGGAGTTGCAACTCTTGGTACCTTACTTCAGAAGGTGAACCAATCTAATATGACGTTGATTTACCAGATTATAATTAGAGTCAGTGCTGGGATCTTTTTTTCCTAATAAATAGATACATATGTAAAGGTTATAGTTTACATCTTAAGTTATATTAATGGGTATGATATGTTTCATAGGCAACTTACAAAAACTTCTGGAATCACCTTTTACAATTATTTTATATAATGGCATATAATCTTTGAACTATATAATCTTATTTGTTAGCTTTGGTATTTGGGATATTTTAGAAATATAAGACAGTAATTTAGAAATAATACATTGGGAAAATATGTTCCAGTGATACATTAGACAAGCTAAAAATTAAGTTTATATTTATCTAACCTAGATTTTTATATTTTTACATTTAGTAGATGTTCTGACTTGAAATTATAGATAGCTTAATGATGATTACTGATACTGAAGTTTATGTAACCCTCTTTGGTTTTAGGTGCCAAGCACCATGATGGATGTTAATGTATTGATGGCAGTTCAATTACTAATTGAACAGGTGTCACTAGAGAAAAATTCGCAGCTTCTGCAACAAATGTATCAATATTTGCTCTTTGATTTCCGTATTTGGAACCGTGGAGATTTTCCTTTTCGAATTGGTGAGAGCAGACTGATAAAATTTTATAGTTGTTTTAGAAATTTATAAAGACCTGTGTGACTTCACTTTAGATAGGTAATTTATGAGCGATCTTCCTATTTTAGGTCATATACAGTATCTTTCAACCATCATTAAAGACAGCAGGAGAGTTTTCCGAAAAAAGTATGGTGTACAGTTTCTCCTGGATACGCTTAGGATTTATTACGGGTATGGTGTTCTTGCTCCTTCTCAGTTTATTTTCTGTCTGCTACTTAATTAGAACATATTTTTTCTTGACTAGCAATTCTAATATCTTTTAACTTTAGAGAGGCAGGATACTATAGAGGTTAAAATGAACAGTGGATACACATACATTGTGTTTGAATCCTGGTGTCATTAATTGTGTATCCGTAAGCAAATTATTCAGTTTTTCTGTGTTGAATTTCCTCATCTGTGAAAAGGAGATAATAAAACTATGACTTCCTGTGGTGTTTTGAGGATTAAATTCAATGAATTCATAATGTATAAAGCATTTAAAATGTCTGCTATGTAATTCAGTGTTGTATAGTCTGTTTTTGGCATTGAAACTCTTATCGCTTAACAGACTGAGGTTTAGAAAGAAAAAAAAACTAAAGTTGCCATGAATTCTAATAATTACATGGAAAAATTTTTCTTTTAACTATGAATTCTTTCTATAAAAATTCAAAAATATTAAAATTTCAGTTCTTCATCTTTGTTTTCTCTTTCAGGAGTAGTTGTAAATATAATGAGCTATCGCTTGATGATATTCGAACAATAAGGACTTCTTTGTATGGTCTGATTAAATATTTTCTGTGCAGAGGTGGAACTCATGAGGAAATACAAAGTATCATAGGCTACATAGCTGCCACCAATGAAGAAGAGCAGGTATTATGCTTGACATTTAGGTTGCCATGTCATCTTCTTACAAAAGTACATGTTTGTTTAATTAAATATTTCAATAATAAAGTATAAATGGTGTCACAATACTTGTATAATTTAAAATATTTTAATTGCTAATTGAATGTTGAATAAAAAGTGACAGAATGATTCAATATTGTAGCCAGCTAGGAGAGGGAAAATGTGAAAGTAGCTGGCTTTGCCTGGCAGTTCTGAAGTTTGTTTTCATATCCAATGGCAGTGTTTATCTCTCTTCAGAGTTACTAGGTAGATTTTGTTTTTAAGATTTTATTTGGGAGAGACAGAGAGAAAGGTCTCCCATCCACTGGTTCATTCCTCAATTGGCCGTAATGGCAGGAGCTGGGCCTATCCAAAGCTAGGAGCCAGGAGCTTCCTCTAGATCTCCCATGTGGGTGCAAGGGCCCAAGGACTTGGGCCATCTTCTACTGCTTTCCCAGGCCATGGCAGAGAGCTGGATGGGAAGTGGAGCAGCTGGGACTCCAGCCAGTGCCTATATGGGATGCCGGCACTGCAGATAGTGGCTTTTATCTGCTACGCCACAGCACCGTCCCCACTAGGTAGATTTTGAACATGAATTCTAACATAGCATAGGTCATAAAAATGTCGCATACATTATCAATGTATGTCTGTTTTTAAAATGCTTTACATTCATTACCTCATTTAATCCTGAGAACTAACCTTTAAGGCATTAGTTCTCAAAGTATGGTCCCTGACCAGCCTTACCTGGGGGCTTGTTAAAAATCCAGATATACTTCTGATTCAACTACTGAATCAAGCCTTGCAGGTGACTCACGTACACGTGGTAAACTGATGTTAGATACACAGACCAGAAATTAACTCTTCCGTGTACACTTTTTAAAAAAAATTATTAATATGATGAGAACAGATTTCATGTATTTCATAGGTGCAAATTCCAAGAAGATAATTATACTTACGTTCCTCTATCTCCTTCCCTCAATCTACCTCCTTCTTTCCTTTTTTTTCTTTAATTTTTGCAAAAACTTCATTTCAGTCTACTCTATAATCACAAGCTTAACACACTACTAACCATAATATTCAATAAGTAAAAAGTAGAAAGACCACAGTTCCATAGAAACTTCCCTCATTCCCTCCCTCCTTCCCTCCTTCCTTCCCTCCTTCAAGGGCTAAAAACAACAGTCAAATCACAAGATGTCCATTTTGTCCTTTACAATTTTTCATGTTCTATATTAACTACTATATATAAGAGAGCACATATGATTTTGTCTCTTTGGGCCTGGCTTATTTCACTAAGCATAATAGTTTGCAGTTACGTCCATTTTGTTGTAAAAGATAGGATTTCATTCTTTTTTATGGCTGAGTAGTATTCTGTAAAGCGTATATATCGCATTTTCTTTATCCAGTCATCAGTTGATGGACATCTGAGTTAATTCTGTATCCTAGCTATTGTAGATTGAGCTGCAATAAACATGGGAGCACAAGTATACTTTTGGAAATAAATATTCAGAGATAGTATGACTTTAAAAAGTCAGACAACTGGTAAACCTGGAACTAGAATCCAAGTGTATTTATTCTTACTTTTAAGCTCTTCCTGTGTAAGTCTAAACACCATAGCTTTGCACAGCTTTAATTTATGTTGCCTAAAATATTTTGCTCTCTATAATTAGTACTAGTTGTGTACTCAGTGGTTATATGACTACATAATTGGTCTTATATAGATGAGTTAACTTAGAGTATTTTCCTTTAACGTTGCCCTGCTTCAAAAGTTTCTCATCATTTAGAATGATAGATAACTGCTTTTTTGATAGCTGTACATATAATTCACTGCTAATGATATTTTTAAAATGTTATTTGTTAAGTACTTACTGTATACACAGAATGATATTAGAGATTGTAGGTAATATAATGATGAAAGAATTATTCTTACTTTTAGCCTAATTGGGTAGGGATCAAGAGAAGTTTACAAATAACTATGAAACAAAGAAAAGTACGGTAATATCTGTAAGAGATAGAAAGTCCCATGTGGTTTCCATAGGAGCATTCTGTATGAGGTTTTCAGGTTATCATAAGAGACCAGGAAAGGATTTTTGAAAGAGAAGCTTTTTCATAAAAACAAAGCAGAGTACCTATGATTTCAATGGGTTAATATGGATAGTTAGAAGGCACACAAAAGGAAGTGGAATAAGCCAAAAGCATGTTGTGGGAAAAAAGCAGGAATGATTTCAAAAGGCGTCTCAGAGTTCAGTTAAGCCAAAATACTAGAATACATGGGAATTAGTAAAGTAACTTTTGTGGATTATGACTTTATTGTGCTAATATATTTGAGTGTGGTTGTTTGCTCTGTGTTGTTTAATGTAAAAGCTCTTAGGAATTTTGGATGTACTCTTCAATCTCCTACGAACCAGCCCAACTAGAGGTCAGCTTTTCTTACTGCTGTTTGAACCAGGAAACGCTGATATCCTTTACGCCTTGCTCTTAAATCAGAAGTACTCTGACAGACTGCGAGAAATAATTTTTAAGGTACAAACAGTTCATGCACATCTTTATTGTGAGCATTTATATTTTTATGAGTTTACTTTCAGCATATTCTATTCTATAACTGAGTTCTTTTTTCATGTCTATTTCTGATTTTATGTTGTTCCGTTTATTTTGACATATTTTAATGTTTGCCTATTTTAAAAATTGTATAGTAGTTTGATAAATCATCTCAGTGGAACACTCACATTTTTGTACCATCCTCGATATGAAGCCTCTCATCTCCTTTTTAATTTCTGGTGAGTCTCTGTGGCAGTTCAGGACGTTTTATAAGTTAATAATAAGAGCTAACCTTATATGGCACTCACTGTGTGTCATGCAGTAAGCACCTTTCATATATTAACTTTTCTTATTTTTTGCAACAACTTTATGAAATGAGTGTTTACTATTATTCTTATTTTACAGATGAAAACTATAGCCAGAGAGATTAATAATTTATCACAGGATATAGAATATATTTTATTGAGCTATTCAAAGTATCCAAAAGTTTGAACTTTGGCTGAAACACCCACTCTACCTTTTTGTTCCTACAAGTAAAAGAGTCAATCATATTTTTACGAGCAAATGCATTTTTTCTTGATTTATTCTCATTGGTTATTCCTAATTGCCTAGTGACAGTTGTTTGTTCTTACATTATTAAAGTTATACCATAAAGTCTATTTATGAGTATGTTTAGATTTTTAAGTTTAAAATCCCTAAACTTTGGAAAACAAAGGTATGGTAAAAATTGGCTGACTTGATCTCTCTGTAGTGTTGAGGAAGGTGACACCTGCGGCTACTCTTTAAAAAAGCTGCCCTCAGAAGAGTTCCATTGTGGAGGTTCAGGGGTTTTTCCTCCAAAAAGCGACTTTTTTTTATTATATTCTGTAAAGCTTACCCTTCCTATATTGGGTTTGCAGTATCACACTTGTAAAATATTGATGTCCCCTCCAGAAGTGTAGGATGGTTGATTCAGTCCCTCATTTTAGCATGTGAATGAGTTGTTTCACAAATGTTTCCTTGTTTTTGAAAATTATTTTGATAACTGTTACATAAGTGAGTTAATCCAAAGGTTTCTGGATATGTCTTTACTCCTTTTGCAAGGTACTTAGATTGTTTTCATTAAACCTTAGCCCTCAAGAAAGAAAACTTTAATTTCTTCCATTTGCCATATTTCAACTAACATGTGAAACAATAGTTATCCAATTATAGATGCAATTCAGCCCAGTTTATTCTTAAATCCATTTTTTCACAATAATATATTATGAAGTATTCCTCTCTATTTGTGCTGTACTTGAGGAATAAAATGATGCCATACAAACCAACATACAATAATATTGTATTCAATATTAACTTAAGTGACAAACTATTTTATATTGAGAGGAATGTATTATTTGTTGTGACTAGGTTATGGAGCAGATGTTGAAATGCACAAACGTTTATGAACGTAGCAAACAACGTATTCGACTCAGAGAGGTTGGCTATTCAGGATTGGGACTCCTTCTTAATGAATCACCCATTAATACTTCTCTTATTAAAAACCTCACCAATCAAATCATAAATACAGGTATGACTAAGGCTGACATTACTAATATATTTAAGAAACTTTTTTCCTGGAAGTTTTTTCCCCTTCCTTTCCTGCTTTTTAAATTACCTAGGATTTGATTCAGAAGGGCCTTTCTTAGAAACTGTGTCTCATGTAGTTTTGTACAGGAGTAAGTTACAGTGCCTTACCCAATAAACACCCACATGGGTGTAGGGACCCAAGGACCTGGGCTATCTTCTACTGCTTTCGCAGGCCATAGCAGAGAGCTATGGAAATGGAGCAGCCAGGACACGAACCTGCACCCATATGGGATGCCAGAACTGCAGGCGGTGGCTTTACATGCTGCGCCACAGCGCAGGGTCCCAAGAAGCTTAAATTCTTAAAGGCAAAATAAAAACTAACTTCAGATATTATTTTTTGTGTCTTATTTTAATGTAAATTTTTCAGTACTTACCTTTGAGGCATGGATAAGGTTCTTTGTCTTGAGTCATCTATAATCTTGTTGATAAGACATGTATATAAAAGGTAAATAATAGTAGAGAAGCTGCTGCATACCGTGGCAGTTTGTTCAGGCAGTGAAGGGAAAAGAACAATCACTTAGGGCTAACTAGGAATGCTTGTGAAATTTGAGCATATGTGTATATTTTATTTTATAATGAAATAATTATCTCTGCATTTATACAATTACTACCTAGTTTTTTCTTTGTTTATATTTGAAATATAATTTTAACTTTCTGCTTTTTCCCACCATAGATTCCTTTATTAATTTCAAAGACCTGTTATCTGTGGTATATATGTCTCACAGAACATATTTAAATGTCAGAGTGATCATCTGCAGAAAGGTTAGTAAACTTCCCAGACACATGTTAACAGTTGCATCATCATCATACTGCAAATAACTTTTGCATTGAGTTGTTTGCAGCAGGTGCAAGTTTTCATTTCTCTTATTTTATAAATGGCATAATTCTATAAATAATTTTCTTTTTGAAGTGAATTAACTTCATGTAATCGCAAGAAATAAATATGTGAATTATTATTCATAGCCCTACATCATCCCCCTGGAAATATTCTCTGTCAAGTATAAGAAATTTATTACCAAAGAATAGTTTATCTGAAATCTTCAATGATTACTTCCAATTTGTATGAATTTTAGAGTTACTGAATTTTCTGAACTTTGTAGAAAGAATTTTCTATAATTTTTTTGATTCTGCCAACCACGTCTTTAGCACACCTTTAACTAACCTGTGTGCCTCTCTGTGATCATATCTCTCTTCCACTGCTAACCCCTGACCTGTCTATTATTTCATTTGCTCCCTTGATTTTCTTTTCAGTTTTACCTTCTAATTATGTCATGACAGTTTTCTGTCAGTTTAAAATAAATAATATAGATGTAAAAAATTATGTACCTGAGTTATCTATATAAATATGTATGTATTTTCCTCTTTAATGGCCACATAGTTTTTATTATATAGTTGTCTGGTAAGTCTGGGGCAGGTGTTTGTCCTAACAGTCAAGCTACTAATTGAAATACCTGTGTCTGTATCAGAATGTCTGAGTTCCATTCTTGGCACTCTCCACCTGATTTCAGCTTCCTGCTAGTGTGCACCCTGGGAATCCACAGGTGATAGCCCACATGGCTGTTTCCCTGTTGCCCACATGGAAGACCTGGATTGAGTTCCCAACTCCTGGGTTCAGCCTGGTTTAACACTGACCTTTGGGCATTTGGGGAGGTGAACCAATGAACAGGAACTGTCTCTGTCTGGCTCTGGTGTGTGTTCTCTCTCTCTCTGCCTCTCTGAAAACAAAGAACATTATATAGGGGCTTACTGATAGATAGTTGAGTTGTTCTTGTTTTTCCATGTTAAAAACTGCTACTAAGAATGTTGTTTTATGTATTTCTCTGCCTAATTGTAATAATACACCTGTAGGGCATATTCCATGAAATATAGTTGGTGTGTCAGAGTGTTCACATTTTACATTTTGATAAATTTCACCAAATTCTCCTTTAACTATACTGGTATACATTTCCATATACTGTGTGATGTTAACTTTTTTCCTAACATACTCAACCCATTGATAGTTTAAAGGAGCTTGTACAGATTCTTTTCCGTGCAGTTAGATTAAAACAGCTCCCATATGTGTGTCAAACACATAAAATAAGTCCTTTTTAATGAAATCCTTCCAAGTCATAAGATCATAAAAAGTTGTTTTTTTTGTTTGTTTGTTTTTGTTTTTTTTGGAGTTTTTCTTCCCAAGCAAAGCTTAATCTGGAAGGGAAAAATGGGATTCTGCACCATTAGAGTAGTGATAGCTTCCTGATGAATATCAGTGACAAACAGCGTGTCATTGTGCCTCATTGCTTTCCACATTTGTGCTGTCACACTTAAGTTCTTACCACCATTCATTATCTCCTGCTTTGAAGCTTGTCAGAGTTAGAACTTGTGAGCCTTAAGAGAGATACTCAAGGAAAAAAAGAGAGATTCAAAACCCCAAGAAAGTTCTTTTTATCTACATGGCTTTTTGGAAAAAAAAGTCTTAAAAATCTTAACTAAATTTCTGATGTTTTTTAAAAACTTGTTTTCTGGGGCCAGCATTGTGGCATAGTGGGTAAAGCTGCCATCTGCAGTGCCATCATCCCATATGGGCACAGATTCGAGACCTGGCTGCTCCCATTCCAAGCTACCTGATGAAGCTTCTCAGAAAGCAATGAAAGATGGCCCAAGTGCTTGGGCCCCTGAACCCATGTGGGAGATCTGGGAGAAGCTCTTGGCTCCTGGCTTTGGTCTGGCCCAGCCATGGCCATTGTGGCATTTGGGGAGTGAACCAAGGGATGAAAGATCTCCCTTTGTCTGTCTGTCTCTCTCTTGCTCTCTCTTTTTCTCTCCCTCTCTTCATAACTGCCTTTCAAATAAATAAAGTAACTCTTTAAAAAAAAAACACTTGTTTTTATTTTTTAAAACATTAGAGTCAGTTAAATAGTATGGATCACATACATTGCCATGTCAGTCTCTGTTCTTTAATTTCAACTTATTCCAGCTAAGCAGTGGCATCTATCTTGCTGGTATCAGTATTTTGGAATTAAAGTTAATTTTTGTTTTTCTACAATACAAACTTAACTGAAAAAAATATTTTAAAAAACTAATCCTAAACTTTGCCTTAGAAAAAATGAGACAGGAAAATATTCTTGGCATAGCCAGTTTCTATCAAAGTGTCATCTGTTTTCTAGTCATTCTTCTGACCCTAACCCTATTTCCTAGAACTGTGCCTGGCACATAGTAGGTATCCTAAGGCATTTGCTAAACAAATTTACTGGGATCATAGAAAGTATTGAGGAGCAGACATTAGCCTAGTGGTTAAAACGCATACATTCCACTTAGGTGTGCCTCGGTTTGATTCCTGGCTCTAGCTTACGAAGTGTGCACAATTCTGACAGGACGACAATCAAGAAGTGATTTTCTTTAGGAAACAGTTCTACTAAACAACAACATGGGAGTAAAAGTAATTGAAAATGTTCAAGATATATCATATGCATGACTGTGGCCCCAAATTGCCATTTAGGATGCTTTGAATTGTTGGATATAAAAACTAGCCCTGTGTATGGAAAGTTACAGATACCCAAAACAGACAAAACCTCCCCTGATTCAGTATCCCACTATTTTCTTGTTGTACCAAAAAACAGATAACAGCAAATTATGACACCTCTTTAAAAAAAGTCATTTACATCTGAAAAATGAGATGAACTGGGACTCCCTTCTTCTTAAAAATGTTTCTAGACCTACAAAAAACTTGCATTAAGTCAAGTGTTTGGCCTAGTGATTAAATGGCCAGGTAGGACACCCACCTCCCACATCAAAGTACTTGTGTTCAATCCCTGGCTCTGTCTCTGAGTCCAGCTTTCTGTTAATGTAGACCCTAGGAGGCAGCAGCCATGTCTCAAGTGTTTGGGTTCAAGCCACTCACATGGGAGACCTGGATTGTGTTGCCAGCTCCTAGCTTCAGCCCGTTATTTGCAGGCATTTGAAGAAAGGAGCCATAGGAAAGAAGCTTTCTTTCTCTCTCCCCCTCTCAAAAACAAACTAACTTGCATTTACTAAATAGCTGACAAAAATATTCCTCCATATGGAGATACCTCAGAAATCTGAATATAGATGTACCATATGATCCAGCCATCCCACTCCTAGGAATTTACCCAAACCAAAAGAAATCAGTATCTGAAAGTTATCTGTACCTGTACCAATGATCATGGGATCATTGCAGCACAATTCACAATAGCTACAATATGGAGTCAACCCAGATGTCTATGAACTGTTGGCTGGATAAAGAAATTATGGTATATATACACTATGGAGTACTGGTTAGCTGTAAAAAAAGAAAAAGAAAAAAAATCCTGTCTTTTGCAACAAGATGGGTGCAACTGGAAACTATTATACTTAGTGAAATAAACCAGTGTCAAAAGGACAAATATCACGTTTTTCCTGATCTGAGGTAACTAACAGAGTACCTGAAATGTAATGTATTGGAGTGAAACAAACATTTTGAGATTCCATGATTGTTTGTAGCCCATGTCTCTTCCATGGAGGAATAGGGTTTTTTTTCTTCTTCTTCATACTATTTGTTGAACTCTTTTACTTAGTTTAGGGTTAATTATATGATCATTAAGTAAACTGAAAATAGATCCTTGTAAAAATTAAGAGTGGGAATATGAGAGGGAGGAGGAGGAAGGGTCAGAGAGTGGGCAGGAGGGAAGGTGGGGGAATTGTCACTATGTTTCTAAATCTGTATATATAAAATACCTGGAACGTTTATAACTTAAATAAAAATTTTTAAAAATATTCCTCTAGATTATACAAGAAGGGAGACAGGGATTACAGAGATGACAAGGTATTTAGTATTAATCAGACTTGATTCTTTCGTTCTGCTTCTTGAGAGACTATAATCTCCTCATTTTCAGTTTTGCTGTTTTCCTGCAGGTAGATATTTAGTTTCTTACTTACCCACTTCGACCTGTTTTTTTTTTAAAGTCTATTTATTTAGTTTTATTTATTTGAAAGGCAGAATGATAGAGATCTTCCATCTACTGGTGTACTCCCCCAAATGCCCTCAATAACTAAGGCTGAGTCAGGCTAGAGCCAGGAGCTAGGAATTCCATCTAAGTCTCCCACGTGGGTGACGGGGACCCCAAGTACTTGAGCTGTCAAGTACTTGAGCCAGGGTGCATGTTAGTAGGAAGCTGGATGGGAAGCAGAGGCAGGACTCAAAACCTAGCACTTTGGTATGGGACAAAGGCATCCCAAGCAGGAGATTTAATCCTCTGTGTTCTAGTGCCCACCCCTCCTGCAGCCTGTCTGCTTTGTTTACACTTTTGGCAAGGCAGGTTTAGCTGACAACCTCACCCATCTCCTCTTGGGCTCCTCCTTCACTTACCTTCCTCTTGGTCATCTTGGCAATAGGGAGGTCATGTGTTGGGTATCTGCAGGCTAGGACATACTAAGAGCTTTCATGAAGCTGGGCTGCCTGGCAGCTGCTGCTCTTCCTGCCTGTTTTTGTTTTTGTTTTTTAACAGGCAGAGTGGACAGTGAGAGAGAGAGACAGAGAGAAAGGTCTTCCTTTTGCCATTCGTTCACCCTCCAGTGGCTACCGCAGCCTGCGCGCTGCGGCTGGCGCATTGCGCTGATCCAAAGCCAGGAGCCAGGTGCTTCTCCTGGTCTCCCATGCGGGTGCAGGGCCCAAGCACTTGGGCCATCCTCCACTGCACTCCCGGGCCATAGCACAGAGCTGGCCTGGAAGAGGGGCAACTGGGACAGAATCCGGCGCCCCGACCGGGGCTAGAACCCTGTGTGCCGGCGCCGCAAGGTGGAGGTTTAGCCTATTGAGCCACGGTGCTGGCCTTCCTGCCTGTTTTTCAGTGAATATTTCAAGTGCATCTCTACTGTATACAATAAGTAATATGCCTATTAGTTGGAAGCAATTTCAGTCCTCCAACAAGTTTCTAATCTCATTAAGAACGTAATCTTTTGGAAATCTATCCTAGGACAGTGTGTCATTTACATAGCTGAAAAGATCATATTTTTATATAAATTATTATATACTTTTAAAATAATTTGTATTCTTAATCTCTTTGCAGATTTTACAGATTTTGAGGTCCCAACCAGATGCAGCACATCAAATGTCACAACAAGTGGGTTGGCAAGACACTTTAGTTAGGCTGTTTTTAAAAGCAAACTTTGAAAATGGGAATACTCTTCATAAGTACAGTAAGGCTGTTCCAGTGAAAGACAACGATAAAAATATGTCAACTGAAGATGTTAAGAGGAACTTTGATGAAAAGGCTGATGAGGAAAAATCCAGCTCTTTTGCATCAGGGAATGTGTCTTCTGATCAGTGGAGTTTGGAAGACAGACAGTCGCTCGACTCAAACACACCGTTATTTCAGGAAGATAGTTCTGTGGGAGAATTGTCTTTCAAATCAGAGGATCAAGAAGAATTGTGGCCTAGTATCCCTTCACATTTGAGTTTAGATCTCAGTGGAATTGAGTCATGTGAACTGAGCGATAGTGGAAGTCAAATGCCAGACAGCCTGCCTAGCACACCATCCCCAATGGAGTCTGTGAAACCTTTTTCTGTGCAGTCTGACAGAGACAGCAACATCACACATGATACCGGTTTTAATGATGATTACTCTTTACTTGAAAGCCAAGAGGTAAATTCCTTATTTTTCTAAATTCTGTTTATATTTCCATGTATGTCATATACTTGAATCCTCAGAAATATATAAGCACTTTTAGCAGTTCCATGCTATATTCATATTCCATGTCTCATGAGCTAAGGTTCAGTAGCTTAGAAGTCACTACATTGTATCTTGAGAAGAAAGTCAGTGTCTTTAGGGCCTAGTAAGGTTCAATTTTATCAAGGCACTTAGAAAATGTGCTTAACAGTTAAAATCAGTATATGTGACAGTTCTTCTGATATGCTATAATACACCCTCCTTCCAGGAATTTGATATAACTTTGTCTTTTTTGCAGAGATGTGAGGAAGAACTTTTTCAGTTACTGACAAGTATTTTGAATTATGTAATGTGTAAGGGACTTGAAAAGTCGGATGATGATACTTGGGTTGAACGAGGACAAGTGTTTTCAGCATTAACCAAACCAGGAATATCCAGTGAACTACTTCGACCACCAGATGAAATAAAACTTACGTAAGCCATCACTTAGTGATTTCTCATGCTCCATTTGGAGTGGGCAAGAGTCGAAAATAGTAATAGTATTGTATTCAGTGAGTATAGAGGGAGAAAAGGAGAAACTGTGTATTCATTTCCTTTTCCTATCTTTTGCTATGCTCATGGCTTATAGAGAGAAAACAAAAACTAACTACAGTGTGAGGAGATTGAAATCTTAAATCATTTCAGGTTTTAAGTTCTGCAGTATCTGAGGACTTGTTGCATTGTGTTCTACAGTATTGTTCATATTCGAGTATGTCCATGCTAAGGGAAGGGAGTTGTGTTTTCGTGGAAAGTACTTCTCTGAAGCATGGCGGGTCCCCTGTAGATGATGGCAGTCTGTAGCAGTAGCATACCAGGAAAGATAGACCTCCATTTTTCACAGGCTGGACCCTCTGTAAGGAATAGTAAGGCCTTCTTCCCTAATCTTCCCAATTTCCAACTTTAAATAACTTTAAAGTATTTTTAAATACTTTAAAAAAACTATTTTAAGTATTTCATGGAGATTGGGCAATAAATCATTGCCTTAGTTTTTTTATAGTCAAATCAGATAGCTTTTAATTTTAACACTAGGTATATTAAAGGTATATAATCCAAACATTAAAAAGTTGTCTATTATTACATTCCATCCACAATGTCTTAATTATATTTGCAATGATAGTGTGTCATTGGAGAGATGAGTACATAGCTACTAAGAATTAAGTGTTGTTGTTTTTCATGTTTTTCTACCTTTCCAAGCTTATGGTGGTTTTAAGAGGACTTTGTTTTACACTTAGTTTGCTACAGAAGATGTTAGAATGGGCAGTCACAGAAAACAGAGACGCAAAAACAAATCCAGTAGCTGCTGAAAATGCCTTCCGACTCACGCTGATCACACAGGACTTCCTGCAGTCAGAGGGACTGGCTAATTCAAACATGTGGACTGAGAAGGTGCAGTAATAGCCCTTTGCAATTACAGTTTGGATAGTTAAGGACTTTCAACAATGAAAGAAATGTTGTATGTTTCCACATTTTTAGAGCATTAATACTTAATGAGACCCAATAAGCATGGATAAGATGTGATCAACAAAGAATTTGTTAACTGTTACTAGATAATTATTTTGACTTTTGCTAACTGAACATCAGACTAGTTTTGAAATATTTATGATTTGTATTGGTGTTGGGAAAAAGCCATCATCTGTAGATTTAAAATCTGAGTGTCTTTTTTTTCTTCTCAATTTTTCCATTGAGATAGCTTTTAGAGGATATCATGCTGCTCTTTGATTGTCTGTCCGTCTGGTTTGCTGAAAGTCTGGTATGGGGAAAACTCTCTCAAATTCAGATCCAGTTGCTTCTAGGATTCATTGGAAGGGGCAATCTACAGGTTTGTTGATTATTTTATGTTATTTTCTATACTTGCGTGTGGTATAGATATTATTTATGTGATAACTGAATAATGATATCTTTTTAGTATTTTCATCTTTTTATTAGTTTTAAAAATCCATGATTTCACTTGGAGTTTTAGTTTTATGAGATCAGAAGGGAGCTTGAAAGGCAGCTAATTGATTATTCCTTTCTAATTTTACATTCCTAATACCATCATTTCAAATAATTTAAAGATTTCCTGGGGCCGGTGCTGTGGTGTAGTGTGTAAAGCCACTGCCTGCAATGCCCGCATCCCATATGGGCACCAGTTTGAGTCCCGGCTGTTCCACTTCCAATCCAGCTCTATGCTATGGCCTGGGAAAGCAGTAGAGGATGGCCCAAGTCCTTGGGCCCTTTCACCTGCATGGGAGACCCGGAAATAGCTCCTGGCTCCTGGCTTCGGATTGGCACAACTCCAGCCGTTGCAGCCATCTGGAGAGTGAATCAACGGATGGAAGACTCTCTCTCTCTCTCTCTCTCTCTTTCTTTCTGCAACTCTGCCTTTCAAATAAATAAATAAATATTTTTAAAAAAGATTTCTTGTTACAAGATTTACATTTAAGTTATATTGGAAACATTACTCACATTATCTGTAATCCTTGTAGCTAGCTAGGTGCTAGGTGGTCTGCATAGACTATTTATATATGTGGATTATGATTTGCATTTTTAGGAGACTTTTTTTAATTTTTAATTTTTTAATGATTTACCTATTTATTTGAAAGAGTTACACAGAAAGAGGGGGAGACAGAGAGAGAGAGAGACATCTTAAATCCATTGGTTTACTTCTCAAAGGGCTGCAACAACTGGGGTTTGGTCATTCTGAAGCTAAGAGCCAAGAGCTTCATCGGGATCTCCCACGTGGGTGCAGGGGCCCAGGCGCTTGGGCCATCTTCCACTGCTATCCCAGGAGCATTAGCTGAGAGCTGGATCGGAAGTAGAGCAGCCAGAACACAAACCCATGCTCATATAGGATGCTAGCATCACAAGTGGCAGCTTTACCTATTATGTCACAACGCTGGTTCCCAGAATTATTATTATTTAAACTATTCCTTTCAAAAATTTTTCTGCTTTTTTACAGATTCATAATTATGCAATATATCTCATGTATTTTTTATTCGCCAAATTCCAAATATGTAAGTGCTGAGCATTGTGCTTGATTTTAGAAATAAAGAAAATTGGGGCCAGCTCTTTGGTTTTAGTAGGTTAAGCCTCTGCCTATGGCGCTAGCATTCCATATGGGTACCAATCCTTATCCTGGCTGTTCCACTTCTGATCCAGCTCTCTGCTATGGCCTGGGAAAGCAGTAAAAGATGGCCTAAGTGCTTGGGTCCCCGCACCCATGTGGAAGATCCCAGTGAAGCTCTTGGCTTGGGCCATTGCAGCCATTTGGGGAATGAACCAGTGGCTGGAAGACTGTCTCTCCTTCTTCCTCTCTGTAACTGTGTCTCTCAAGTAAATAAATAAATATATATAAAAAAAGAAAGATAATTAATGGTACAATTTTAGTATTTGGTAAAGGGGGTCAGGATGAGACAAGCTTCTAAAACTATGCATAAACTAGATATAAACTAGATAAAATGTTGCTAAGAACATGGAGAGTGTTGCTTGTATTGCTGCTGCATAGCCTAGAAAGCCACCACCTGGGATGCCAGCCACTCCCACTTCCAGTCCAGCTCCCTGCTAATGGCCTGGGAAAGCAGCCGCAGATGGCCCAAGTGCTTGGGCCCCTGCCACTGATGTGGGAGACCCAAATGAAGCTCCTGGCACCTGGATCCTGATTTTGGCTTGGTCCAGCCTTGGCCATTGCAGCCATTTGAGGAATGAACCAGCAGATGGAAGATCTCTGTCCCTCTCTGTAACTCTGACTTTCAAATAAATAAATAAAATTTTAAAAAATGGAGAGGTTAAAAATCTGAATACAGTTGTCCTATTTTAAAAGACATGGTCTAATGATTCTATTTTTTCATAAATATTTCTTTCTGATTGGAAAAGTGACACATACTCATTGTGGAAAATACAAGAATAAAGAAGAAAAAACAAATTATTCAACATTCCATAGCCCACGGGAAAACAGCTGTTAGTCTTTTAGTGTATTATTTCCTTCCTGTCATTTTTTCTATGAATGTATATTTTTCATATGATTGAAATTACCATATATATGGATAATTTTCTTTTTTATTTTTCTGACTATATAAAACTCATTTTCTGTTACTATATATAAAACTCATTTTCCCATGCTGCTTTTGTAAAAAGATTTTTCCCCTTTATCATAAAGGTAACATATACAAATTGTAAAAAATTTGGGAAATGCAGAAAAGCTAAACAAACAAAAATGGGCATTAAGACACACAAGTAGTGTAAGTTTGAATTGCATAGGCTTTAAAAGCAATTTGAAAATATGTCAACTAAAAACTGTGAAAAATGATTATTCTTTGTCTAGTAATTCTATCCTAAAACTATCCAAAGGAGATAATCTAAAATACTGAACAGTCTTCAAATACATGAATATTTATCATGTGATATCATCTAATTCTTTCTTATTTTCTCATGCTTCTCTTTATGTGGAAAGTAGTAAAATTCTCAATAATGACATAAGGTTATGGGAGAAAGAGGCATAATACCTTGTTTTTCCTCATTTGGTGTTAAGGCTTAGATTTTTCCCTAGCTTAGACAAAAGGAATCCCTTTAATGACTTAATTTACATTTCCACCTTGGGGTTAAATAGTAAAAGTACTACTTTGCTGAGGCTTGTACCCTGAGTATGTATTTTTCTTGGGAACTTTAAGTGTTCTTAGATTTCCGATCAAGGAACTCTGTCTCCTATGTATCTTTCCTTTATGTAAAAGGATACTTTGATTCCGAATAATGGGAACAACAACTCAAACTGACTTAATTACAGAATTTACTAGATTATATAATCGAGAATGTTTAGTTAAGATGAGTTTAGGTAATGATTCTGTGCAGGTTTGGATGCCTTTCATTTACTGGTCTCACAGTTCTGCTCTTAACCCCTTTTTTAGTTTCAAAAAAGATTTATTTGTTTATTTTACTTATTTGAAAGACAAAATGACAGACAAAGCTGAAGAGACAGAGAGAAAGAGATTTTCCATCTGCTGATTCACTCCCCAAATGGCTAGGGCTGAGCCAGGCTGAAGCTAAGAGCCAGAAACTCCAACCAGATCTCCCTGGATGGCAGGGTGGCAGGGGTGCAAGCACTGGGGCCATCCTCTGCTGTTTCCTCAGGTGTGGTGTTTCCTCAGTAGGGAGCTGAATCAAAAGTAGAGTAGCTGGCACTTGAACTAGTGCTCCTATATGGGATGCTGACATCACGGGCAGCCACTTAACCTGTTGCACCACAATGCTGCTCCCTAAAGCTCTGCTGTTGAGCATTTGTCAGCATATCTTTATTTATTTAAGAGGTAGAGTTACAGACAGTGAGAGGGAGAGTCAGAGAGAGGTCTTCCTTCTATCTGTTCACTCCCCAACTGACTGCAATGGCCAGAGCTGCACCAATCCATAGCCAGGAGACAGGAGCTTCTTCCAGGTCTCCCACGTGGATACAGGGGCTCAGGTGCTTGGGCCATCTTCTACTGCTTTCTCAGGCCACAGCAGAGAGCTGGAACTAGAACCAGTGCCCATATGGGATGCTGGTGACAGAGGCGGAGGATTAACCTACTGAGCCATGGCGCTGGTCTCTTGTTAGTGTATCTTTTTTTTTATTTATTTTAATTTTAATTTTTTTTTTTGACAGGCAGAGTGGACAGTGAGAGAGAGAGAGACAGAGAGAAAGGTCTTCCTTTGCCGTTGGTTCACCCTCCAATGGCCGCCGCAGCCAGCGCAATGCTGCCGGCACACCGCGCTGATCCGATGGCAGGAGCCAGGTACTTATCCTGGTCTCCCATGGGGTGCAGGGCCCAAGGACTTGGGCCATCCTCCACTGCACTCCCAGGCCACAGCAGAGAGCTGGCCTGGAAGAGGGGCAACCGGGACAGAATCCGGCGCCCCGACCGGGACTAGAACCCTGTGTGCCGGCGCCACAAGGCGGAGGATTAGCCTAGTGAGCCGTGTCACTGGCTTCTTGTTAGTGTATCTTAAGGTGGCCTCACTTAGGAACACAGAATGACCACCAACAGCAGTGGATATGTGCTACTTTATTTGTATCCTGAGAAAAACAGTGCTTCTTCCAACAATCATTGTTGGTAAATTGTTCTTCCTGGGTCTCTTGTGTTCCTGCATATCTTCTGAGTAAGACTCTGACTATCTTGTTATGAAATATATTTTTGAGATTGTTTAGTGAACACCTTTGGAAGATATCTCCCTCTAGAGCAAACAAGTGAGTTAATTAACTGTCCAGTTTAATCAAGACAATGTCTGCCTCTATAACAATATGATTCAGTGTAAATGATATTTGAGTTACTGGTACATGGGCTTAAGCTGCCACTTGGTGTCCACATCCCATATGGGCCTGGGATCAAGTCCTACTTCTGCTCTGATCCAACTTTCTGCTAAGGTGTACTCTGAGAGACTGCAGATGATGGCTCTAGTTTTGAGTCCTTGACAGTCACATGAGAGAACTCTAGCTATTGCAGGCATTTTGGGAGTGAACCAGCAGACAGATGGGATTCTCTCTCCCTCTCCTTCTCCCTCTCCCTCTCCCTCTCCCTCTCCCTCACTCTGCGTTTCAAATAAACAAAAATAAATACATAAACTTAAAAAAGGATTTGTGTTGCCTATGGTTGGTGTTCCTCTCCTATGATACAAGCAGTCCATTTGCAGGCATCATCTAGCCCACTTCAACTCTCGCTGTGGGTGTTGTCCTTGGGGGAACCACTCTAAATGCTGACACTTTTCCCCTTGCTGTTGCTGTAGATCTTTGTCTCTGACTCAGGGGTCTCATATTTTCTGCTAGTATCTGTGAGACTGTGGCAGGCTGACTTATTAACTTGCAAGTAAAATAAGATCTGAGATCTTCCACAGATCTTGTCAGTTAGTATATAAAAGTTCTGAATTTAAAGAGTGAGGCAGAACTTTTGCTGTCACTAAATGCTTTATTTCACTTTCTCTTACCTAAATTATTTTCCTCCAGGTTTGTGCAATGGCATCAGCAAAGCTAAACACCCTTCTTCAGACCAAAGTGATTGAAAATCAGGATGAAGCATGCTATATTTTAGGGAAACTGGAACATGTTCTAAGTCAATCTGTTAAGGAACAAACTGAAATCTACTCATTTCTGATTCCTCTCGTACGGACCCTGGTTTCCAAAATTTATGAACTTCTCTTCATGAACTTGCACCTGCCTTCTTTACCCTTTACTAATGGTAGCTCCTCATTTTTTGAAGACTTTCAAGCATATTGCAGTTCAAATGAATGGCAAGTTTACATAGAAAAATATGTAAGTTGTCTTTTTTGAATGAGTTGTTTATACTATTTTATCATTTTCATAGAAATGTATATTAAATTCTATATGTTTTTTATATAAGATTGTACCTTATATGAAGCAGTATGAAACCCATACATTTTATGACGATCGTGAAAATATGGCACTTTATTGGAAGGGTTGTTACGAAGCATTAATGGTGAATATGCATAAACGAGATCGGGAAGGAGGGGAAAGCAAGCTCAAATTCCAGGTAAAATTATTAAATGTTATAATAACTAATTTTTCTGTAGATTCCAAGCACTTAATATTCAAATAAGAGTAGTATAAGCCGGAAATTTGAATACAAATAGTATTTTTATTGTTTTTCTAAAAATTCATAATTGAGTAAAATATTGACCAGTAATTAAAATAACTTAATAGTAAAATGTTCTAGTCATATTGATTATGTTAAGCTATCAGCTTAACAATGATAAGCGCATTAGTAGATAACCTCCCCAGTATATGGGAAACATCATTGTTTAGTGTGAAATTTGTAACACTAGATACTTATATTAGAAAAGAAGAGAAGCCTCAAATTAATTTTAAGTTTCTAACTTTAAGAAGCTAGAAGGGGCCGGCACTGTGGTGCAGTGGGTTATGCCCTGGCCTAAAACACCGGCCTCCTATATGGGTGCCGGTTTGAGACCCGGCTGCTCCACTTCCAATCCAGCTCTCTGCTATGGCCTGGGAAAGCAGTAGAAGATGGCCCAAGTCCTTGAGCCCCTGCACCTGCGTGGGAGACCCAGAAGAAGCTCCTGGCTCCTGGCTTCGGATTGGCACAGCTCTGGCCGTTGTGGCCAATTGGGGAGTGAACCATTGGATGGAAGACCCCTCTCTCTCTCTGCCTCTCCTCTCTCTGTGTAATTCTGACTTTTAAAGAAATAAATCTTTAAAAAAATTTATTTATTTGAAAGAGTTACAGAGAGAGATGGAGAGATACACAGAGAGAGAGAGAGACGAGCTCTTCCATACCATGGTTCATTCCCCATATGGCTGCAACAACCAAGGCTGAACTAGATTGAAGCCAGGGAACTAGGAACTTCACTGGGTCTCTCACTTGGGTGGCAGGGGCCCCAGTACTGGGCCATCTTCCGTTGCTTTTCCCAGGCATATTAGCAGGGAGCTGGATCAGAGTGGAGCATGCTGGCACTGTAGGCAGTGTTTAACCCTCTGTGCCACAACGCTGTTCAGGAACATTATTTTCAACAAATGATGTTTGAAACTGGACATTGATATGTTGTTTATTTTAATTTTTAAAGATCTGTTTATTTATTTGAAAGGCAGAGTTATGGGGAGGAGGAGATCTTCCATCTGCTACTTCACTCCCCAGATAGCTGCAACAGATAGAGCTGGGCCAATCTGAATTCAGGAGCCAGAAGCTTCTTCCAGGTCTCCCACATGGGTTCAGGGCCCTAAGCACTTGGGTTGTCTTTAACTGCCTTCCCAGGTGCAGTAGCAGGGAGCTTGATCAGAAGTGGAGCAGCCAGGACTTGAATCAGCACCCTTAGGGGATTCCATCGCTACTTCATTAAGATTCATTTTTAATTATCTTTATATACAGAAGACCAACTCTATACTTAGTAAAGATTTCAACAGTTTGTACCCACACAAAGTATTAAGTACTGTTGAAGACAAGTTTTACCAATAATTCTCATAGTTCAATTCATTAAGGACAGAGGTCCTACATGGGAGCAAATGCACAGTGACTCCTGTTGTTGATTTAACAATTGACACTCTTATTTATGACTTCAGTGATCACCCAAGGCTCTTGTCATGAGCTGCCAAGGCTATGGAAGCCTCTTGAGTCCACAAACTCCGACAGTATTTAGACAGGGCCATAATCAAAGTGGAAGTTCTCTCCTCTCTTCAGAGAAAGGTACCTACTTCTTTGATGGCCCTTGCTTTCCACCAGGATCTCACTCACAGAGATCCCTCATGTAGGTCAGTTTTTGCCACAGTGTCTTGGCTTTCCATGCCTGAAATGGTCTCATGAGTGTTTTAGCTAGATTTGAATGCCTTAAGGGCTGATTCTGAGATCAGAGGGCTGATTAAGCCCCTTAATTTTTAAAAAACCTTTGTTGTTTGAAGGAATACGTTAAGGATTAAAAAGGCAAGCCATGGACTGGGAGAAAATACTTGTGAATAACATTGTGACAAAGAATATATAAAGAATCTATAAAACACAGCTCTTAAAAAAAAAAAAAAAACAATAAGGGGCTGGTATTGTGTAGCGGGTACAGCCACTGGCTGTGATTCCAGCATTTCTTACAGGTGTGGGATCAAGTTCTGGCTGCACCGTTTCCCATCCAGCTTCCTGCTCTTGCACCTGGGAAAGCAGCAGAAGATGGCCTCAGTGCCTGGGCCCCTGTACCCACATGGGAGACCCAGAAGAAGCTCCTGGCTCCTGGTTTCAGTCTGGCCTAGCCCAGGCTGTTGCATCCATTTGAACCAGCAGTTGGAAGACCTGTCTCTCTGTGTCTCCCCCTGCTCGCTCTCTGTAACTTGTGCCTTTCAAATAAATAAAATAAAGCTTTAAAAAAGAAAGAGAACAAACAATACCAGTTTAAAAAATCAGCAAATTATTTTAAATGATATATCACCAAAGAAGATATATAGATAACAAATAAGCTCATAAAATATGTTCAAATCATTAGTGATTAAGAAAACATAAATAGTTATTCATTGTTTGTTATATTTTTGGTTTAAAATATAAATACATTATAACTAGAATTCTAGATTATAGCTACAATTGTAATTCCATAAATACAAAATTATATCATGTTTCATCAAAGAATTATTCTAATGGAATAAGAAAAGCATGTGATACAAGCTTCTTTCTTGCAGTGCATGATTTTATTGGTTAAATTTTTAAAGTTTGTAGGTATGATTCTGTTGCTCTTATTTATTGCTGCTTCTCGCAGGAGTTTTTTGTGGAACCTTTTAATCGAAAAGCACGTCATGAGAACTTGAGGTATAATAATATGCTTAAACAACTGAGCAGTCAGCAGTTAACTGCTTTCAGACGCTGGAAGGCAACACAGCTCTACCTTACGTGTGAAAGAGGACCTTGGGCTGAAAGGTAGGAGTACCTCATTTCTGACTCATTTTTCAATGCCTTCACATTCCAATCTTTAAAATGTTCAGTTTATGAAAAAGTACCTTTAATTCAATTTCTTGTCTTTATGTGAATTATGTTTGGAGTAATTGAAGGTCTGTGTGTATATGTTTTTTATCATACAATTATTTCACCTCATTTTTACCCTACCATACAAAGTTTACTGGACTTACTCTTACTATGTATTGACCCAATTTATTTCTTTCTGACACCACCTCTTTGAGCTAAGGTTAAGGAAGATATGTATTTGAATATTTTATAATTTATTTAATTGACCCTAAGTTATTTTTGTTTTGCTTGGTTATCTATTCTTTTTAAAACATACCCTTTAAAAAATGTGGTAAAGTACACATAGCATAAATTTTGTCATTTTAACCATTTTAGATGTACAGTTGAGTGGTATTAAGTATATTTGTAATGTACAGTAATCACCACTGTCTGGCTTCAGAACATTTTCATCACTCCCAAATAACTTGTACCCATTAAAGTAAGTCCAGTTAGCCCCTTCTGTACTCCTGGCAATCACCATTCTCCTTTCTGCCTTTGTGATTTGTTTATTATGAGTATTTCATATAAATGGAACTCAACAGTATGTAGACTTTGGGTCTGGCTTATTTCACTTAGCATGATGTTTTCCTTATGTCATGCATATATTAGTAGTTTTGTGGCCAAATAATAATACTCTGTTGTGGAGGTATCCCACATTTGGTTTATCTTCCACCAATTGATGAACATTTGGTTGTTTTTCACTTTTGGGTTATTGTGAATAGTGTTTCAGTGAACATTTGGGTACAAGTATTTGTCTGTAAGCCTGTTTTAAATTTCTATGGATATACCTATGAGTGGAATTGCTGGATCACAGGTTAATTCTATGTTTGACTTATTGAGGAATCACCAAATTATTTTCCACAGAAACTGCATCATTTTATATTCCCATTAATAGGGTGGGAGTGTTCCCACTTGTCCACATCCTTACCAGTACTAGTTATTTTCTGATTTTTTTGGTGTGTGTGTTCCTTCTAGTAGAGGGATGGGGAACATAAAGCCTGCCAACCGTAGAAGGCCCATGAAATCATTTGATTTGTCCCTGCCAAGGCAACTGCAGAGGGAACTTGAAATTCAGTAGATCTGTAGCATGCTTGATTTTTAAATGAGGAATATTGAATAGCCATGAATGATGTATATATCCATAGGGCCCTGGCAGAAAAAAGGTGCCCCACTCCTGTTCTAATGAGTGAGAAGTGATTTTTAATTTTGCTTTCCAGTTTGCTAATGACTGATACTGTCACACATCTTTCATGTGCTTGTTGGCTATTTCTGTATCTTTTTGGAGATCACCTACTGAAGTCATTTGCCCATTTTTAAGTGGGTTGCTTGACATTTTGCTGATTTGTGAGAGTTTTTATAAAAATGTATTTTCTATAATACATCCTTATCTGATAATATAATTTGCAAATATGTCAATTTTTCATTTTCTTTAGAGTAGCTTTTGAAATGCCAAGTTTTTATTTTGATGTTTATCAAATAAGACAATAAAATGTGAACTTTTCCATAAAATGGTACTAAGCAAATGTGAAGTGCTTGGTATATTTTATACTATTTTTGTCAGCCAAGGTTTATAACTTTAACTAATTTTACTTTTATGCTTTTGAATATTCCTAGGAAACAGAATCCAGTTCACTGGAAACTAGCTAATGTAGAAAATTATTCCCGCATGAGACTTAAACTGATTCCAAACTATAATTTCAAAACCCATGAAGAAGCTAGTGCTTTGAGGGATAATTTAGGTGAGTTCCAATGACTGTTTGTTTATTCATTGAAGATAGGGTGTTGATGCAGCTGGTTATTACTGTTTTTAAAATATTAGCTCAGGGACCAGCACTGTGGTATAGTCGGTAAAGCTGCCACCTGCAATGCCAGCATCCCATATAGGCACTGGTTTGTGTCCTGGTTGCTCCACTTCCAATCCTGCTCTCTGCTAATAGCCTAACAGAAGCAGGGGAAGATGGCCCAAGTTTTTGGGCCCCTGCCATCCACGTGGGCGACTCTGTTGAAGCTTCTGGCTCCTTGTGCCCTTTGTGGCCATTTGGGGACTGAACCAGAGATAGAAGATTATTCTCTGGCTCTCCCTCTCTTTAACTTTACCTTTCAAAAAAAAAAAAAAAGTTTACACAAGGAAAGGTGGCATTTTTATATTTTTTTTCTTTTTTAATTTATTTGACAGGTAGAGTTATTATAGACAGTGAGAGAGAGAGAGAGAGACAGAGAGAAAGGTCTTCCTTCTGTTGATTCACTCCCCAAATGGCTGCTCCGGCCGGAGCTGTGCCGATCTGAAGCCAGGAACCAGGTGCTTCTTTCCAGTTTCCCATGCAGGTGCAGGGGCCCAAGCACTTGGGCCATCCTCTACTGCTTTCCAAGGCCATAGCAGAGAGCTGGATGGGAAATGGAGCAGCCAGGACTCGAACCCGTGCCCATATGGGATGCCAGCACTGCAGGTGGCAGCTTTACCTGCTATGCTACAGCGCCATTCCCGAGCATTTTTTTTTTAAAGATTTTTTTTTTTTTTAAAGTGGGAGAAAGAGGGAGAGAGAGAGATATCAATCTTCCATCTGCTGGTTCACTCTCCAAACCTGGCCACAATGGCCAGATCTGGGCCAGACCAAAACCGGGAGCCAGGAGCTTCATCTGGGTCTCCCATGTGGGTTCAGAGGCCTCAACATTTGAGCCACCCTCTGCTGCGTTTTTCAGGATCTTAGAATCTCATCAGAAGTGGAGCAGCTGGCACACAAACCAGTGTCCGTGTGGGATGCCAGTGTCTCAGGCAGCAGCTCTACCTGCTATGCTACAACATCAGCCTCCAAGAGTGGCAATTTATAATTGATTTTTAAATTGTTATATGTTTTCAATGTTGTTACATTTGGTGAAGTCCAAGTTGACTTTATATTTCCACTGATAATTGTATGTTCAAAGAAAAACTTTTTAAAAAAAATTTATTTATTTTGAAAGTCAGAGTTACACAGACAGAGAAGAAGAGAGAGAGAGAGAGAGAGAGAGAGAGAGAGAGAGAGGACTTCCATCTGCAGGTTCACTCCCCAGATGGCCACAGTGGCCGGAGCTGTGCCGATCCGAAGCCAGGAGCCAAGAGCTTCCTCCAGGTCTCCCACGCTGGCGCAGGAGTCCAAGGACTTGGGCCATCTTCTACTGCTTTCCCAGGCCATAGTAGAGAGCCGGATTGGAAGTGGAGAAGCCGGGTCTCGAACCGGCATCCATATTGGATGCCGGCACTGCAGGTGGTGGCTTTACCCACTATGCCACAGCACCGGCCTGGAAAACCTTTTTAATTTTAAAATTATTCTATACTTTATATGAACTGCTGTGTCTCCTTCAGTGAAGTAATGTCCTTTTCATTCAGTTTGCTTCCCATTAAGACTAATGTTAGATTTCAGTACAATTCTTAGGAATCCTTTAGACCTTTCTTTTATAATCTATTTTAAAGAATTCTATGGCACCATTGTTGTGGTACAGCAGGATAAGCTGCCACCTGCGATGCCAGCCTCCCATATGTGTGTCAGTGTAAGTTCTGGCTGTTCCGCTTCTGATTCATCTCCCTACAGATGAGCTGGGGAAGATGGCCCAAGTGCTTGGGCCCCTTCTATACATGTGGGAAAGCTGGATAAAGCTCCCGGTTCATTGTGGCCATCTGGGGATTGAACCAGTGGATGGAAGATATCTCTCTCTCTGTTTCTCTCTGTCTCCATATAACAACTTCAAAATAAATCAATTAATCTGGAAAAAAAAAAAAAAAAACTACATTTAGGGGCAGGCTTTTGGCCTGGCAGTTAAGCTGCCTACATTCCATATTGGAGTGTCTTGAGTTTGATTCCTGGCTCTGGCTTCTAATTCTACTTCGTAATGATACAGACACTGGAAGACAGCAAGTGATGGCTTAAGTAGTTGGGTCCCTGACCACCCATGTGGTAGACCTAGATTGAGTTCCTGGCTTCTGGGCTTGGCCGTACCTAGTTCTGGCTATTGTGGTCACATGGGGAGTGAACCAACAGATGGGATGTATTTATGCACATACATGTGTAAATATATTTATTTATATATGTTCTTATATGTATGTATATATTTGTATTTATATGTATATGACATATATTGCATATGTATATATCAGAAATGTCTGTTACATTCCATGTGCTCCATAGAGTAACACTTCAACTCTTGTTCTGTATTATCTTCAGTTTTGTCATATGTTCTTTCTTAGTATATTTTGTTTATTATATTAACACAGAATAATTCCTTCTTTGATCTAATTATTGGCATGCTTTAGAATCAAATACAATTAAAAAAGTCATTGGCTTATTTCCAAAACAGTACCTCAGTGAAACTATATACCATACTGTTAAAACATTTATTCCTTTTATCACATATATGGTAATTTTTAAGATCACCACCAAACATTAGAGATTATTCTGAATCAAAGTACCCATCAGAAATTATAGAAGGACTATAATACCATTTTTTATTTTGTATTTAAACAGGTGTCCAACACTCACAGCCTTCTAGTGATTCACTGCTTTTGGAAGTAGTAAAACAAGTAAAAGTTAGTGATATGGAAGAAGACAAATTGGAACTTCTTGAAGAGGACTTAGCAGCCAGAGTAAATATGTATGTTTAAGTACTTGGTAGAATTTTAAATTATTTAGTTCTGAGAAATAGCACTGCAAAATTGTGAAAGATACTTGCTTGAAATTCTAACACTATGTATTCTAAGATCTAACAGTTGATGCTCTGTCAGCTGTTAGGAATCTTATCAATGTCTATTGAGATTATTGGGGAAGCCTTCTTAAACTGGGATAACTTAGAGGTAGAGCTTAAAGTTAGAAAATAATTCCAAATCAATTGGTAATCAAAACAGTGTATGATTTGTGAGATACAGCTAAAGCTGTGCATAGGTGGAAAGGGCAGCAGGAAATGTAAGAGCAGAAGAAATATTATGAAGATAAAGGAAGAAATCTATGAAAGAGTAAAACAAAAATCAAAAAGATGAAAGAAAACAAAAACTGGATATTAAAAAATAAACAACTAGCAAAAAATATAAACCTATAGCCAAACTGATGAGTATAAGAAAAGCATGTAAATTGTCATTCTCCAGGATGAAAGAGGAAATATCACCACAAATATTAAAATGATTCAATAGAATACTAATGACAGTGACAGCTTTATATCAATACATTTGAAAACTTAAGTGAAATAAATTCATATTTGAAATTCTTTGAAAGACACAAATTACCTGATCTCCCTCACTGAAGAAACAGATAGCCTGAATAGTCTTAGACATATTTTCAAATTCTGAATTGGTAGTTTAATAAAAAATTTTCTTAAGAATATATAAAATATATTTATTTCCTTTTTCTTGTTGCTGTTGTCTCATATATTAGACCTTTTAGACATTTTTAAACATAATAAAACAGTTTTACAGTTAACTGTTTTATGCAGTGTTTTTTTGTTGTTTTTTTTTTTTTTGACAGGCAGAGTGGACAGTGAGAGAGAGAGACAGAGAGAAAGGTCTTCCTTTTTCCGTTGGTTCACTCCCCAATGACTACTGCGGCCGGCGCGCTGCAGCCGGCACACCGCACTGATCCAAAGCCAGGAGCCAGGTGGAGCAACCGGGACTAGAACCCGGTGTGCCGGCACCACAGGCGGATGATTAGCATATGGCCAGCAGTTGTTTTTAATCAGTTAAGGGAAGGAAAAAGAAAAATATGTTTATACTTTCTTTTATATTTGTCTACATAATTACCATTCTTGGGTACTTTTTTTTGTATGAATTCAGGTACTATATGGTGTTATTTCCTTTCAACTTAAACAACTTCCCTTAGTATTTCTTGTAAAGAAAATCTGATAGCTACAGATTCTCTTAGACTTTCTTTTCAGGAAGGTATTTCCTTCATCTTCATTTTTTGACTCCTTTTTAATCAAGGTGTACAAGCCACAGTGTGCAACACCCACATCCTATATGAGTGCTGGATCTAGTCATGGCTACTTATGTGCCTGGGAAAGCAGCAGAAGATAGCCCAAGTGTTTGGGCCCTCTGTTGTCCACGTGGGAGACTGCATGGAGTTCCAGGCTCCTGACTTCACCCTGGCCCAGCCCTGACCATGGCAGGCATTTGGGGAGTGAACCAGCAAATGCAAGATCTGTCTCTGTGTCTCCCTTTCTCTGACTCTGCCTTTCAAATAAAAAAATATTTTTAAGATGTACTTCACATAACTTAAAATTAAAGTGGTTTCTTGTTATATTTATCATGTTATTCAACCATCACTGTTTCCTACTTTAATAACACGTCTGTCATTCCAGAAGGAAATCCTAAACCTTTTATTAGTAGTCTGAATTTTCCTCACATTTCCTGTAACTGCTGCCCTACTTTTTTTTTTTTTAATCTGTTTTTTTAAAGATTTATTTTATTTATTTGAAATATAGAGTTACAGAGAGAGGTAGAGACAGAGAGAGAGGTCTTCCATCTGCTGGTTTACTCCCCAGATGGCCACAAAGGCTGGAGCTGTGCCAATCCGAAGCCAGGAGCCATGAGCTTTTTCCGGGTCTCCCACGTGGATGCAGGGGCCCAAGGACTTGGGCCATCCTCTACTGCTTTCCCAGGCCACATCAGAGAGCTGGATCAGAAGAGGAGCAACCAGGACTAGAATCGGCGCTCATATGGGATGCCAGTGCTTCAGGCCAGGGCTTTAACCAACTGCACCATAGCGCCGGCCACTGCCCTACTTTCTATCTTTGGATTTGCTTATTTTAGACATTCTCTAAAAATCATATAGTATGTGGCCTGTGTCTTGCTTACTTCGTTTGGTGTAATGTTTTTGAGGTTCATTCATATTGTGGCATATAATAGTACCTCATTCCTTTTTTATAGCTGAATAGTATTCCATTTGTGGAAGTACCATATTTTTTTTATCCATTCATTAGTCATTGAGTATTTTGGGTTATTTCTTCTTTTTGATATAAAGAATAATATTTCCATGAGTATTCATGTATGAGATTTTATGTGAACTTACATATTCCATTAAGAGTAGCATTATAGCCAGCGCTGCGACTCAATAGGCTAATCCTCTGCCTTGCGGCACTGGCACACCTGGTTCTAGTCCCAGTCGGGGCACCGGATTCTGTCCCGGTTGCCCCTCTTCCTGGACAGCTTTCTGCTGTGGCCCAAGAGTGCAGGGGAGGATGGTCCAAGTGCTTGGGCCCTGCACCCCATGGGAGACCAGGAGAAGCACCTGGCTCCTGGCTTCGGATCAGCGCGGTGCGCCGGCCACAGCGCGCCGGCCTTGGCGGTCATTGGAGGGTGAACCAACGGCAAAGGAAGTCCTTTCTCTCTGTCTCTCTCTCTCACTGTCCACTCTGCCTGTCAAAAAAAAAAAAAAAAAAGTAGCATTACTTAGTCATATAGTAATTGTGTTAAACCATAAGAGGTCTGATTTCTCTGTAGCTATCTTTGTTATTCTGCTTGTTGTGCTTTTTAAAAATGTATTATAGCCATATTAAAGGGGTTGATGAATTACTTTCTCATTTCCCTACTAACTAATGAGTTTGAGCATCTTTTTATGTGCTTTTTGGCCATTTATATGTCTTCTTTGGACAAACAGTTATGCAGATCTTTTATCCATTTAGAAAACATTTTATTAAAAACTTCTGTGTATCAAAGAATACCCTACAATTGGATTGATTGTCTTTCACTTTCTTAATGGTGTCCTCTGATATACAGAAGTTATTAATTTTGATGAACTCCAGTTTGTTTTTTCTTTGGTTTCTTAGTCTTTTAGCATTGTATGTGTAAGCAACCACTGCGTAATCCTAAGTTATACAGGTTTGGTTCTATGTTTTCTTCTAAGAGTTTTGTTCATTAATTCTTAATCTTTATGGCTTTGATCTATTTTGAGTTTTTGTGTATGGTGTGATAGAGGAGTACAGATTCACTCTTTTGCATGTGATGAACCCAGTTGTCATAGCACCATTGCCTTAATTTATGCTGGATAGTTTTTGCTGAATATAGAATTCTTGGTTGACAGGTTTTTTTTTTTCTTTTAGCATCTTGAATATGTATCTGCCTTCTAGCCTGAGTTAATGAATGTCAGACTTACTCATCTTTTTTTTTTTTTTTAAGATTTATTTATTTTGAAAGGCTGAGATAGAGAGAGAATCTTCCATCCTCTGGTTCACTTCCCAAATCTTTTCTGAAACCAGGAGCCAGGAGCTTCTTCTGTGTCTCACACGCAGGGTCCAAAGACTTGGGCCATCTTCCGCTGTTTTCCCAGGCCATTAGTAGGGAGCTGGATCACAGTAGAGCAGCTGAGATTCGAACCAGCACCCATAGGGATTCCAGCACTGCAGGAGGTGAATTTACCTGCTGTGCCATGACACTGACCACAGACTTACTCATCTTAAACTGAAGAACCAAAATACTTTCTATTATTGAGTTTGAGTAACCTTCATGCTATGTATTACTTTAGGTTACTCATTCATTCTCTACTTACCATGATAAATATTAGAATTTCACATTTTAGCAAAATACTCTTTCCAGAAATTCTTTTAAAAACCTTTTTTTTTAATGCTTTAAGAAAAAGATTTCAATATAAACAGGTAAGTTGGTGATACTTGCAGAGCTTTCTCATGTAAATCCAATGGGAACAAAATTAGTTTTAGTCATTGTTATCCTGGAATTGAGGCAGATGTGAAATAATCTAGAACTGGAGAGAACCAACTTGAGATATTTACTAGAATAACATTATGTTAGTGGGAGGAGTTCTCATTTGTATACTTGACAGTGAAAGTCACCTAAGCCACCAGAAGATGGTCCTTTCCAGTTTTTCCTTCCAATTAAAACATTGCACCTAATACAAGATGACTTAAGTTTAAGTGAAGTATGGCATTTGTAGACCTTTGTATTGTCTCCAGTTCCATTGTCAGGAGGATGCTAAAATATTGGTGTCCCAGTTTTTTTTCTTTTAATATTCATTTATTTATTTGAAAGTCAGAGTTACACAGAGAAAGAGAGAGACAAAAAGACAGATCTTCCATCCACTGGTTCACTCCACAGATGGCTGCAACAGCCGAGGCTGGGCAGGGCCAAAGCCAGGAGCTTCATCCATGTCTCCCACGTTTGTGACAGGTGCCTAAACACTTGAGTCATCTTCCTCTGCTTTCCCACACCCTTTGCAGCCGGGACAAGAACCGGCACCCATATAGGGTTGGTGTTGCTGGTGGAGGCTTTACCTGTTATGCCACTACACTGGCCCCTGATGTTGCAGTTTTTAGTTATTCTTGAAAACCCTATTTTTTTTTTAAGATTTATTTATTTGAAAAGCAGAGTTACAGAGAGGCAAAGGCAGAGAGAGAGAGAGAGGTCTTCCATCCTTTGGTTCATTCCCCAGATGGCTATGACAGCTGGAGCTGCGCTGATTTGAAGCCAGGAGCCAGGAGCTTCCTCCAGGTCTCCCATATGGGTGCAGGGGCCCAAGGGCTTGGGCCTTCTTCCACTGCTTTCCCAGGCCATAGCAAAGAGCTGGATTTGAAGTGAACCAGTCGGGACACGAACTGGCACCAATATGGGATGCCAGCACTGGAGGCAGCGGCTTTACCTGCTACACCACAGCACCGGCCCCAAAAACCCTACTTTACAGTTTGAAAATTATAATACTTCTGAAAATATTAGACTAATAATGCAATCCTTATTCACAGATTTGTATAGTCCTTGAGTCAATTCATACTTTCTAGAATATAATTAAAACAACACGACCACTATTGTTGCATTTTTAACTGTCCTTTCAGTTATATTTGATTTAGTATATTTTGTTTTAATGGGTTTTATCATATTAAGGGCCGGCGCCATGGCTCACTTGGTTAATCCTCCGCCTGCGGTGCTGGCATCCCATATGGGTGCCGAGTTCTAGTCCCGGCTGCTCCTCTTCCCGTCCAGCTCTTTGCTGTGGCCCAGGAGGACAGTGGAGGATGGCCCAAGTGCATGGGCCCCTGTACCCGTATGGGAGACCAGGAAGAGGCACCTGGCTCCTGGCTTTGGATCGGCGCAGCAGTGGCCTAAGCGGCCATTAGGGGAGTGAACCAATGGAAGGAAGACCTTTTCTCTGTCTCTCTCTCTCACTATAACTCTACCTGTCAAAAAATTAAAAAAAAAAAAAAATAGAGGATGTAAGATAGTGATTTCCTAAATGGTGTGTATGTAATTTAAAAAAAAAGAAATTAAAACATAAAGCATTTTTATGAAAGAGTCATTAGATAATAAAAAATTTGGATAATATTTGGATAAGTAATTTAATATGCAGTAGAATATTTCTTGTAGGTAATTCAAATATTCTTTCTCACACACTAATTTTGCAAATATATTTGAATATGATATTCTCCATGTAAGCAGAACAAATTGATAAGTATTTGTTTATTGGGGTATTTTTTATAATAGTGATGAGAAAGAAGAACAGGATCAAAAAGAAAAATTGCTGTTGATGGAAGACTGTGAACTCATTACAGCAATTGATGTAATTCCTGGAAGATTGGAAATCACAACGCATCACCTTTACTTTCATGACTGCAGCATTGAAAAAGAGGACGGTGAGGACTTCCGATAGGATGAGTTCTGTTGTTCATTCAGTGCATAGTTCATCAATCATGGAGGAAAAAAAGAAAGCAGAAGTGGGAACATGGAATTGTGTTGTATCATGCAAGTGGAGAAGTAGAATATCAGTGTGGGGTTCAGTCTGTTATTCAACAGTGTGTTAGAATACTTACATTTAAAAGATATGGCTACAGGGAATTACTGTGACCTAAAGTTACAAAACATAGTCTTATTCCTGTAGGCATCTCATCTAATCCTTTCTGTGATTAAATCTGAGGTGTCAATATTAAGAGAAAAGGAAAACTGTTTCTAAGATACAATATTCTGAGTTATTCTCTATTCCCATGGAAAGGCAGGAGAATAGTTGTAGAATTTTAAAACAATTAAAAAGAACAATTTAAACATCCAGTAAATTTAATAAATGATTTTTATAAGGAAATCAAGCAAGTGAATTCCTTTTGCTTAAGTACTACGTTTGTCAGAAAAAGGAGGTTTTTTCTGCTTAGCTGAGTAACTTTGTATGGTATTGCCATCACAAGATTTCTTCTTTTTCAGGAGTCGGTTTTGATTTCAAGTGGCCTCATTCTCAAGTTCGAGAGATTCACTTACGACGTTATAACTTGAGAAGATCAGCCCTTGAGATTTTTCATGTTGACCAATCCAATTACTTTCTCAATTTCAAAAAAGAGGTATGTGATGTAATGTGCTACCTTTCTGACAGTCTTGAAGTATTAGCTTAAAGTGATTTTCTGGCTAGGGAGCTCTAATGATCCTTTGGACTGTATAGACTCTTGTATCAAGACAAAACATTAGAGAAAAAAATACATACCTTGGGCATTAATCAGTATATGAAATTTTGCTGGAATTTATGTTTGAGTGTTGGAAGCGTGGTAGTTTTCAGTTTCTGTATATATGAATATATAAAGAAGTCAGTAGAATATTGACTGAACTAGTAGGTGCCTCATAGTCCAAATTCAATAATTTTGGGACATCTTTTTCTTCTATAAATATAATAAATTATTTTTTTAAATTAATTTACTAATTTGATTAAATTAATTGAATTTCAGGTTAACAAATTTTGTATATCTCATATATACAGATTTAGGAACATACTGACACTTCACACACTACCTCCCTCTCAGGCACACTCCCACCCTTTCTCCTCCTTCCTCTTTTTCCCTCTCTTAACTTTTACAATGATCTACTTCATACTCATAAGATTAGCCCTACACTAAATAAAGTGTTAAACAAATAGTAAGAAAAAAACCACTGTTCTTCAACAGCAGAAACAAGGGCTGTAAACTATTGTTGAGTCTCATAATGTCAATTTCACTCCTATACATCACATTTTTTGGGAGTCTATTAGTTACCACAGATCAGGGAAAACACATGGTATTTGTCTTCTTGGGACTGGCTTATTCAACTAAGTATAATGGTTTCCAGTTGCATCCTTTTTGTTGTAAAAGACAGGATTTCATTCTTATGGCTGAGAAGTATTCCATACTATACATACCACAATTTTTTCATCCAGTCATCAGTTGATGGACATCTGAATTGATTTCTTATCTTAGCTATTTTGAATCGAGCTGCGCAATAAATTCTTAATTAGCGTAACTATTTAGGTGCATAGACTTTGAAGCCAGATGACATGGTTCCAAGTACTATCTCCACCACTAGCTGTTTAATCTTGGGTCTGTTATTTGAGACACTTGGTCCCAACCTTCTTTCCCTCTCTTCTTCATTAGACTTAGACTTGTATTACAAAGCCAGACAGTTCTTGCCAATTTACCTAGCACACCCATTTTCTCTTGTCCCGTCCTGCTTGGAGAGTGGCTTCCCCTGGTCCGTGGACTTGTTGCTCAATATAGAAATGAAGAGAGAGGTCCCAAAGGGTGTGCAAAAGCAAGCAAGTTTATTTGGGACAAGTGACAAAAGGTTCCCATGCAGAAGAGGAGCCCTGGAGCTGAGAGTACATCACCAGTGGGATTCCTCTCCTTTGTTATTTCCTTCTCTCTCCCGCCTTGTCTGTGAGGTACTGACCCTCACCTACCTCATACAGTAAGGATCATATTTGGGTTGGCTCCTCTGCCTCTGTCTGTGGTATGGAAGAGGTCAGTAATCGGTTGCTGTTTTCCATATCATCTTATGTGCTATTCTGCCCCTCTTCCTATCTTTTTAGTCTATGTTAATTTTGTGTTCCCCTAAGCTTTGTGTTTTTTCTGGAGGGGTGGAATTTTCCAGAATTCACCCAAGGTCCACTCTTTTTTCTTAACCCTGCCTCAGGGGCCCTCTTTCTCTACATAGTCATCTCCCTTAACAAAGTCCTCACATGTTTAATTCTGTCTTGGCATCACATCTCAGAGACTCTGATTCTTATAGAAATAGCTAATTTTCTATTTATATGGGGCCAAGATTTACTTATAGATAATTTGATTTAGATGTTTAAAGATCATTTTCCCATTTTCGTAAGAGGATACCTTTTTTATTATTACAAATAATATTTTTATATGAAAACACAAAAAAGTTTTATCAAAAGCTGTGTCATGTAATTAAACAAAGTCTATGCCTGATAAATACCATATATTTCTATATATTAAGGCCATACATTTCTATATCTTTAGTTATCAGGTTTTTAAATATAAATGTTTTTTAAATTGATTATTTTTATTTGCAATGCACATACATGTTCCATCACTGGCTCACTCCACAAATGCCCACAACAGCCAGCACTGAACCAGGCCAAAGCCAGGGCCTAGAATCCCAAACTAAGTCTCCCACATGGGTGGCAGGGACCATACTACTAAGTTGTCATCTGCTGACTTTCAGGGTGCACATGAGCAGAAAGCTAGAGTCAGGAGCCGAGCTGGGACTCAAACACAGACACTCCAGCATGGATGTGGGGATCCTAGCAGTGTCTTAGCTGCTATACCAGATGCCCAACTCACTGTACAGTTGTTTTTAAATATTTATTCATTTATTTGAGAGAGTTAGAGAAAGGGAGATATTCTACCTGCTGCTTCACTCCCGAGACAGCCCCAGTGGCCAGGGTTGTCCCAGGCCAAAGCCAGGAGGCAGGAGCTTCATGTGGGTAGCAGCAGCCCCAGCACTTGGGCCATCTTGTGCTACTTTCCCAAGTATATTAGCAGGGAACTGGATCGGAAGTGGCACAGCTGGAATAAGAACCAGTACCCCTAAGGGATGCTGGCATTGGTTTAATGTCTTATGCCACAATGCTGGTCCTGCAGAGATGATAGTTGGGAGATGGTCATGGTGGAAGGTACTTGGCTCACTGGGGCATATCCTTGAGAGGCAATCCTTGTCAGAGGATTGGTAATAAAATCTAAGGTGGGTGCTCTCCTTGCTTCCTGGCTCACCATGAGATTATTTCTCAACAAATGCCCTGCCGTTGCTATCCGGCAGCTGAACCAACGGGGTCCACCCCATCATGGATTGTGAAGCTCCAAAACTATGAGCCAAAATAAACCTCTTTCCTTCATGGGATGTCTATATATTAGATACTTACTTATAGTGACAAAAAGCTGACTTATTACACTGATGCTAATAGTTGCACAACTCTGAACATACTACAAAAACACTGAATTGTATACTTTAAAGGGTGAATTATCTTAGTCAAACTATCATAGGGCCCAGTGTTGTGGCATAGTAGGCTAAGCCTCTGCCTATGGCACTGGCATCCCATGTGGGCACTGGTTTGTGTCCTGGCTGCTTTTCTTCAGATCCAGCTCCCTGCTAATGGCCTTGGAAAGCAGTAGAAGATGGCCCAAGTGCTTGGGACCCTGCACCCAAATGGGAGACCTGGAAGAAGCTCCTGGCCCCTGGATTCTGGCTTCATATTGGCCCAGCCCCAGCAGTTGTGGCCGTTTGGGGAGTGAACCAGGAAGACCTTTCTGTCTGTCTCTCCCTGTCTGTCTGTAACTCTGCCTCTCAAATCAATAAATAAAATCTTTAAAATTTTTTTTTGAAAATAAAGAAAAGCTATCATAAAGACCACATCCCAAGATTATGTTCATCTTTTTTTTTTTTTTTTTTAACAGTGTGAACAGTGAGAGAGAGAGACAGAGAGAAAGGTTTTTCTTCCTTTGCCGTTGGTTCACACCCCAGTGGCCGCTGCGGCTGGCACACTGTGGCCGGCGCACCGCGCTGATCTGGAGCCAGGAGCCAGGTTCTTCTCCTGGTCTCCCATGCCGGTGCAGGGCCCAGGCACTTGGGGCATCCTCCACTGCACTCCCAGGCCACAGCAGAGAGCTGGCCTGGAAGAGGAGCAACTGGGACAGAATCTGGCGCCCTGACTGGGGCTAGAACCTGATGTGCCGGCGCCGCAGTTGGAGGATTAGCCTAGTGAGCCGCTGCGCCGGCTTCATCAGTTTTTAAAATATAGAATTCTGCAATTGATCTCAGAAGAATAGAATAGTGAAGTGGTCACTAGAGGATCGAAACATTATGGAGAGGAAAGAGGGAGAGAGAGAGAGAGATTAAATAATTGCTACCAAAATAGTTCTAGTGTTCTACAGCATGGCAAGCTAACTGTAGTCTACAAAAATTTTTTTATATTTCAAAATAACTAGAAATAATCTGAATAATAGAAATGGCAGATGTGTGAGGATGTGAAAATAGTGATTACCTTGATTTGATCATTACACATTGTATAGCTGTGTCAAATTATCATATGTACAAATATATGTGTCAATTAAAATATAATCCTGGGTTTTTTATAGGCTAGAAACAAAATATATAGCAGACTATTGTCACTTCATTCTCCAAATAGTTACGGAACCAGATCACCACAGGAATTATTCAAAGCATCAGGATTGACCCAGGTAAGATTTTTAAAGTCAGTATTTGAGTGTTCATTTTATGTATCAGATATTTGCTTGAAATTAAAACTTGCCTATTCTGATTGTTTTCTTTTGATTATTGTATATTGACAAAATTTGAATCTTCCTTTGGTTCCCCAACACAGTGCCTTCCCCCATCTCCCATATCAGTCAGTTAATACCTATACCCTTCAATAATTTTCTCTTTTTAAACAAATTTTTAAAAAAGCAGAAAAATTTTAAAAAGTGTCATGAAAAAAAGGCAAAAAAAATTGTTATCAGTACTTCTTCCAGCCAGGCTTAATAAATGCTGTTGTTAATTTATTTTTTTTAAATATTTATCTACTTATTTATTTGAAAATCAGAGCTACACAGAGAGAGGAGAGGCAGAGAGAGAGAGGTCTCCCATCCGCTGGTTCACTCCCCAACTGGCCGCAAAGGCTGGAGATGTGCCGATCCGAAGCCAGGAGCCAGGAGCTTCCTCTAGGTCTCCTACGCGGGTACAGGGGCCCAAGGACTTGGGCCATCCTCCACTACTTTCCCAGGCCATAGCAGAGAGCTGGATCAGAAGTGGAGTGGTCGGGACTAGAACCAGTGCCCATATGGGATGCCAGTGCCTCAGGCCAGAGCATTAACCCGCTGTGCCACAGCACTGGCCCCAATAAATGCCCTTGTAAATTATAACTTTACTATATCTCAACATCTCTTGATCTTGTACTGCTGAACCCAAAGGAAGGCCATTGTTTTTTGGGTTTTGTTTTTTTGTGGGTTTTCTTTCTTTTTTTTTCTTTCCTCTTCTTCCTAGGACTGTTAGTACTCTCGTAATCAGGGTGCTTGCCTCCTGGCTGTCTCCTTTCTCCCACAAACACATCATCTTTAAGTGGTTTTATTCAAGAGTCATCAATAATTCTTTACTGTTGTCAATAAGACAAGTTTTGTTTAATGAGAAGTGCATTCTCTGTTGTTGCCTGAGCAATAAACTTAAGTACTGAGTCCTCAACCTGGCACCCGAGAATTATTGGACTTTCTCTAAGATACATGTCTTTCTTTTCTCACTTTTCCCGTCAATGTCTGTCTGTCTCTCTTTTTTTAGAATTTATTTTATTTATTTGAAAAGTGGAATGAGCTTTCCATCCACTGGTTCATTTGCCAAATGGCCACAACAGCCGGGAAAGTGCCAGGCTCAAGCCAGGAGCCTGGCACTCCATCTTTGTGGCATATTTAAACCACCAGATGGAAAACCTCTCTCTCTCTGCCTCTCCCCTCTCTGTGCACTCTCAAATAAATAAATAAATCTTAAAAAAAAAATGCGGGGCTGGCACTGTGGCTCACTTGGTTAAACCTCCGCCTGTGGCACCGGTATCCCATATGGGTGCCAGGTTCTAGTCCCGGTTGCTCCTCTTCTAGTCCAGCTCTCTGCTGTGGCCCGGGAAGGCAGAGGAGGATGGCCCAAGTGCTTTGGCCCTGCACCCGCATTGGAGACCAGGAAGCTCCTGGCTCCTGGCTTCGGATCGGCCGTAGCAGCCATTTGGGGGGTGAACCAATGGAAGGAAGACCGTTTTCTCTGTCTCTCTTTCTCTCACTGTCTAACTCTATCTGTCAAATAGATAAATAAAAAAAAATTCCATGTACCATTGCTCTATATTAAGGTAGTTCTCTAAGGATAATTAATGCATCATTAGAATTTTGAAGTTTTTGTATACTGAGATATTTTAAAATATATATGCTTCTGAATATTTCCATTTATAAAATTTTCACAGTAGGACAGTCATAGAATTAAGAATTTTTAAATACTCCATTTATATTTAATTGACAAATAGACTTAATGTAAGATTTACGTTGGTACTGGCATTGTGGCATAGCAGGTAAAGCTGATGCCTGCCATGCCGCCATCCCATATGGGCTCCAGTTCAAGTCCTGGCTGCTCTATTTCTGATCCAGCTTTCTGCTAATGGCCTGGGAAAAGCAATGAAAGATGGCCCAAGCACTTTGGCCCCTGCACCCACGTGGGAGACTCAGATGAAGCTCCTGGCTCCCTACTTCTGCCTAGTGCAGCCCTAGCTGTTGCAGTCACTTGAGGACTGAAGTGGCAGATGGATCATTCTCCCTCTCTAACTCTTTGAAGTAGTGTCTTAAAAAAAAGAAAGATTTATGTTCAGTCTTTTATTCCTTTTCTAAATTTTAAAAGAAAGGAATTTAGGAAATATATGGGGATATAGCTCTATGTTAATCAACTTGTTTTTTGATGGGCTCCATTCTTTTTATTATGCATATGGTAGTCAGTGTTTACAAAAAGATAGCATGAGTCCTGTCAGTGATAGTTGCTGATTTCTGAAAGACAAAAATTAGCTGATTTTGATTTTGCTCTTTTTGTGCCCTCTAGAAATGGGTGAACAGAGAGATATCAAATTTTGACTACCTCATTCAAATAAATACAATGGCAGGCCGAACCTATAATGACCTTGCTCAGTATCCTGTGGTAAGTCTTATGTAAATCTAATGAAGGTGAAGTTGCCTTCCTGTATGTGTTATACCCTGTTATTTTTAAGAAGTCTGTAAATGTAAAGAGTGATTTAAAAATGAAATCTTTTTTCTTTCACTCCATTGCATATATTCCAATGGATTTATAGGAACTACGGTTTTTGGGCCTTAGTTATTGAACTAAAGATTAATAAGTGCTTGTAACAGAGAAAAATATTTCTAAAGACTGTTTGTGTTTAGATAAGCATTGATACTAGATATGGGAACATTAGCTACCCCAGGAATAAATGTCTGTATTGTAAATTGTTGCTCTTTTAGTTTCCCTGGATTTTACAAGATTATACTTCAGAAGAATTGGACCTAAATAACCCTGCTGTATTTCGAGATCTTTCCAAACCAATTGGAGTAGTTAATGATAAAAATGCCAAAACTATGAGAGAAAAGTAAGTGCTTTTTGTGTCTTTTGAAAGCTATCATTGCTTGTTTGAATTTGTATTGATTTCTATGAGGGCCAACCTAATATTTTTTTTCTTTTAATGAACAACTATTTTTGATCATCTAAGTCTGATCATTACTTCACTAAGTTTTCTTGAAAATATCTATGTTGCCATCAACCCTATTTGTGGTTCTGTTGATTTCCCTTCTTTGTGAAATTTAAATCTACAGTGTTTTGAGTTTCTTTCTGGCTTATAATCAGTATGTGCTAAACAGAAATAGGTCCCTAAATTTTTTTCCCCTATGTATTTTAGACCTTATCATCCACTAATCTAACATTAAAATGTGGCAATATTTTGAAAAATAAAAATTAATATTTAATATTATACAATAATATGATAAAGAACAGTGAAGTTGTAAAAATTTGGAAAGTGTCATTAAATAACAAAAGGAAATTTCTATAATTCTGATATATTATTTATGATCTACTCTATAAACTTCTGTTTTCTTTTTTCCAAATCAAACTGCTTTCAGGCAAAAGAATAGTCTGATTTTAATTTCCTTTTGTCTCCCTGTAAACTTGTAGGTGACTTTTCAGTTAATGACTTCTGATGATAGTAATCTATTTTACAAACTAACTTACAGTTTTATTTGAAAGTGGATGGTTCTAGCTGGCGCCGCGGCTCACTTGGCTAATCCTCCGCCTTGCAGCGCCGGCACACCGGGTTCTAGTCCCGGTCGGGGCTCCGGATTCTGTCCCGGTTGCCCCTCTTCCAGGCCAGCTCTCTGCTGTGGCCAGGGAGTGCAGTGGAGGATGGCCCAAGTCATTGGGCCCTGCACCCCATAGGAGACCAGGAGAAGTACCTGGCTCCTGCCATCGGATCAGCGCGGTGTGCCGGCCGCGGCGGCCATTGAAGGGTGAACCAACGGCAAAGGAAGACCTTTCTCTCTGTCTCTCTCTCTCACTGTCCACTCTGCCTGTCAAAAAAATAAATAAAAAATAAAAAAAAAAGAATTAAAAAAAAAAGTGGATGGTTCTTTGTGGCATATTTTTAAAACTCTTCATTTCTAATATTCCTCAGTGCTTTTGGTTATATTTAATGTTTTATGTAATTTACCACTGGAACTTTGCTGTTCCATCACCACTATAAGTCAACATTTTTTCCTAGCAGTAACCTGAAAAAGCTTTTTAAAAAAATAACATTGTCAGGGCCAGCACTGGTTCAAGTCCCGGCTGCTCCATTTGCGATCCAGCTCTCTGCTGTGGCCTGGGAAAGCAGTGGAGGATAGCCCAAGTCCTTGGGCCCCTGCACCCACGTAGGACACCTGGAAGAAGCTCCTGGCTCCTGGCTTCAGACTGGCGCAGCTCTGGCTGTTGCAGCCATCTGTCTCTCTGCCTCTGTCTCTAACTCTGCCTTTCAAATAAATAAGTAAATCTTTTAAAAAAAAAATACCATTGTTGTAGGAGTGGGTGTTTAGTCTGGTGTTTAAGATCCATGTGTCCCACATCAGAGTGCCAGAGTTCAGTTTCTAGCATCCTGCTCATGCAGACTACGGGAGGCAGTAGTGATAGCTCAAGTAGCTGGGTTCCTGCAACCCACCAGAGAGACTTGGATTGAGTTTCCACCTCCAGGCACAGCCTGGTTGTGGCCATTGCAGGGATTTAGGGAGTGAACCAGTAGATGTGAGCGAACCTGTGCGTGGGTACTCTATTTCTCTTCCTCTCCCCCCCTGCCTCCCCTTCCCTTCATTCCTCCCTCCCTCTGCTTTTCAAATTAAAAAGAAAAAGACGGGAGGAAAAGCTGCAATAGGAAATACTCATATAAATTATTTTTTAAAAGATTTATTAATTTATTTGAAAGGTATAGTTACACAGAGTAAGAAGAGAGAGAGACAGGAGAAAAAGAGACCTTCTGTCTGTTGCTTCACTCCTCAAATGGCCGTGATGATCATGGTTGGGCCAGAATGAAACCAGGAACCAGGAACTCCAGATGAGTTTCCAACATGGGTGGCAGAGAGGCCTAAGCACTTGGATCACCTGCTGCTTTCCCAGGTGCATTAACAAGGAGCTGGATTAGAAGTGGAAGTAGCCTGGAATTGAACTGGTTCCAATTTGGGATGCCATGCCAGCCTTCCTGGTGGCAGCTTAACCACTGCACTGCAGTGCTGGCCCCAGTATAGATAACTTTTTTTTTTTTTTTTAAGACAGAGCTACGGAGAGAGGTAAAGACAGAGAAAGAGAAAGGTCTTCTATCTGCTGGTTTACTCCCCAAATGACCACAACTGCTGGAGCTGAGCAGATGTGAAGCCAGAATCCAGGAGCTTCTTCTGGGTCTCCCACGTGGGTGCAGGGCCCAAGGACTTGAGCCATCCCCTGCTGCTTTCTCAGGCCCATTAACAGGGAACTGGATTGGGTGTGGAGCAACCAGAGCTCAAATTGGTACCCATATGGGATGCTGGAGCTAGACTGGGGCTTTAACCCACTGCACCACAGCACTGGGCTCCCTAGACAACTTATTTTATCGGCAATCAAAGATATAAGTTGTTTTAAATTTTAGTGGTACATGTTAGCATAGATATAAGCAACTTTGACCTGAAAGTATCGTTAAATCAAAAAATAATTAGTAAACAATACATTATGTATAGTACTTTTTTTTTAGATTTATTTTATTTATTTGAAAGACAGAATTACAGAGAAAGGTAGAGACAGAGAAGTCTTCCATCCTCTGGTTCACTCCCCAATTGGCCGCAATGGCCAGAGCTGCGCCGCTCTGAAGCCAGGAGTCAGGAGCTTCTTCCAGGTCTCCCATGCAGATGCAGGGCCCAAGGACTTGGGCCATCCTCCACTGTCTTCCCAGGCCACAGCAGAGAGCTGGACCAGAAGAGGAGCAGCTGGAACTAGAACCAGCGCCCATATGGTATGCCGGCACCTCAGGCCAGGGCTTTAACGCGCTGCGCCACAGCGCCGGCCCCTGTATAGTGCTTTTACATCAGAAATATTTGAATATTAACTCGTACATTAGGATGGACAAATATTAACCAAAAAGTTGATCCTAATCAACTCTGGGAAGTAGAATTACAGTTGATTTCAAATTTCTTCTGTTTTAATTATCTCTTTTTTTTTTAATTTTTTGATAGTGAACATGTTATTGCATAGTAATAAATTTTTCTAGAATCCAGTATTATTGATATTTCTTTGTTCAGGAAAAAGTATTAAGGAATAAAACTTTCTTTATTCATTATGATATGATGATGATGATGCAAATACACTGACTCAAAAAGCTACATTTTTAGCAATATGTTACAAACTGGCTCACTTATGTAATTTTACTATTTTGTTATAAAGCTTTAATTTCTCTTTTTAGATATGAAAATTTTGAGGATCCTATGGGAACTATTGATAAGTTTCATTATGGCACTCACTATTCAAATTCTGCGGGGGTCATGCACTATCTGATTCGTGTAGAACCATTCACCACCCTCCATATCCAGCTCCAGAGTGGAAGGTATGTTTTGGGTAAATATGCCGTTTCCTATTATAGGTTAGTGTTGCAAACCATGTGACTTTATGTCTTATATTATGTTTCAGGGATGTGTCTTTTATGTCCTCTCTTAGTTTTTTTTTTTTTTTTAAGATTTATTTATTTGAAAGTCAGAGTTTCACAGAGAGAGAAGGACAGGCAGAGAGAGAAAGAGAGAGAGGTCTTATTTCCACTGGTTCACTCCCCAGTTGGCCACAGCAGCTTGGAGCTGAGCCAATATGAAGCCAGGAGCCAGGAACTTCTTCTGGGTCTCCCACATGGGTTCAGGGGCCCAGGGACTTGGGCCATCTTCTACTGCTTTCCCAGGCCAAAGCAGAGAGTTGGATTGGAAATGGAGCAGCTGAGACTCAAACCGGTGCCCATACGGGATGCCGTTACTGCAGGCAGCAGCTTTACCCACTAAGCCACAACGCCAGCCCCCTCTATTAGGTTTTGACTTAGATAATAAGTAGCCAAGCTAATTTGAGAATGAATCACTCAAACTGACTTACACAGATAACTTTTAAGGAAAATGGCTTATTCACGGTTATCTCAGTACCATTGTGATTCATACTGTTTTGAGGAATCTACCAGAGACATAGAGTTAGATTTGATCTACCTGAGAGTCAAACCTAACCAATGCCTATGTAGTTCTCTCAAGAATATTTATCAGGACAAGCAGAAAAAGAGAGAGACCCTTGCATTATAGAGTAGCTCAAACAGATCTGTGATACCACTGTATTAACATACTACCTGTGGATATTATTACTTGCTATGGTTCCAGTTTTCCTAATAATCCTCAGGAGACTTAACTTCTCCATGAATCCCCTTCCTGCTGGTGTCCTATAGGTATCCCTATTCATATACCTCATGTTTCTGTGTTGCCTTACTCTTTAACATTACCATTTTGCCTTTGCCACCTAATAAAGAGCTATTTAAACATTGATTATTCTATTTTGTTTCATTGTAGCTTCTATGTCTCACAGTTATTCCTGTCTGAAATACAAAAAGACTTTTAAGAAGAGTTTCTGGGGGGCTAGCACTGTGGCTGGGGTGTAGTGGGCTAAAGCATCCGCCTGCTGTGCTGGCATCTCAAATGGGTGTCGGTTTGTATCCTGGCTGCTCCTCTTCCAATCCAGCTCTCTGCTATGACCTGGGAAAGCAGTAGAGGATGGCCCAAGTGCTGGGGCCTATGCACCCACATGGGAGACCTGGAAGAAACTCCTGGCTCCTGGATTCAGATCAGATCAGCTCTGGCCATTGTGGCCATTTGGGGAGTGAACCAGCAGATGGAAGACCTCTCTGTATTTCTCTCTGTGTGTCTATAACTCTACCTCTCAAATAAATAAATTAATTAATTAGAGAGGGAGAGACTCTGGACTGGTGCTGTGATGTAGTGGGCTAAGCCTCTGTCTGTGGCACTGGCATCCCATATGGACGCTGGTTCATGTCCTGGCTACTTCTCTTCAGATCCAGCTCTCTGCTATGGGCCAGGAAAAAGCAGAAGATGGCTCAAGTGCTTGGGCCCCTGCGCATGGGTGGGAAACCCCAAGGAAGTTCCTGGCTTTGGATTGGCTGAGCTCCAACCATTGCAGCTATTTGGGGAATGAGCCAGCGTATAGAATACCTTTCTCTCTGTCTCTCCCTTTTTCTGTCTGTAACTTTACCTCTCGAATAAACACACAATGTATTTAAAAAGAGAGAGAGAGATCAGTAACCATCCCCAGATGTTTCATTTAGATAGGAAAATAACAGGTCATCTTCCCTCCGATAAGATACAAGAAAGTGTAACTGAGTCCTCTCAGCTTTTAATGATTTTATGATTAAGGTTTTTTAAAGCTTCTAAAATAGATTCTGTTTTGATGTCAAAAGACACCAACAAGAAATCGAAAACTGTAGATAGATCAAAGGACTTGATTCTAGAACATATAAAGACAACTAAATAATGAAAAGACAGCTGAATTTAAAAATGAGCAAAGATGGGGAGGTAGCTGTTGAAGCACAGCTGGTTAAGCTGCCACTTGGGATATCAGCATCCCACTTTGGAGTGCCTGCGATCCAGTCCTGTTTCTACATTCAATTCGACTTTCTGCTGCCATGCACCCTGGGAGGCAGCAGATGAGGGCTCAAGTATTTGGCAGACCTAGATGGAGTTCTTGGCTCCTGGCTTTGGCCTGGCCCAGCCATTAGTGTTGTGTGCACCTGAAGAGTGAACTAGGATGCTATCTCTCTTTCTCTCTCTCTCTCTCTCTCTCTCACACACACACACACACACACACTTTCTCTCTCTCTGTCTCTTCCTCTGCCTTTCAAATACATAAAGACAAATGAATTTTCAAAAAATAAAATAGCAATGAACAAAGGATCTGACCACACTTCTCCAAAGAAGATGTACGAATGTCCAGTAAACATATACCGAGTCTTTTTTTTTTTTTTTTGAAGATTTATTTATTTATTTGAAAGTCAGAGTTACACAGAGAGAGGAGATGCAGAGAGAGAGAGGTCTTCCATCCGATGGTTCACTCCCCAAATGTGTGCATCGGCCTGAGCTGTGCCAATCCGAAACCAGGAGACAGGAGCATCTTCCGGATCTCCCACGTGGTTGCAGGGGCCCAAGGACTTGAGCCATCGTCTACTGCTTTCCCGGGCCATAGCAGAGAGCTAGACAGGAAGTGGAGCAGCCGGGTCTCGAACTGGCGCCCATATAGGATGCCGGCGCTTCTGGCCAGGGCGTTAACCCACTGCACCACAGCGCCAGCCCCCAAATAGAGTCTTAGTATTGGGACAGTGGGTTGAGCTGCCACTGCCTGCAGTGCCGGCATCTCATATGAGCTCCAGTTCCTGGTTCAAGTCCCAGCTGCTCCACTTCTGATTCTGCTCCCTGCTAGTGCAGCTGGAAAAGCAATGGAAGGTGGCCCAAGTGCTTAGGCTCTTGCTACCCTCATGGGGACCCAGATGCAGTTCTAGGCTCCTGGCTTTGGCCCTGGCCCAGCTCCCATTTGGGGAGTGAACTGTCAGATAGAGAATCTCTTTCTCTCTCCCCTCCTCCACCTCCATGTCTCTGTCTCTCACTCTCTGACTGCCAAATAAATACAGTTTTGTTTTTTTTTTTAAAACTTTCAAAAATTTACCTGAAACTTTTCTCAGGGGTGATTTTGCTTTCAACTATTTTTACCAAGATGGCACTAGTGGTTAAAATTATAGTATACATTTCATGACAATAGAATTTGAAAGATAGATTATCATAATAAGGGGAACAAATGGTATGTTAGACTTTAAAGTTTCGGAAAGCTTAAGAAAAGAGTTATTGTTAGAAAACCTCAGGAGAGTTTAAAGATTTTGCTTCACGCCTTGTTGTTGCTCTCATTCATTTTCCCCTTGCAGGTTTGACTGCGCAGATCGACAGTTCCATTCTCTCCCTGCTACCTGGCAAGCTCTCATGGATAATCCAAATGATGTGAAAGAACTGATTCCTGAATTCTTCTACTTCCCAGAGTTCTTGGAAAATCAAAATCGTAAGAAATAGGGATTAAAAATTTGAGCCTGTCCTAATGGAGAACCCTGAAAAGTATCTTTCAAGACATTTTTATAGTGTTCTATGGGTTATTTAAGGTTCATTCTGTTTATAGATTACTCTGTAACAGGGTACCAGGTACCAGTCTCACCTGCCAGGGAAGCGCTGTAAGGAACTAAGCTAAATGAGTCAAACTTAATTGGGTAAGATAATCTATCAGAGTACAGTGTTTTTTAGAAGAACACAAATGGCCATATACTATTTCAGCTATGTATCCCACTTGTGTTAAAAGTCTTTTGAGTTGAAAAGGTGAGGATTTAGGCCAGGGATCAGCAAGTTACAGGTGCATGGGCCAAATCCATGGGCAAACAAATGTTTTTATTAAATTTTCATTAGACCACAGCCAGCCAGTTCATTTATGTATCATGTATATAGGGCTACTTTCAAATGATGGCATATTTGAATAGTTACAATAGAGACTACATCATTCACAAAGCCAAAAGTATTTCTATTTTGGCCCTTAGTAGTAAATGTTTGTTGACGCCTGACTTAAGTATATAAGAGAAGGCAACCTGGGGCCAGAGTTGTGGCATATAGGCTCCCTGTGGTGCTGGCATCCCATACAGGTGCCGATTCGGGTCCTGGCTGCTCCTCTTCTGATCTAGCTCTCTACTATTGCCTGGGAAAAGTAGTGGAAGATGGCCCAAGTTCTTGGGCTCCTGCACCTACCTGGGAGACCTGTAAGAAGCTATGGCTTCGTATTGGTCTAGCTCCAGCTGTTATGGCCATTTGGGGAGTGAACCAGTGGATGGAAGACCTCTCTCTGTGTCTCCCTTTCTCTGTAACTCTGCCACTCAGATAAATAAATAAATCGTTTTTAAAAAAATTACAACGAAGCAAACTGAAAATAACAACAGAGTATAAGTTATTACACTATTTGAAAATTCATACTATATTTTTGAAGTCAAGAAGCTTGGAGCTAAATACAGTATTCAAAAATTGTTCATTTTTTTTTTTAAGATTTATTTTATTTATCTGGAAGAGTAGAGTTACAGAGAGAGAGGTCTTCCATCTGCTGGTTCACTACCAAAATGGCTGCACCTGCCAGGGCCGGGCCAAGATAAAGCCAGGAGCCAGGAGCTTCTTCTGGATCTCCCACATGGGCTAAGGGGCCCAAGCATTTGGGCCATCCTCTGCTGCTTTCCCAGGTGCATTAGCTGGGAGCTGAATGGGAAGTAGAGCAGCTGAGACTCAAACTTGCACCCATATGGGATGTTGGCACTGCAGGTGGAGGCTTAACCTGCTTCACCACAATGCTGGCCCCCTTACATTCATTTTTAAGCGTAAAAAATTGGTAAGATTTTTATGACTGATGTTCTACAGGGTAATTCAGCAGTGTTAGGAGGTCATAACTGACTTCTTTCTTCTGTTATGTGTGATGTTAATGTCCCACCCTTTTCTTGTTCAGTATAATTACTTGTCATGCTGGGAAGAGCATATCTAGGGCTTGGTCTCGCTTCCATAATGCACTGTGGAACAGGGTATGGGAGACAGGGCATTGGATTCTCAGAGCAAGGTGGTCAGGATTGGTGACTTCAAGAAAAAAATAAATAAGGAAAATCTATTGACTTGAGTCTTATTCTAGATTCTTATTTCAGAAGCACAGACTAAATTTGGATATAGAATTGAAAGTACTCTTTGCTTCACAATTTGTGATACTCATCAGAGCCAGTTGCTGTCCTTAGCACTTTGCCCTGATCGTTCCCATTTCTAACTATATATTGCCTTTTTGTCAGAAATGAGGTGATGAGAGAAAGCAAATAAATAAGTTAGTATACCTTCAGGAATAGATATTAATAAAATCAACTCAAACTGTAAAAACCAAGAAATTGTAGTGTTTTCCGTAATAAAAACCTTGAGGTGTGGTGGTTTTATAAAGGTCAATTTCTTTCTGTGTTTTCACTCTGCCATTATTTGTCTTTGGCTGGTTCTTCTCATGGTTACAGATGACTGAAGAAATTTAAGGCATCATAGATAGATACACTGGCATCTGAGAAAGAACAGGTAGTGTTGATCCATTGTGTCCTTAAGAGCGAGAAACCCCTTGTCATAACTTATTCTCCAGAGTGGAGTCATATACTGAACCCCTAAACCAGTCACCTGGAATGGACACTCTGGGATTCATGCCAAAGCTGTAAATGCAAATGAAATAAAGGTTCGAATAGCAAATAAAAAGGGGCAGTGGCCACCAGTGGAGAGCAAGCAATATCTGCTTCACATCGATTGGGGTTAATATTGCCCAAAACTCTTTGCATGCTGTCATCCCATGGCATTAAACCCTCTCCAGCTTGAGACATTGGTATTTCAAGACAGCTCACTGCTATTCTAAGACTGGAATTTTAGGACTCTTATTTGAAGCTCTTTCATGTTAACACTTTTCCTCCCACATTGTATGAACAAGAAAATTTTATACTTGGGAAAATTTTGTCAAAATGTTGTGTTCTAACTATAGGTGCAAAACTTTGTTATGCAAGAATCTGCTTAAAATAGTGATATATAAGTTTATTATTATTATTCCATAAGACAAATACAAGTCTACCAGTAAGTTTAATTTATAAGTTTTAACAAAAAGCTCTAAGGAGCTGTATTTTATAAATTAGCCATTAGAAGGACTATGTTATTTGTTGTTAGTATTAGAGGAATACTTGGTATTACATTGTTGATAATTTAGAGTGAGAGTTACATAGTTTTCCCATGCTTTTCTCAACAACAAAAATTCTTGTTTTGATTTACATTATATCTACTATTTTATTTTTATTTATTAATTAACTGATAGACTACACATTAATAGATAAGAAAAAAGCCATCCTTTTGCTTAGTAATGTGCCTTCATTTGTGTTTGTTTTACTTCAATAATTGAAGCAAAATTATTTGATCCATTTATCTTTTACATGTCTTAGACTTTAACTTGGGTCGCCTACAAGTTTCCAAAGAACTAGTAAATGATGTCATTCTCCCCAAATGGGCTAAGTCAGCTGAAGATTTCATCTATAAACATAGGAAAGCTCTGGTAAGACTTTTTTTTTAGTGTCAGATTAATAAGATAAACATGTGTTTTCCAGAGGATGAAATAAAATATGCCCATTTATTATTTCCTTTATTAATTTGTTTTTTTTTCTTTTTTTATTTAGTAATATAAATATGCAAAGTACAGTTAATGGATTACAATGGCTTCCCCCCCCCCATAATTTCCCTCCCACTCACACCCCTCCCATCTCCCGCTCCCTCTCCCATTCCATTCACATCAAGATTCATTTTCAATTATCTTTATATACAGAAGATCGATTTAGTATATATTAAGTAAAGATTTCATCAGTTTGCACCCACACAGAAACACAAAGTGTAAAATACTGTTTCAGTACTAGTTATAGCATTACTTCACATTGGACAACACACTAAGGACAGATCCCACAAGAGAAGTAAGTACACAGTGACTCCTGTTGTTGACTTAACAATTTGACACTCCTGTTTATGGCGTCAGTAATCTCCCTAGGCTCTAGTCATGAGTTGCCAAGGCTATGGAAGCCTTTTGAGTTCGCCGACTTCGATCTTATTCTGACAGGGTCATAGCCAAAGTGGAAGTTCTCTCCTCCCTTCAGAGAAAGGTACCTCCTTCTTTGATGGCCCCATTCTTTCCATTGGGATTTCACTCACAGAGATCTTTCATTTAGGTCTTTTTTTTTTTTTTTCCCCAGGATGTCTTGGCTTTCCATGCCTAAAATACTCTCATGGGCTCTTCAGCCAGATCCGCATGCCTTAAGGGCTGATTCTGAGGCCAGAGTGCTATTTAGGACATCTGCCATTCTATGGGTCTGCTGTGTATCCCACTTCCCATGATGGATCGTTCTCTCCCTTTTTGATTCTATCAGTTAGTATTAGCAGACACTAGTCTTGTTTGTGTGATCCCTTTAACTCTTAGTCCTATCATTATGATCAATTGTGAACTGAAATTGATCACTGGGACTAGTGAGATGGCATTGGTACATGCCATCTTGATGGGATTGTATTGGGATCCCCTGACATGATTTTAACTCCACCATTTGGGGCAAGTCCGATTGAGCATGTCCCATAGATGTGTCTTTTAGAAAGTATAATATAATACTTTATTTGGAGGAAATGAATCTTCTGATATAGTGAGAATATAGCACAGTCCCGTGAATATATAACTGGCATATGGGTTGAGCATCGCTAATCCAAAATGACCCCAGATCTGAAACTTTTTGAGTACCATCATGTTGCTCAAAGTTTTGGACATAAGAGGACAGTGTTGGGGCTCAGTGAGTTAAGCAATTGCTTGTGATGGTGGTAGCCCATATCAGAGTACTGGTTCAAGTTCTGGTTCTTCCACTTAATATGCCTGGTAAGGCATAAGACCTTGCCAGCAACATGGGAGAACAGGATGGGGTTCCTGGCTTCTGGCTTCAGCCTGGCCCAAACCTGGCTATTGTGGCTTTTTGGAGGGCAAACCAGTAGATGAAAGATTCTCTTTCACTCTCTGTCTCTTTCTCACTCTCTGTCTCTTTCCTCCCTAGTTCCCTCACTCTGCCTCTCTTTGTGTGGCTCTTTCAAGTAAATAACAAAAGATAAATATTTTAAAAGTTTTTGGATTTTGTATATTCAGTTGGATAAAGTCTGTGCAAATATCCCAAAACTAAAAATATCTGAAAATGGACACTCCTCTGGTCCCAAGCCATTTTGATAAGGGGCACTCAACCTGTATTAAATGTTGCAGTTCTATAAGCTGTTCACTCCTGTATGAGTAACTATGCTCATTACTAAGCTGGTGTAGTTTGGGGTTTTGAAGTTTCCATGTTTATTTCAAATCTAACAAGGGTGAGTATATTTTTTATTTTTCTGGAGGATCTCACTAATTTTCTAAAAAGAAAGGCAGGTAAATCCCAAAAACCACTTTTAAAAACTTACAGGTTTTTAGCTAAATTTTCAATTACAACTGAAGAAGTAGGGAGGGTTAATTTAACATTGATAGTATGTTACTGTGTTGGAGATGCTCCATTTTTTCCACCCAGTAGCCCAGTTAGCTTTATGTTTAAACTGAAATGTTACAGATTCTGGAACTAATTAAGCCAGTACTTGGAAACATTCCTTGTCATTAGTACATAGTTGTCAAACTTACAAAATTTAACATTAGATTATTATATTTGTAAACAATAAGCTTATGTGTGAGTAAGGGATTAGAAAATAATAAGCTAACTTTGAAAAATAACCTGCTGCTTAATGGCCAGAAACTTCTCAGGTCCTTTACTACTGTACTACTAAAGACCTGAAGTAGAAATCCAGGATTTTAGAAGCATGTGCTCCCTGTTAATAAGATGTTAGAAATATATGTTTCAGTTTTGTATGGCTATGAATCAAATTACCCCAAAATTCAGTGGCTTAAAAGTATAGCCATGTTTCCCTCTCTGAGTTCTGAGTTGACTGGTCTCCACTGGGCAATTCTGTGGCTCTTGCTTGAGGACCTCCTGCAGTTGCGGTCGTATGGCAGCTGTGGCTGGAATACTCAGGAGGCTGCATCAAGACACTGGGATGCTAGACTGTTCTCTCTCTCCTGTAGTCTCAGGTTATCTCCTCTTTGTGGAGACATCCCAGACCTTTCACATGTCAACTTAGGGTTCCCCAGAGTCCAAAAGCAGAAGCTTCCTTGCTTTCTTAACAGTTCAAGTTCTGAATTGGTATAGTATCACTTCTCTCTTAAAAGGTTAAACAGTAACAAGATCAGTATAGGTTCAAATGAGGAGGGGGAAAAACCCTCTACCCTCTTAATGGTGAGACTAAAAAGGACTTTGCTTCTGTCTTTATTTCCTCCAAAGAGTCTGCTTTCTGGGCCACAGATTATGTATGGTCCTCCTGTAGGCAAATATACTTTCTGCCTCTCAAGCCTCCTCTCTCCCTCACCCTCTCCCATCTCATTAAGGCAAGGATTGGCAAACTGTAAGAGGCTCAGAGAATGAATGTTTTTTGGTCTATGTCACAGCTACTCAATTCTGCCATTATAGTGCAAAACTAGATGGGCATGTGTTCTGCTGCTAACCCATCAATCTGGCAGCAATTCAGGTTGGACCACAGAGAGTAGTAGTTTGCTTATTGCTGCTTTAAGGCTTCAGGCCCAGAGGCCAGGATCTTGTATAAACTGAGTCCATTTGTGAGTGACATTACTCAGATGTGACTCCTTGGATTTGCAGACTGAAGTAAAGAGACAAGTAATCTGCCGCCATGTACCACAAAACAGATGAGACAGAATAGGAGAACCGTGGTAGTCACTCCTTCATTCAAAACAGGAGGCTCCGGCCGGCGCCGCGGCTCACTAGGCTAATCCTCCGCCTAGTGGCGCCGGCACACCGGGTTCTAGTCCCGGTCGGGGCGCCGGATTCTGTCCCGGTTGCCCCTCTTCCAGGCCAGCTCTCTGCTGTGGCCAGGGAGTGCAGTGGAGGATGGCCCAGGTGCTTGGGCCCTGCACCCCATGGGAGACCAGGAAAAGCACCTGGCTCCTGGCTCCTGCCATCGGATCTGCGCGGTGCGCCGGCCACAGCGCGCCGGCCGCGGCGGCCATTGGAGGGTGAACCAACAGCAAAGGAAGACCTTTCTCTCTGTCTCTCTCTCTCACTGTCCACTTCTGCCTGTCAAAAAAAGAATAAACAAAACAAAAAAAAAAACAGGAGGCTCCTAGTAGTCACTGGTTTCTATCAGTTTAGAATGGCTGTACAGCCGTGTTGTCACATATTTTGTTAGGGTTCTGACCTATTCCCTGAGAGTGTTTTTTTTTTTTTTAACAATTTATGTATTGTTTGCAAGGCAGTGTTATAAAGAAAGAAGGAGGGACAGTGATCTTCCATCTACTGGGTTCACTCCCCAAATGAACTCCCCAAATGAGTACAACAGCCCAAGAGCTTTACCTGGGTCTCCCACATGGGTGGCAGGAGCTCAAGGACTTGGACTATCTTTTGCCGTTTTCCCAGGTGCATTAGCAGGAAGCTGAATCACAAGTGGAGCAGCCAAGACTCTCAAATTGGCGCCCACCTGTGATGCCGGCGTTGCAGACAGTAGCTTAACCCACCATGCCACAATGCCTGCCCCAGAAGTGGTTCTTAATGACTTTTGGTTCTACCTTTGAGTTTTGGACTTCCTCTCTAATTCTTTATTTTGAAGGAAAAGACCTTTGTTTGCATCAGTTTCTTTTGTCAACTTCTTTCCTAACCCTAGTAAGTTGGAAGCCAAAGGTTTCTCTTCTTTTTGTGAACAGTTTCTTTCTTTCTTTCTTTTTTTTTTTTTTTTTTTTTTAACAGGCAGAGTGGACCGTGAGAGAGACAGAGAGAAAGGTCTTCCTTTTTGCCGTTGGTTCACCCTCCAATGGCCGCCGCTGCCAGTGCGCTGCGGCCTGCGCACCGCGCTGATCCAATGGCAGGAGCCAGGTGCTTCTCCTGGTCTCCCAAGGGGTGCAGAGCCCAAGCATTTGGGCCATCCTCCACTGCACTCCCTGGCCACAGCAGAGAGCTGGCCTGAAAGAGGGGCAACCGGGACAGAATCCGGTGCCCCGACCAGGACTAGAACCCGGTATGCCGGCACTGCAAGGTGGAGGATTAGCCTAGTGAGCCGCGGCGCCGGCACTGAACAGTTTCTTTTAGTCTGAACTAGTATAATTCCTTTTCAGACTTCTCGTTTATCAACTCTACTGGATACTACTTTACAAAACAGTCTCCTCTACTCTGGACTAGATGGGAGGCTACTTTGGAAAAAATGCCCTTAAACCTTTCTGTTTTCTAGTTGAGTGGGCCTGTGAGGCAATTTAATTCTTAGGAGGTTTCAACAAGTCGTTTCATAGCCAACCCTTGAACTAAACTTTCATCTAGGGCCATATTTTAAGGGTGATGTTCTAATTCAGTTATTTTCTTGACTGTTTCTTATTTCAAACATCTTTTCTATGTTCAAAACTAAAAAATAGTTTTCAGTCAACAAGGTCTGGCTCCTTTTTATTTTCTTTTAATTGTGTTTTAAAATCAGGTAGTTCATTTTTTAACCCATCTTATCCTCCTACACTTTATGATAGGTAGCTAAAAGTAGTCAGTTGGCCCTGTCATACTTCTGTTGGTATGTCTCCACACCTAAGTCCATGAGTTCGTTCAGTACCTGTTCTATATTTCACATATCTAAACCATGAGTCCCTTTTCCCCCCATCTCCAATACCAAGTTCCTCACTGTCTTTCAAGCCAACACTAACAGAATGCTCAAGGCTCTGCCTGCCACCTAATCCACCTCTTGAGCCTGTTTTATGAGGGATAGTATTTGAAGCTATTTTTTCTACTCCAATATGGTTTCATAGTTTCCTTGAATTGTTTATTTTCTTTTCCTTTTTAAATTTATTTATTTATATTTACTTAAAAGGCAGAGAGACAGACAGTGAGATATCATCCATCCACTGATTTATTTCCAAAATTTCTGGAACTGTCAAGATTGGGCCAGGTGGAAATCAAAAACCCAGAGTTCAATCCATGTCTTCCATGTGGTGACAGGGACCCAAGTACTTAAGCCATCACTTGCTGCCTCTCAGAGTGCACATTAGTGGGAAGTGGAGCTGGGACTCTAACCCCGACACTCCGATACAGGATACAGGAATCCTGAGCAGCGTCTTAACTGCTGTATCAAATGTATATCCCTTTCTTTTTTCTTAAACTGAAAATTTCTGGACAGCTATCTCAACTGAAATTTACCACAAAGATGCATTTCACAGTTATTAACTCTGTAGTTGTTGATATTCAGCTGTTATTAGATTGTGTTATTTTTTTCACCTATTACTTTAGGAAGTGACTATGTCAATATTAATAAATAAGATACCCATGTCATAGTAGGTATGAATAGTCAATATATGTAGTAGATATTGAATAAATATTTAACATGGTTTTTAAGAATTTATTTATAGCAATATAGATTTGTACATGGAAGTGTTTCTTTTGCTTTTATTTTTTTTTAAGTACCTGAATTTACACTGTAGTTGGAAAGTATCTCTATTGATTCTTAAATGTGTTCTCTTTTTAGGAGTCTGAATATGTTTCTGCTCATCTTCATGAATGGATAGATCTAATTTTTGGCTATAAACAGAGAGGTCCAGCGGCAGTGGAGGCACTCAATGTTTTCTATTACTGTAGTTATGAAGGTATAAACCTATATACTTTTCTTGCACGATTTTTATTTTTAAAATTTATTTGAGGGGAGGGGCAGTACTGCGGTAGTAGGCAAAGCCTTTGCCTGAGGTTCTGGCATCCCATATGGGCACTAGTTTATGTCCCGGCTTCTCCTCTTCCGATCCAGCTCTTTGCCTATGGCCTAGGAAAGCAGTGAAAGATGGCCCAAGTACTTGGGCCCCTGTACGCGCATGGGAGACCCAGAAGATGCTCCTGGCTCCTGATCAGCTCAGCTCTGGCTATTGTGGCCATTTGGGGAGTGAACCAGCAGATGGAAGACCTTTCTCTCTGTCTCTAGCTCTACCTCTCAAATATATAAATAAAAGTATTTATAAGAAAAAATTTACTTGGGAGGCAGGGAGATACAAAAAATGAAGGAAACCGAGAGAGGGGAAGACAGACAGCTATCATCTGCTGGTGTATCCCCAGATGTCCACAGTGCCCTGGGTTGTGCCCGGTAGAAGCCAGGAGCCAGGAACTTAGTAAACTTCCATGTGGATAGCAAGGACCAAACTATTCTTATCACGACCTGTTCCATCACAGGATGCCCGTTAGCAGGAAGCTGGAATCAGAGCCAAAGTTTGAACTCCGGCATCACAATCACTGGGCCAGACACCCACCCCTCTTGCATTACTTTGACAGAAACTGTTTAATATGTGTTTATATATAGTGTTTTGAACTATTCAAAATGAGAAAGACTATCTTAAGAAACAGCATTCTGTTTGAGAGATTAAGAATCTGCTACTTTTTTGGATTAGTAGCAAATAAATATATGCAAACTAATTATAAATGTCAATTATTAGTGTCATAGGAGTTTCTGATTTCTGATCTCTGGAATAGGTTTCCATTCAGTTGGGTCCTATAATGAATATTCAAGATTAAATTTTCAGTGAAGGGGCACTATCTATTTTATTGCAAACTTTTAGCAGATTTTGAAAGAAAGCCTTCAGGATTACAGATAAATTCTTCAAATGATAAATAAAGTGACATTTAGCTCAGTATCAAGAACTTTTTGTGGTGGTTTTTAAAAGTAGCTCTCTTTTTTCCACTTCTAAGGTTATGACTAGTGTGAAGTTATATGAATTTAAGCAGAGCTAATGTGATTTTTGATAAATAAACAAGCATATATTTACCATGCCATGTCCATTCAGGAAATCAGTTTGTAGGGAGGTACTATTGCTTGGGTGTTAAGAGCATGGACCTAACTACTGTGGCTAATTACTAACTGTGCAACCATCATTAGATATGGCTGAAGTATGATCAGTTAGGGAGCTGGCATTGTGGCATAGTGGGTTAAGCTGCTTTCTGGGACGCCAGCATCCCATATGGGCACCAATTTGAGTCCCAGCTGTTCCACTTCAGATCCAGCTCCCTGCTAATGCACCTGGGAAAGCATTGGAGGAATGGCCCAAGTCCTTAGGCTGCTGCACCTATGTAGGAGACCTGCAAGAAGCTTCTGGCTCCTGGCTTTATATCAGCTCAACTGTGGCCATATGGGGCATGAACCAGCAGATGGAAGACCTCTCTCTCTCTCTGTCTCTGTCTCTGTCTCTGTCTCTGTCTCTGTCTCTGTCTACCTCTCTCTGTGGCTCTTTCAAATAAATAAAATAAATCTTTAAAAAGAATGTAAAACCTGTTTCAAAAAAATTTTTTGTATCTTTGAGAGGTTAGTTACTACTATAATTTGAGGCTTGCCTGTCATGAAGAAGACAATTAATTGTATTTTAAGTATAACTTTTATTTTTGTATTTTCCCAAATGAAACTTTAAGGAGTACCAGTTAGCATTTAATTGTTTAAAATATTTTAGAGGCGGGCATTTGGCCTAGTGGTAAAGATACTGGTCAGTACACCTGCATACCATATCAGAGTACCAGGAATCCACAGAGGTAGCAGTGATGGCTACAGTAGCTGGGCTCCTGCCACTCATGTGGGAGAGTGGGATTGAGTTTCCAGCTCTCTTGGCCACTGTGTGTGTTTAAGAGAGTGAACCACTGGATGAGATCTTGTGTTTCTCTCTCTCTCTCTCTCTCTCTCTCTGTCTTTTTCTCGCTCTATATCAAATAAATATATACATTAAAATTTTTTAATATAAAAACATTTTAGCTCTAAGGAATGGATGAAATTTATATATATTTGATGTTTGGAGATTTGCTATTTTAAAAAGAATTACCTCTTCATAGTGTTTTTACAGGTTGGAGAAGAGAATAATTTTATTGAAAATATAGTAACTAGTGTCTCATGTATTAATGAATGATATGGTTTGCTGATTTGTTTTCACTCTAGACTGAGTTGATTGTTTCTTCTGGTTTTAGGAGCTGTAGATCTGGATGCCTTGACAGATGAGAAGGAAAGAAAAGCCTTAGAAGGAATGATTAATAATTTTGGGCAAACTCCTTGTCAGCTGTTAAAGGTAAATCATATAAGTTATGGACAACTCAGTTTAGAATTGAATAACTAAGGAATAGGACTAACAGTATTTTTAAGGATTTTAACTGTTTAAAAATCTTATTTCAGAATTATAATGTAGAATTTAGAAAAAATATTATGACTTAAAACTAAATACATTTAAATGATTGTTCATATTGGGAAAAAAAGGCATTCTGTTAAACTAGATGTCTTTTCTTTGTTCTTGTAGGCCTTTATATTGTCACTTTCTGCCATAATTCTCTATATTTATCAGTTTGCCTCAGTTAATTATAAATATATTAAAGGCAGCAGCCTTCTCTTAATCATCTTTGTATATTTCTTGCACATAGCATGTATACAATAAAAATACTTCTTGAATTGAAATCTCCACAACTATTACAGCAGTAGTATGTCTAAGCCCTAGCTTGTGATGTAACTTCTGGTACAGTCAGAAGGCAAAAGTAAAAGAATAAAGTAGAACATGTAATACAGCTCTGTTTTGCAAGAGTATGCTAATTAGTTTTTTTAATTTTTTAATTTTTTTTTATTTTTTATTTTTTGACAGGCAGAGTGGACAGTGAGAGAGAGAGACAGAGAGAAAGGTCTTTCTTTTACCGTTGGTTCATCCTCCAATGGCCACTGCGGCCAGCGCGCTGCGGCTGGCGCACCGTGCTGATCCGAAGGCAGAAGCCAGGTGCTTCTCCTGGTCTCCCATGCAGGTGCAGGGCCCAAGGACTTGGGCCATCCTCCACTGTACTCCCTGGCCACAGCAGAGAGCTGGCCTGGAAGAGGGGCAACTGGGACAGAATCCAGTGCCCCGACCGGGACTAGAACCCGGTGTGCCGGCGCCGCGGGCGGAGGATTAGCCTATTGAGCCACAGCGGCGGCCCAATTAGTTTTTACTTACTTAAAAAATATATAAAAATCAGCCCTTAATTTAAAATAAAGTGGTGTAGCAGATTAAGGTGCCATCTGTGATGCCAGCATTCCATAAAAGCTGGTTCATGTCCCAGCTGCTACACTTCCAATCCTGCTCTCTGCTAATGTGCCTAGGAAAGCAGAAGAAGATGGTCCAAGTATTTCGGCACCTGCCACCCACAGGGGAAACCCAGATGGTGTTCCAGGCTCCTGGCTTCAGCCTGGCCCAGCCCTGGCCTTTGGCAGCCATTTGGGGAATGAGCCAGCAGATGGAAGATTCTCTCTCTCTCTCTCTCTCCTTCCTGAATTCTGCCTTTCAAATAAATAAAATAAATCTTTTAAACATATAAAGTAAATAATACTTATTTCGAGCTGAACATTTAAATACTTAAGCTCTCATAACTGTTACTTGCAATGTAATACTTTGTGATAGAGATGAAAAAATCCCTTTAGACAGAATTATATTCTGCATTCTGTGTCTTTAACTGTATTTGTCATTTTTTTCATATATGTATAAGAATTCAGATATTATTCTGTGTCTCTGACATGAAAGTTAAGAGGGATTAATAATTTATTTGAAAAGTATGCACATTATCTGTAGTTTGATTCTGATAATGTTGATGTTTCAATCTTGTTGCAGGAATTAAAGATTCAACCAAATTGTAAATTTTGAATACTGCATTTAGTTTTTAAAAAACATTTATTAAGCATCTACCATGTTTCCAATAGTGTTCTAGGTGTAGAAAATCCAGAAATAAGTATGGTTTATATATGGTTTTTTTAAAAAAATATTTATTTTATTTTATTTGAAAGGCAGAGTTACACAGAGGCAGAGGCAGAGAGAGAATCTTCCATCCGCTGGTTCACTCCCCAAATGGCCACAGCAGGCAGAGGTGGGCCAATCCAAAGCCAGGAGCCAGGAGCTTCTTCTGGGTCTCCCACACAGATGCAGGGGCCCAAGCACTTGGGCCATCTTCTACTACTTTCCCAAACCATAACAGAGCTGGATTGGAAGTGGAACAGTTGGGTCTCGAACCACCGCCCATATGGGATGCTAGTACTGCAGGCAGTGCCTTTACCTGCAACACCACAGCAGCAGCCCCTTATATATGGTTTTAAGATAAACTGTAGGGGCCAGTGTTGTGGTATAGTGGGTAAAACCACTGCCCATGATACTAGCATCCTACATGGGTACTGGTTTGTGTCCTAGCTGCTCCACTTTCCATCCAGTTCCCTGTTAATAGCCTGGGAAAAGCAGCTGAAGATTGCCTGAGTATCTGGGCCCCTGCCACATATGTGGGAGCCCTAGATGAAGTACCTGGCTCCTGGCTTTGGCCTGGCTCAGCCCTGGCAGTTGTGGCCACATGAGAAGTGAACTAGCAAATTGAAGACCTCTCTCTGTGTGTTTCTTCTTCTTTATTTATTTATTGAATTTCAAATAAATAAATAAATCTTAAAATAAAAAGATAAACTATAGCCTAGGGGGGACATTTGGCCTAGTGGTTAAAACACAGGTTAAGATTCTGGCATGCCACGCTGAACTGCCTGGACTTGATTCCCAGCTCCAGCTCCTGACTCCTGCTTTCTGATAGTGCAGACTCTGGGAGTCAGAGGAAATGCCTCAAGAATTCAGGTTCCTGCCTCCTATGTAGGAGACTGTGGTTATGTTCTTGGCTTCAGCTCCCAGCTTTAAAGGCATCTGGGGAGAGAACCTGCAGATGTAGCTCGCTCGCTCTCGCTCTCGCGCGCTCTCTCTCTCTCTGTATCTATGCATGCATGCATGTATGTATGTATCTGTCTATCTACCTATCTATTTCTCTCTCTGCCTTTCATGTAAATCAGTAAATTCTTTCTTTGAAAATATAGCCTCACTGGAGAAGACAGACCATAGCAACCATTTGTAATCTGATATAGAAAGAAATGAGTACTAAATAATTCACCAAGGGAAAAACAGAAGAGAATAATTAATTCTGACCTAGAAATTCAGGAGAGAGATCGGTAGGAAAAACTTTACCGTAGAACTGGGTTTCCATGGACTGGAAGAGGTGGGGTAGTGACTGAGGAGGGAATAGTACAGAGTTGGGAACAGTGCATGGTATGTAACCCATTATTGCTGCAGCCCAGTGTATGTGAAGGAACCTAGCAAGAGATGTTGTAATATAATTGTGGAATTATTTTTCCTTAAAATTATTTTGAAGGAACCACACCCTCCTAGACTGTCAGCAGAGGAGGCGATTCAGAAGCAGACCAAATCGGACACTTCAACCCTAAACCTCTTTCAACACCTCCCTGAACTCAAGTCGTTTTTTATAGAGGTAAAATGCAACTCAGTAATATCAAGAAGTTTGCTCTGTGAATTCTATACACCTTAAAGTTTATTTCATTCTTTCATGAAGAAGGTTATAATAGTAATTATAGTAAATAGTGGAAGGGTTATAATAGTAATTATAGGAAATAGTAATAATAAATTACACTGTAATAATCTTATTATGGACTTTATTGAAAGCTTTGTTGGTGAATGGTATTCTGAGCTGTTTCTACTGGCTTGCTTTTTTCTACTTCATGTTTTCCAGAAGAAGAGAAAAATAAACTTTGGTTTAAAATGCTTTTTGTGACAATTGAGATTATATGTAGAAAGAGATTATATTTTAATAACTCTTAGATATAATATTTCCTCATGCATAAAATATGTCCCAGTAAATAATATTATTAATTGATAGTATCAGAAGGAATAGCCAGGTAAAATAAGACTAGTTAATGCTGTAATTGAAAGAGTACATTCAGATTCAAATGTAAAATTCAAATGTGGGCCGGGTTTGTGGCATAAGGATTGAGAAGCCAATTGAGGCACCTGCATCCCATATCAGAGTATCTGAACTCAAGTCCCAACTCTGCTTCCTATGCAGTTTTCTGCTAAAGTGCACCCTGGGAGGCAGCAGATGATGAATTGTGTACCTGGGTCCCTGCCCCCACCTGGGTAACCCAGATTGAGATCTGGGATTGTTGCTGCCTTCTGCCTGGCCCAGCCAGCCTTGGGTCTTGTGGGTATTTGGAGAATGCACCAGTGGATGGGAGATCTTTCTCTATCTCTACCTTTCAAATAAAATGGAGATAAATGATTTAAGAAAAAAACCAAACATTTTAATATACATATTGAATTACTTTCAATAATTCAGAATGTTGTTATGAGGTACATGAATGTACTTACAATTAGAACAGAAAGAAAAATGAAAATTAAAATGTTATTGTTATTCAGAATATTGTGGAGACATGCATAGAACAAATATTCTCTCATACAGCATAGCAGGGGTTGGTAAACTTTCTCTTTGAAGGCCAGATAGTAAATATTCTGGGTTTGTAGGCTGAGGCAAAGTGAAGGGTGCTATGTAGGTACATATATAACCACTTAAATTTAACATTCTAAAAATGTAAAAATCATCCTTAGCTTACTTACCACCTACAAAACGGGCAGTGGGCTAGATTTGTTCCACAAGCTGTAGTTTGTAAAATCCTGCATTAAACTACCACTGTAATGTGTTTCTTACATTCATAGGAAATGCCATGGGAAAATATACAGATTTTTTTGGAGAATTTAATATAAAAATCAGTTGAGGTTTATAACTGTTATAGCATTATAATGAATTTTACTAAGATGAATGGTTTTAAGTTCCAGCATATTTTTTTAAGATTTATTTTATTTATTTGAAAGATAGAGTTACAGAGAGAGGGAGAGACAGAGAGAGGTCTTCCATCCGCTGGTTCACTCCCCAATTGGCCGCAAAGGCCAGAGCTGTGCCAATCCAAAGCCAGGAGCCAGGAGCTTCTTCCGGGTCTCTCACGTGGGTGCAGGGGCCCAAGGACTTGGGCATCTTCTACTGCTTTCCCAGGCCATAGCAGAGCTGGATAGGAAGAGGAGCAGCCGGGACTAGAACCGGCGCCCATATTGGATGTTGGCACTTCAGGCCAGGGCTTTAACCCACTGCACCACAGCGCCGTCCCCCCAGCATATTTTGATAAGGAAATCTGTTACTCTTTCTCTAGGTTCATGTTGTTTGAGATAGTTATTTATTTTCCAGAAGTGTCTCAGACAGTTGCTTAGAACTCAAAACACATGGAAACAAAGTTCAGAAATGATTTAAGATGTGTTGTGGCTCCCCAAACAGCACCCAGGTTCAGTGATTTGCCAGGAAGAATCACAGGATTCAAAGTAAGAGTTGTACTAATGGCTAACACTGGTTATAGTGAAGGGATACAAAGCAACATCAGCCAAGAGAAAAGACACACGGGGGGAAAAAAACAAACAAACAAAAAAACAAACAAAAAAAAAACAAAACCAGAAGTAGCCAGGGACATGCATATTGCAAGAGTCCTTTCCCAGTGGAGTCATTCAGTACATGTTTAATTCCCCTTGTAATGAAATGTGAAAATACATTTTTATCTATCCAGGATGCTCATTCAAAACACAGCATCCAAAGTTGTATTGGAGGCTGGTCATATAAGCACTGCTGTGCTTATTAGCACATACCAATATTCTAGACTCTGGAAGAAAAGTAAGTGTTCAGCATAAACTGTATTGTTTGCACAGACTTTCTAGGCATAATGAGGCATGCTTAGCATTCAGGGAAAGTTTTATATCATTGTAAGGAACTTATCTGCCAGCAGAGTCCCAGATCTAGGCAAGTGTTGACCTTGTAGCAGGCATTTCTAAAGACAGCAGTATTAGTTCTGCAGTGTTAACTCTTTACTTGCACTTAAGGGAACCCCTAAATCCCTATTTACCCATAATCTGACAGACCTCTATTATATAATGTTGATAGAACTGTTTTATTATGTGTACTCATTAGTGAGATTGTTTGAGTGCCATCTACAGATACAGTACATGTTTGTCCATCTGTACCCACCATGTTTCAACAGTAGCTCTCCCTAGTAACAGGATCTGTAACAGGATACAAAGCACAGTATCTTTGACTGCCAGTAATTTCGTCCTTCCTTCCCTCCTTCCCTCCTTCCCTCCTTCCCTCCTCCCCTCCTTTCCTCCCTCCTTCCCTCCTTCCTTCCTTCCCGTCTTTGTTTCTTTCTTTCTTTCTTTCTTTCTTTCTTTCTGTTCGTTCGTTTCAATTTTATCATCCAAATATGGTATATAATTCCTTCCCCACATTTTACGTTGACTGATTATATACTTTGATAGAGTTAAAGTGCTATATGTTATAGAATTCATCCTTGTTTCAAGAGATAAAAATTGTCCGTTATTGTGCCTAATAGATATGAACAGATCCAGCCACTGTGCCTCTTTTATTTCATAGGGAATTAGTGACGGTATTCCACTCTTAAAGGCCATTGTCCCCAAAAATCAGTCACGTTCTTTTATGTCTCAAGGCAGCCCTGAGTTACTGGTAAGTAGATTTTTAACTTTTTCACTCTATAACTATATCCATTACAACTTAATAAAAAGAAAAGAAAAAAATCTTTTTTAAAATAGTAGAGAAAATTTTGTAGAAAAAATTTGCCAAATATAAAAATGTAACTTCTATGTACACTTTTTTTTTTTTTTGACAGGCAGAGTGGACAGTGAGAGAGAGAGAGAGAGAGAAAGGTCTTCCTTTGCCGTTGGTTCACCCTCCAATCCTATTAGAGATTGTGTTTGACAGCTTTTCTTAAAATAAAATTAAGAGCTTTTCCCATTTAACTTTCTTAATGAGTTTCCTGATTTAAGTGCACTGTCCCACAGTATTCTCTCAATAGTAAATGCTGACATCTTGTGCATCTGGGTATTCTGTGCTACTTTCTTTGAGTCTTCATCTGTTCCTTTCCAGGTAACAGTAAGCATGAATTATGTTATTGGAACACATGGATGGCTGCCTTATGACAGAAACATATCTAATTACTTCACATTCATCAAGGATCAAACTGTGACAAATCCAAAGTAAGTAAATCAACATTTAAACCAAAGCAGCTGCAACATATACCTTATTGCCAGGAAGAACAACTAAATTAATTTATTCACATCCTCCTCCTCCTCCTCTACTTCCTCCTCCTCCTCCCTGTTACTCTGCCTTTCAAATAAACAAATTAATAAACATTTTTTAAAAATTAACATGAAGAAAGTAAGATTAATATATTTTCTGAAAGTCTTTTTATCATTTAGTAATGGACATTCCAAATAGAACATTTGGAACTTATTTTTTATATCTGTTTTAGAGAGATTTTTCAAAACAGTTGCTATTGGTCCAAGTGACCTTTTAAGGAAAAGTCTAATATTATTTAATTGTATTTACAGAACTCAGCGTAGTATCAATGGTCCTTTTGCTCCAGGGCTGGAGGTCACTTCCAAGCTGTTTGTAGTATCACATGATGCAAAGTTGCTCTTCAGTGCTGGACACTGGGATAATAGCATCCAAGTAATGTCACTTACAAAAGGCAAAATTATCTCACACCATATCAGACATATGGGTAAGCATTGAACATTTTTTATAAAAGAAAACTAATTTTTTTTCTAACTGTAAGTCATATATGTTCCTTGTAAAGAGTATTAAAATTTACCTTTGAAGCTGAGTAGACTTTTTGATAGTGCAATATCATAAATTTTATATGCTTTCTATAAGAATATCTAATGTACTGGCACTATATTAAAGGACAGTATAAGTTAAGTGCATTTTCATGATATGTGGAAGATGTTTAAGTCTTTTAAAAATCGACTTACAGGGACGGGCACTGTGTTGTAGAGGGTTAAGCATGCAGTTCTGGCAACCCATATGGGCGCTGGTTCGAATCCCGGCTGTTCCACTTCTGATCCAGCTCTCTGCTAACAGCCTGGAAAAGTAGTAGAACACAGCTCAAGTGCTTGGGCCCCTGCACCTGAAGTGAAAGACCCAGAAGAAGCTCCTAGCTCCTGGCTTTGGATCAGCCCAGCTCCAGCTGTTGCAGCCCTTTGGGGAGTGAACCAATGGATGGAAGACCTCTCTCTATGTCGCTCCCTCTCTCTGTACTGCCTCTTAAGTAGATAAATAACTCCTATAAAAAAAATTGACTTACAGGAACAAGAATTTTTAAGGCAAGATGGTAACAAAATTTGTCAGTCAGTAAAACATCAACTGCCCTATTAGTATATTAACAGTAAAGTTGGAGCAAGGTAAAATTGCTGATGTTGTTTAGCCTGGTGTTTCTTAGTATGTCAGTCTTTAATATAAGAATAAAATCTGAAGCCTTCATCACTTTAATTCCTAAGCCAGAAAAAGATACAACAGAGAAAGAGAACTAAAGACCAATAACCTTGATGCACATAGATGCAAAAATCCTCAACAAAATATTAGCTAATTGAATCCAACAACACATCAGAAAGATCATTCACTTAGACAAAGTAGAATTTATCCCTGGGGTTAGGGATGGTTCAACATTCACAAATCAATAAATGTGATGCATCACATTATCAAACCGAAGAACAAAAACCGTATGGTTATCTCAATAGATGCAGAAAAACACTTGATAAAATACAATATCCTTTCATGTTAAAAACCTTAAGCAAATTTGGTATAGAGGAACATTCCTCAACAGAGACAAGGCAATTTATGACAAACCCACAGCCAGGATTCGATTGAATGGGGAAAACTGGAAACATTCCCCCTAATATCCAGAACCAGACAAGGAGACAAGGATGCCCACTTGCACCATTGCTATTTAATATAGTCCTGGAAGTTTTAGCCAGAGCCATTGGGAAAGAAAAAGAAATCAAAGGGCTACAAATTGGAAAGGAGAAAATCATAAAATCCTTATTTGCAAATGTCATGATTCTATGTATAGGGTATCCAAAAGACTCCACTGAAAGACTATTGGAACTCAGAAGAGTTTGGTAAAGTAGCAGGATATAAAATCCACGCAGAAAAATCAGTAGCCTTTGTCTACACAGACAGTGCCATGGCTGAGAAAGAACTTTTAAGATCATTCGCATTCACAGTAGCTCCAAAAAAAATTTAATACCTTGGAATGAATTTAACCAAGGGTGTCAAAGATCTCTACCATGAAAATTACAAAACATTAAAGAGTGAAATAGAAGAAGACACAAAAAAATGGAAAAATCTTCCATATTCATGGATTGGAAGATTCAACATCATCAAAATGTGCATACTACTGAAAGCAATTTACAGATTCCATGCAATCCCAGTCAAACTACCAATGACATTCTTCACAGATCTAGAAAAAATGATCCTAAAATTCATATGGATACACAAGAGACCTTGAATAGCTAATGCAGTCTTAAACAGCAAAAACAAAGCCAGAGGCATCACAATACCTAATTTCAAGACATACTACAGGGCAGTTATAATCAAAACAGGTTGGTGCTGGCACAAAAACGAGTATGTAGACCAGTGTAACAGAATAGAAACTCCAGAAATCAACCCATGCATCTGCAACCAACTTATCTTTGACAGAGGAGCTAAAAGCAATCCCTGGAGCAAGGACAGTCTCAACAGATGGTGCTGGAGAAGAAACTGGATCTCCATGTGCAGTAGTAGACTGACACCAGACTCATAACTTAACACCTTCCACAAAAATCCCCTCAAAATGGATCAAAGACCTAAATCTGTGACCTGATACCATCAAATTACTAGAGAACATTTGGGAAACTCTGCAAGTCATTGGCATAGGCAAAGATACCTTGGCATTGGCACTGGCAATCAAAGCCAAATTTGACAAATGGTATTACATCAAGCTGAGAAGCTTCTGCACTGCAAAAGAAACACTCAACAAAATGACAAGGAAACCCGCAGAATGGGAGAAAATATTTGCAAGCTACGCAACTGATAAAGGATTAACATCCAGAATCTAAAAAGAGCTTGAGAAATTCAACAAAAACAAAACAAACCAGTTTAAAAATGGGCAAAGGACTTGAACAGGTATTTTTCCAAAAAGAACATTCAGATGGCCAACAGATACTTGAGAAAATGCTTGAGATCACTAGCCATCAGCCATCAGGGAAATGCAAATCAAAATCACAGTGAGGTTTCACCTCACTCCAGTTAGAATGGCTCTCATACAGAAGTCAACAAACAACAAATGCTGGTGAGGATGTTTTGTTTAAAAGGTACCCTTGTCCACTGTGGTGGGAATATAAACTGGTGCAACCACTGTTGCAGACAGTATAGAGATACCATAGAAGTCTGAGTATGGACATACCATATGATCCACCCATCCCACTGTAGAGAATTTACCCAAACCAAAAGAAATCAGCATATGAAAGACTTATTGGTACCCCTATGTTCCTTGCAGCATGATTCACAGTAGCTAAGATAAGGAATCAACCCAGATGTCCATCAACTGTTGATAAAGAAATTATGGTGTATGGAATACTACTACTGTAACAAAAATTGATATCCTGTCTTTTTTAACAAGGTGAATGCAACTGGAAACCATGATACTTAGTGGAATAAGTCAGTCCCAAAAAGACAGATATCATATGTTTTCCCTGATCTGAGGTATCTAATAGAGCACCTGAAATGTAATGGAGTGAAATAGATATTTTGAGATTTGATGATTGTTGATAGCAATTGTCTCTTCCATTGAGAAACAGTATTTTTTTTCTTCATACTGTTTGTTGAACTCTTTTACTTAGTGTAAGACTAACTATTTGATTATTACATAAACTAAAAATAGATCTTTGTAAAAATTAAGAGTGGGAATGTGAGAGGGAGGAGGAGAAAGGGTTGGAGTACAGGTAGGGGGGAGGGTAGGGATGGAAGTGTCTCTATGTTCCTAAATCTGTATATATGAAATACATGAAACTTGTATAACTTAAATATGATTACAAAAATACATGTGAAGAATAAAGAATAACTTTATAATGAATATTCATGAATCACTAATATATTTAAAGGAATGGAATATTATAATTACAATTGAAGCTTCTTTCTGATTCCTTAATTTATATCCTCCTCTGAATTAACTGCTATTCTGGCTTTTGTTCTATCGTTACAATATTTTTTGGCATATATTTACCCTGTGGGTTTGAATATCCAAATAATACATTGCTATTAAATGACTTGCAAGATGAAAAAAAGGAAGTAATTAAAATGACTGTAATGTTTGTATATTCCAGTATAATGAGTAGTCAGAAGTGTCTAGAGGATTAGGGATTAATATTGAAAAGACTGGTCTTCAAATTGAGAAAAATATGCGTATAAGAGATTATTGCACTATTGAAATAGTAAGTATATGATGCATACTTTATAACATGATGGGTTGTACTTTAACACTTTTATTTGAGAATATGAAAATTATTAAAGATCTTAGTTTATTAAATTAAAAAAAAGAAAAAGAGCATTAATTCCTTGAAAGTCAAGCTTGACTGGGTGTCATGTGTCAACAAGGTGATGAGAAGGAATTTGCCTTAGAGTGTGTTTTATTTATGTTAGAGAGAAACATACCTTATAAATGGTTTAAGAAGAATGAATGGAATATTTGGACTTGATTAAATGACAGTTTCCTTAACAAATCAGGAAGCTGAGATTAAGAGTGCTGGGTTTTCACATGGTGCGTATAATACCAGTCAGCCTCCTTAGGGTCTCTGTGATTTGGGCAATGATCTCCTTTGCTGTTTTAGTGTAAGAAATGTTAAAGCTTTGGCTTTTGATTCAGTTTAAAATAAATAATCTAAAATTTGTGTGCACTAAAAAAAAGAGAATAAAATACTGAGTAGTTTCTTTTTTTTTTTAAGATTTGTTTTATTTATTTGAAAGGCAGAGTTATAGAGAGAGGTAGAGACAGAGAGAGAGAGGTCTTCCATCCATCTCTGATTCACTCCCCAGTTGCCTGCAATGGTCAGAGCTGCGCCGATCCAAAGCCAGGGGCCAGGAGCTTCTTCCGGGTCTCCCACATGGATGCAGGGGCCCAAAGACTTGGGCCATCTTCCACTGTCTTCCCAGGCCATAGCAGAGAGCTGGATCGGAAGAGGAGCAGCCGGGACTAGAACTGGTGCCCATATGGGATGCCAGTGCTTCAGGCCAGGGCTTTAATCCACTGCGTTACAGCATCGGCCCCCAAGAGTAGCTTTTTTTTCTAGGAAGCACCTTAGTGAAAGGAATTGCAGTCTGCTGCTAATTCTGTGCCACTGTGTCACTTAGCTCACTTAGCTCAGCTGTTGGCAATTCAGGAAAGATTTTCTTATATTGTAAATTTAGTCCATAATATGTACTATTTTTATTGAGTATGCATATCCCATAGTCTTGTAATTCCCAATGGGAGTTGAAGTTTTATGAGAATGAGAGTGCAGAGAAATGTATAGGAATTAATTGGGCATCCATTTCAAGCTGTCTGACATCCTCCCAAGATTCTAGTAGACATTCTCCATACCCAGCATCTATTCCTTATGGTCAAAGAAGGGTGGCCTCAGAGAAAGCTTTCCTAGGCGATTTTAACATTGCTTCTTTCCTTGTTGTTCTTTCCCAGTGCCATTCCTGCCTTCCTCTCTGATAGAATAACTAATGTAGTAATAGTTCTGTTCCAGAAAAATGAAACTTTCATTTTATCTTTTTCTTACAGATATTGTGACTTGCTTAGCTACAGATTACTGTGGAATACATTTGATTTCTGGCTCCAGAGATACTACATGTATGATATGGCAAATAACGCAACAGGTAGTCACACATTTAAATCTCTTTGTTTAGACCACTCCAAGAAAACTGTTGAAGTGCTACTTAGATAATAGATTTTTCTCTGACAGTGAATAACTGAGCGAGTTTGTGATCTTTTTCCTATAGTCTATCCTGTCTTAATCACTTGGGTTAATTGTCAGATTCACTGTTAATTCTCATTACTTTTTTTTTTAAAGATTTATTTATTTGAAAGTCAGAGTTACACAGAGAGAGAAGGAGAGGCAGAGAGAGAGAGGTCTTCCATCTGTTGGTTCACTCCCCAATTGTCCACAACAGCAGGAGCTGCACTGATCCAAAGCCAGGAGCCAGGAGCCTCCTTTGGGTCTCCCATGTGGGTGCAGGGGCCCAAGCAGTTGTGCCATTTTCCACTGCTTTCCCAGGCCCTAGCAGAGAGCTGGATTGGAAGTGGAACAGGCGGGACTTGATTTATTTATTTATTTGAAAGGCAAAGTGACAGAGAGTGAGAGGAGAGAGAGAGAGAGAAAGAGACATCCACATGCATGCACTTGAGAGAGAGCTTCTATGCACCGGTTCATTCCCCAAATGGCCCCAACAGCTAGGGCTGGGCCAAGCCAAAGCCAGAAGCTAGGAACTCCATCTGGGTTTCCCACAAAGATAGCAGAGGCCCAAGCACTTGAGCCATCTTCTGCTGCTTTTCCAGGTATATTAGCAGGAAGCTGGATCAGAAGTGGAGCAGCCGGAGCTTGAAGTGACATCATATGGGATGTTGGAATTGTGGGTGACAGCCACAATACTGGCCCCAACCTACATTTTTCTTTATGTAATATATTATGTTGAGAAATTTCCAGCTGGTGCCACGGCTCAATAGGCTAATCCTCCGCCTGCAGTGCCGGCACCCCGGGTTCTAGTCCCGGTCAGGGCGCCGGATTATGTCCCGGTTGCTCCTCTTCCAGTCCAGCTCTCTGCTGTGGCCTGGGAGTACAGTGGAGGATGGCCCAGGTCCTTGGGCCCTGCACCCCTATGGGAGACCAGGAGAAGCACCTGGCTCCTGGTTTCAGATCAGCACGGTGCACCGGCCACAGCGCAGCGGCCACTTGGGGGAGTGAACCAATGGAAAAGGAAGACCTTTTTCTCTGTCTTTCTCTCTCTCACTGTCCACTCTGCCTGTCAAAAAAAAAAAAAAAAAAAAAGAAATTTCCTAAATTTCCAAGATTTGAACCATCCTTGAATTCCAACATAAACCCATGTAATTCATGGTCTATTGCCAGCACAGTTTACTGCAGCTGTTTATTTGCTAGTACTTTGATTATTTCTCTACATTAAGTGAAATAGGTCTGTTTTTCTTTTTTTATAATGTTTTATAATGTTTAGTATTGGGAAATGAAACATTTTATCAAATGAATTTGGGAAGCATCCATCTTTCTTTATAACTTGAATTACTTAAATAATATAGGAATTATATGAGTTTTAAAGGATAGGTGCTGGCATTGTGGCACAGTGGTTAAGCCACCACCTGCAATATCAGCATCCCATTTTAGTGCTGGTTGGAGTTCTAGCTTCTCACTCCAATCGAGCTCTCTGCTAATGCACCTGGGAAAGCAGTGGACGATAGCCCAAGTGCTTATACTTTAGCCACCCACATGGGAGACCTGGATGAAGCTCCTAGATCCTGGCTTTGGCTAGCCCAGCCCTAGCCATTGCAACCATTTGAGGGGTGAACTAGCAGATGGGAGATCTCTCTCTCTCTTTGACTTCCCACCCCTACTTCCTTCCTCCTTCTCTGTAACTCTGCCTTTCAAATAAATAAATAGATCTTTTTGAAAATAAAGGGTAGAATACACTAAGCACTCAGACTGACACTTCCTTCCTCCTTCTCTGTAACTTTACCTTTCAAATAAATAAATAAATAAATAGTAAATAGATCTTTTTGAAAATAAATAAAGGATAGAGTACACTAAGCACTCAGACTGACATTTTTAAAGAAAAATAAATCTGCTCCAGGTAGTAGCATATCAAGGGAAATTGATACACATTATCTAGAACAGATAGAAAGAATGGGCAGAGTTGTCTAGAGTAATCATGAATAAAAAAAATAACATGGCAACTATTCAGACAATCCATAGTATAAGAAATAATATACAAAGCAAATAAGGACATGAAGGTAGAATCTACTTTCTTTTGGAAGAAATAACTCAAAGATAGATTCCCTGTGATAAAATGAAGTTAATAAGAGAAAATAATAAGACTAGCAAGTAGTTCAATAAAATAGGAGCTCAAAGATGAAACGATAAAATAGTTTAAGGTGAAAAGGGAGGTTATGAAAGGATTGAACAGAGATTAGAACCAGCACTGTTTATAAAAGCAAAGCAGAAACAAACAGATTTGATGTGGTTGCAAACCAAATTAATTATGTAGAGGAAAGTTTTACAATAAAGTGAATACAAATGAAAATGATTAAGGGTTAAGACAGCGGGAGGTACAGGGAGGAGATTAAAGCAGTTAGAAAAAGAAGTATAGCCATAGAAATCAAAGATGGGGCTGGCGTTTTTGTGACGCTGTGGGTTAAGATCACTTGAGACACTGGCATCCCATATAAGAGTGCTCTGCTTCTTATCCAGCTTCCTGCCAATGACCTGAGAAGGCAATGGCAGATGGTCCAAATACTTGGGCCCCTGCCACCCATTTGGGAGACTAAAATGGAGTTCCTGACTCAGACTTGGCTGTTGTGGTCATTTTGGGAGTGAACCAGCAAATGGAAGATCATTCTCTGTCTCTCTATCTCTCCCATTCTCCTTTTCAAATAAATCCATCGCTGAGACTTAAAAAATAATATTAGTAATTGTTTATTTCCCTGAGGTAGAGCCTCTAATAAATGGAAGACAAAGTATTCAGAGATGCAATACAAAAAATTTTTTTGATGTTAAGGAAGGATAAATCTGTATATTAAAAGGGAAAATAATAGTATTCAGTGCAGCAGTTAAGATGCCATTTCAGACATGTGCATCCCATATCAGAGTATGTGGGGTCAAGTCCCAACTCCACTTCTGATTCTGGCTTTCTGCTGTTGCGTATCTGAGAAGGCAGCAGATGGTGGTAGCTCAAAAAGTTGGGTTCCTGCCTCCCAAATGGGTGAACTGGATTGAATTATGGACCCCTGGCTTCAGCCTGAGCTACTGTGGGCATTTGGGGAGTAAAGTAGTAGTTGAAAGATCTAGGTCTTCCTGCCTGTCTGTCTCTTGCTCTTTCTGCCTTTCAAAGGGACAAATAAATAAATAAATTTCCCAGAAAAGGGGCAAATAACCTGAAAAAAAAATCCAAGATAATCAACATTGAGACATTCAGATAATGCATTGAGAATAATTTATTGAAAATAGTTCAGGAATCCAAGGGGAAACTTCTATGCATAGACTCTGGATAACTGGTTGCAATATTAGCTTGTGATTACAAAGTTTAAACACAGTATAAACCTTGTTATAAGAAAAAGAGGTAGATGCCGGTATTGTGTCATAGTGGGTCAAGCTGCCACCTGCAGTGCCAGCATCCCATGTGGGCACCAGTTTGTGTCCTGGTTGCTCTACTTTTGATCTAGCTCCCTACATAAAGCCTGGGAAAGCAGCAGAAGATTGTCCAAGTGGTTAGGCTCCTGCTACCCACATGGGAGATGAGAAAGAAGCTCCTGGCTTCAGCCTAATCCAGCCCTAGCTATTTTGGTCATTTGGAAAGTGAATCAGTGGATGGAAGATCTCTCTCTCTCTCTTTCACTCTCAATCTCAATCTTTTATTAAAAAGTACATAGCAGAAAACTCCTTTACCTTTGCTTTTGTGTTTTAATATTAGGGAGGTGTTCCCACTGGCTTAGCTTCTAAACCATCTCAGATTCTTTATGGACACACCAATGAAGTATTGAGTGTCGGCATCAGCACTGAACTAGACATGGCAGTGTCAGGATCAAGGGTAAGATTTCTCCTTTAGGAAATACTAATTATTCTTTCAACAAATTCAGTAGCAATGTTTATATCTAAAACATTTTCCTAGAGCAATTGGTAAAAGTGTAGAAGTTATGTATGATATATGTGTGGTACATTGCAAAAGTGCAGTAACATAAAAGAAAAACTTTAGATTGGGTTCTGTTTTTGGTTCTTACTGCCCCTTTTAGCTAGGAACAGAGGGCATCCTGTGAAATAAATTACTGTTTGAAATTTCACAGTTGGGATTTTTCCTTAAGATGCATGTGTCTTTGTTTTCATAATCGTTTTTAAAGTTCTTTTTCCAGATTTCTTTACCCAGCCCACTTTTTGCTGTTCTTTTCCTTTGTCTTTCTCATTTTTCAAATATGTCCCATTTGTAGGATGGCACTGTGATTATACATACCATCCAGAAAGGCCAGTACATGAGGACTTTACGACCACCTTGTGAGAGTTCACTGCTCCTGACCATTCCCAACGTGGCTCTGTCTTGGGAAGGACATATTGTCATCTACTCCAGCATTGAAGAAAAGACCAGCCTCAAGGTATACAACATTTTCATGCAGTTGGGATGAATTACCAATAGTGTTTCTTTCCCTCCCATATTATATTTGGGATGTGAGGAAGGAAAGAACATTGTATTTTTAAAAAAATACCCAAATAAATTGATTTTAATAAGGTCCTCTATCTACACATTTATCTGCTGTTGAAAACTGAAACAACAGATCAAAATTTCCTTTACTAAAATTCAAACATTTGAAAACCAGAATATCTATTTTTCTGCCCTAATTATTATGCTCCAGCCAAAATACCCAGTATTTTCTTTACATTTCTTTCCATGAGTTACTTTGCATGTCAGTTGTTGGTGATGGTCTTCTAAAATGCATGGGAATCCTTAAAACTTATTGATGCTTCTCTGAGTCAAATCAAAAAGACAGAAAGAACTAAAATATATTGGAAGTCATTCAAATACATTCAAACTACAGATTCTGTATACATTACTGGTATCAAGATAGGAAGAAAAAGATATTACAGCTAACATCATAGGTTATCAAAATTACTGGTATACAAGCCTAGGCATAGAATAGCTTTCTCTATCTGCAACATAAAATTATTAGCAAGAACAGTGTAAGAATAAGGCTATGCCTAAATTGACACACTGTCATTGTCCATACCTATCACCTATCCTAGCTTCCTGTGAAGAATCCCACCCGTGATCGAGGCAGTAGCTGCAGCAACATCTGAATGCCTCACTTCTGACTCACTCTCAACTCCATTGAAAGCACTGTCTCTCTGTTCTTTTTTTAAAGCTGAGAATACTTGTGTATTAAGAGGTTCCTCAGCTTTGCCACTCAGATAACAGTGTTCTTATTCTCTTCTCCAGAGATGGGTCTTCTGGGCCAGGGGAAGAGAATTTGGTTGTAGGGTTGAACGTCAATATCCTAAGGCCCTAAGTTAACATTTTTGGATAGCCAGAATGAGATGTGGAATCTTCAGAATTTTCTTCCTTCAACATCCCAAAAAGCCTCTGGGGTCAAGGCTGGGTTAACTTTGTGGTGGGTCCATGGCAGTGTAGTTACAGCTCTTCGGATTTTGGAGCTCAAGGCGGGGAGTGCTGGATTCAGGTTACTCCAAGGTAGCCTTAAAAGAACTAAATAACCCAGGAGATCCTGAAAACCCAGCCTCCAACACAGGTCAAATGAGCCAGTCCAAAGAACATTATAAAGATGTTTTTCCATTCAGCATTTGGTTGTTCATTTTTTGCCATCAGACAGACTTCTACTACTGTCTTGGTCTATATTTCTGTTATATTTTAGAGATGCCTCTTGTCTTATAATTTCTTACGATGTGGGAATTCATAAGCTTAAGTAGAAATATTAGCCATCTTAAATTTTGCAGAAGGAATTGTATAAGTAAACAAGCACTGAATTTTATGTTTATTTCCTTTCAGTGATAAAGCTTTTAAATTTAAGAGAATATTTTTCTTTTGTTTTAAGAATTGGGGAGCTTTTGGGGCTGGATGAAATTTTAATTTTTCTTTTGTAGGAATTAAGTGTTTATTTTCCAGTCTGATCTGAAATCACTTTAGTAATATTATCCCCACAGTTTCTTGTTAAATACATCCATATTTTTATTCCAAAATCTTAAATCGAGAAATTGTTTTGTTATAGTTATAACTTTGACAGTTTAAAATCTGTTTTTATTTGTGATAATTCAGTTTTCCTAATCAATTCTTCACAGGACAAGAATGCGTTACATCTGTTTTCTGTAAATGGCAAGTATCTGGGGTCTCAAATCCTGAAGGAACAAGTATCAGATATGTGTGTAGTTGGAGAACACATTGTCACGGGCAGCCTACAGGGGTTCCTGTCTATAAGAGATCTCCACAGGTAAATACTAAAAATTATTGAAATATCACTTACAAAAACGTGGTAGTATTTCCAGCCTAGAGTGGAAATCAGGAGTCGAACATTTCTAATCTTTTAGTTTAACATTTATTATAAAATATACCTCTTTTGATGACTGTGAAAAAATTGGGGATGCTAAAGTATTCTTGAGTTAATAAATTAAATGTATATATATAAGTATTATATAAAATGTTATATATATATATTTACCACAATATAAAAATCACTTTAAAAAATATTTGTAGGGTTAATATATTTGTCCATATATCTGTAGATGCGTGTATAAAATTGATGGGAAAATATTTTGTTATTTAGTCCAGAGAAGGAGAGGGAAGTCTAATAGTGGATCTGTTTTCAACATTGATGTTCTTCCTGTTTACTATTTTTGGCACATAAAGCATTGTTATTTCATATGTGCCCCAAATGCATTATTTTTTTTCCATTTAAATGCCTCAAACTATATTGGACATCCTTCCCCCCACCAAAAAACGAAAAACTTTTCTTGTAATTTCCTAGTCTAGGGTATTTTTATGTTATTGCGTCCATATCAGATTCACTTTTTTTTTTTTTTTTTGACAGGCAGAGTGGACAGTGAGAGAGAGAGACAGAGAGAAAGGTCTTCCTTTGCCGTTGGTTCACCCTCCAATGGCCGCCGCTGCAGCCGGCGCACCGCGCTGATCCGATGGCAGGAGCCTGGAGCCAGGTGCTTTTCCTGGTCTCCCATGGGGTGCAGGGCCCAAGCACCTGGGCCATCCTCCACTGCACTCCCTGGCCACAGCAGAGGGCTGGCCTGGAAGAGGGGCAACCGGGACAGAATCCGGCACCCCGACCGGGACTAGAACCCGGTGTGCCGGCGCCGCTAGGTGGAGGATTAGCCTAGTGAGCCGCGGCGCCGGCCTTCAGATTCACTTCTATAACAAAATCTCCTCTATTTTTATAGCTTCCTTCTTATTTTTGTCATTCCTTGTTCTGTGGTGGAGCATCAAGTCTCCATTCCATTCATGTCTTTCCCAACAGTTTTTTTTAACTCTTGGTTTTAGGGGATACTGTTAGGAGAATCTCAAAGTAGAAAACTCAGTGAGATTGTTTTATAGCTTAGGGCATAGTGTGTTGATCATAGGAATTTCTTATTAATCTTTAAACAAGCAGAGACATTTTTCTTTTTCTTTTTTTTAAGATTTATTTATTTATTTGAAAGGCAGAGTTACAGAGAGGCAGAGAGAAAGAGAGATCGATTTTCCATCCGCTGGTTCACTACCCAGATGGCCACAATGGCCAGAGCTATGCCAATCTGGAGCCAGGAGCCAGGAGCTTCTTCCAGGTCTTCCACAGGACATAGCAGAGAGCTGGATCAGAAATTGGTGCCCATATAGGATGCCAGCACTGCAGACGATGGCTTTACCTGCTACACCACATCCCTGGCCCTGAAACATTTTTTTCATAATGGAACATCAGACAAAGCAAACCCACCTCAAAATACCCTCCCCCCGACACACACACATAGTTTTTGAGATTTTTTTCCACATTATCCTACTTTTACTTATAAATTAACTCTATGAAAAGCACTTTAATTAGAATGCCTATGTGCTCAGTACTGTGAGACTGCCTCATACTAACTCTGAAGGATTTTTTATTTTTATTTCTTTTATTTTTTATTTTTTTATTTTTTGACAGGCAGAGTGGACAGTGAGAGAGAGAGACAGAGAGAAAGGTCTTCCTTTGCCGTTGGTTCACCCTCCAATGGCCGCCGCGGACGGCGCGCTGCGGCCAGCGCACCACGCTGATCCGATGGCAGGAGCCAGGAGCCAGGTGCTTTTCCTGGTCTCCCATGGGGTGCAGGGCCCAAGCACCTGGGCCATCCTCCACTGCACTCCCGGGCCACAGCAGAGAGCTGGCCTGGAAGAGGGGCAACCGGGACAGAATCCGGCGCCCCGACCGGGACTAGAACCTGGTGTGCCGGCGCCGCTAGGTGGAGGATTAGCCTAGTGAGCCGCAGCGCCGGCCACTAACTCTGAAGGATTTTAAGAATAGTGGGAGAGGGGGCAGCGCCGTGGCTCACTTGGTTAGTCCTCCACCTGCGGCGCTGGCATCCCATATGGGCGCTGGGTTCTGTCCCGGTTGCTCCTCTTCCAGTCCAGCTCTCTGCTGTGGCCTGGGAAGGAACTGGAGGATGGCCCAAGTGCTTGGGTGCCTGCACCCGCGTGGGAGACCAGGAGGAAGCACCTGGCTCCTGGCTTCGGATCGGCATAGCTCTGGCCGTAACGGCCATTTGGGAGGTGAACCAATGGAAGGAAGACCTTTTTCTCTGTCTTTTTCTCTCACTGTCTAACTCTGTCAAATAAATAAAAAAAGAAAATAGAATAGTGGGAGAAACAGCAATATCTTGTGTACTAATTAGAACAATTTAAAATCTAAACCATGTAGTACTGTTTATGTGTACAGGAGGAATTTTAAAGACATTAAGGATCTGAGTAGTCATAGGAGACTTGAGGAAGGATTAGGAATTAAAATAGAAATAGAAAGTGAGAGGGCCTTCTCTGGGAAGTAGAGGTAGACAAGCTTTGAGAAAACAAAGCACAAAGGCCCAAGGACAGCAATGTACAGAATCTGTACTGTACTTGATTTTAGGGCTAAGGTCAAGGCTAGACCACAACAAATGCCCACTGATAATCTGAGGTTCAGAATATGATGACTGTTACTAGAAATTTATTTCTACCTATTCTAGGAAGGACACTAAAGACAAGAATGTAGTTAATTTCCACACAGAACCCTATCTTTTTTTTTTTTTTTTTTTTTACTTGTGTCTGACTTTCCTCTAATCTCAGCTGTATCCCTTTGTCAAAGGGACAGGGGTATTTTACTCAGATAAATGATGAACCAGAAGATTTATAATAGATGAAAAGTTGAAGAAACAGAATAAGGTTGTCTAGAGAATAATAAAATGGTTTTTATATATTAGGCTGGTGGTTGCCGCTGTTGTTTGATTTTATGATTTTAGCAGAAAAACAGATGGCGAGAGTAGGGACCTCAATAATGCTTGTAAATGTACGTGAGTCACTTCCACTTTCTGAGCCTAAATTCCACAACTACAAAGTTAGAACACAGAACCAGAAGACTGTTAAGTTATCTTACAGGTATAATTTCTGTTGATTCAATATTAACACATGTAATTATATCTGTGTTTTTTAATTTCTCTTCTAGTTTGAATCTCAGCATCAACCCATTGTTCATGCGATTGTCTATCCACTGTGTTTGTGTAACCAAAGAATCCAGCCATATTCTTGTGGGCTTAGAAGACGGCAAACTGATTGTGGTGGGCGTTGGCAAGCCAGCTGAGGTAAAACCCAGCCTTGGAAACCTGACTGCCCGCACTGTCACAGAGTCCTTTGGTTCTCCTTTGTTCCAGCTGACTCAAAAGTCTCCATTGTGGATAAGCCAGTTAAAAGACAAATTTTATTTTTCAAAGGGCAGGAAGAAAAGAGAGAATAAAGCCACCACTTAATAATGTTTATATTATGATGCAGTTAGAAGCACAAGTAGTTTCCATCTATCACTCTTTATCAGTCAGAAAATTCTTTTGTTCCAAATTTAGATTCAGGATCACAACTTGGATTTTCAGTACATCCAAGGCGTTATAAAAAAAGAACTACAGTCTCAATAAAATTACTCATTTTAACAAATAGGCAACATGACAATAAATACATTATCCTTTTGTAAAACCATCATTTTTTGTTTGGAACTACATATATCCCCAAATAATGTGATTACTCTCAGTGAGTTTTCTGTAATAACTGTAAATTTACTTGCTATTGATTTGTCAGTCACTGAATTTCAGATATAATGAATCTAGTTATTATTCCTAGGAAAACATAGTGTCTATACTCCAAGTAATTTAGTAATTCTTCCAGAAATTGGTTTTATTATATAGAATTAAATTAAACATTTTAAATTTTTACAGTCACCTAATTTTTTCTGACAAATCTGATACGGCATTGGTAGCAGTCATTTCAAGAGAAGAAATTACTGTTTAATTTTTTATAAAATCTATAATGCATTCTGAGAATTTTTGTTTTATAAATATTTTAAATTTCTTCAATTCTTATAGTTTTTAAAGTGACTGCATTTACTTTCAGAAGCTACAGTCTCCCAAACAGTGTCAGCAATTCTATTTCATTGTTTCCTAGTTACTTAAAGCATGTTAAGCATGTTTTTATTGAACACTCAGGTATGCAGCACCCTCCTGTCCTCTGCTGATGTGTTGATTATATAGACTCTATTCAAACTTGACTCTTTAAGTGCATTTCAGCTGCTGTCATTTATTCAGGTGCTTTGTAAAATTATCTGCCCCCTTCACCTTAGGTACATTTGTCCGCTTCTGACTTTTCTGAAAAAGATTTTAACTTAAATTACTGTTATTTGCATTTTCTTTTTAAAATTGATTGGAAAAAACACCTCAGCAGTTTCATTTTCTAGGCCTAAATTAATGTTCTAACTATTCATCAAATAAATTTGGTAATTTTCCATCATTGAAAGATATATGTAGTCTCTAAAATATACAATCTTTGAATATGTCAGCTCAATTATATAACTAATTTAGCAAATTCAATAGTTAGAAAAATTTTGTATAATTAAATTATAATTCATTCTATAAATATGACAGTCTAGAATGATATAAATTCATATTTAGTTATGAAAAAATTTTCAAGATTCATTTTTATTTAAAACATCAGAATCTTGATTAATGTGTATTTTTAAATAATGCACCAAATTATTGTCAGTGTGAACTTCGTTTATAAATAAGATGAAAATATATCTTATAAATAAGATGGAAATAATGTTTCCGAAAATGCATCTGGAAATGGAAATGGACAACAAGCTTGCCAAAGGCACTGATGTCTTTGTATGAGGTGTATCTTCGATCAATCCAAGCATCCTAGGAACATTGTTGTTAAAGGTGGCAGGTGTGTGCATTGTGGTGCGGTTTTTTAGGAAGCTAATAGTGCCATTTGGAGTCCAGGTTACTCCCCACTTCCAATCCAGCTGCCTGCTGATGGGCCTGGAAGGCAAAAGATGATGGCCCAATAGCTTGGATACCTGCCACACATGTGGAAGACAGAGCCTGGCTCAGCCCTGGCTGTTGAGAGCATTTGGGGAGTGAACCAACAAATAGGATAGCTCTCTCTTTTAAATAAATAAAATTAATTAGTAACTGAAAAGCATGTAGATTGTGCTTGGGGAAAATAGTTACAACAGATCAGATGGGATTTTTTCCACCCAGATAGAAGTATAAGCACTCTTCAAGGATACTTAATTGTCTAATTCAATTAATGTTTAATTAATATTTGTTTTATGTTGGGAAGAATGGTAGGTGGTACACATTTATTAGAGAACAAAATATGATTCTTACCTTTAAAGGGCCTGTGTTTTCTAAATTTCTTTTTAGCATTCTTGATTGAATGATTACAATATTATTTTTGAAAATTCTTATCAAAATTATTTAAATTACTTTTTTATCAAAATATTATTTCACATTTTTTATCCTTATTATTGGCATTAATAGTACTTAAAATACAAAAAAAAAATCCCCAAATCATGTCTTTACTAAGTAAGTATAGTTTGAGAAGCTTATTTTTATGAAGTGGTACATATTTTTGTTGATTTATAAAGTACTGGTGACTGATGATTTTGTAACAGACATTTTACTTTTAAATTTACTCATTGGGATTAGACTTTCTCACTTGAAAGATCTAATCAATATAGAAATCTTTATTATTAATGAAGAATCTTTAGAGTGTTAATGATTATGCTAACAAAACCTATTCTGTATTCTACAAAATCAATGTCTTATGTATTCATTTTCTTTTTTCTTTTTTTTTTTTCTTTAACATTTGTTCATTTCTCTGGATTACTTTAAACAGATGCGGTCAGGTCAACTTTCTCGAAAATTGTGGGGATCTAGCAAGCGACTCAGCCAGATTTCATCTGGAGAAACTGAATATAATACACAAGATTCCCAGTGATTGTGTTTCCGTCTTTTGTCATGGATAACTGAAACCTGATTTATTCCTTTGCCACTTTAACACGTGTTTCAACTCTCTGAAATGTTTTAATGTTTTTATCCCTGAAAATCATTTAGGGATTACCACAATTTGGTATGGTACTTATAAAGACATAGGTTATTATTATCGACTTTTAAAATTTCTCATTAACATTCATGAATCCAGTCTTATCAACCAATTGTTGATCTACACTGATAGATTTGAGAAAATCATTTGACTCAATTTAATAGCCCATTTCTGAAGATCATTAATTTTTTTCATTAGACTCAATTTTTAAAACAAATTTCAAAATCAAGAAATTAGGTTAAGTTTACATATTCTAAATATAAAAATTCTAAGATATTTTTTCTAATAACAAGGTTCAGAAAATTATACAGTTGAGAGACATGACTAGTTAATCATTTTCCTATTTACTGACCAACATAGCCAATATATCAATTTATTTGTTGAATTCCTAATTGGAGGTATACTTTAAAGGAATCTATGGCACACTTGAATTTTCAAAACTCAGCAAAGTTCTAGTTTTATGTGGTAAGATTAAAATAAGAATATTGAAACTGATACATTGGCTCATTATACTACTACTTAGTGTCTTATTAATGAGAACCTACTGAGATGTATTATTTTTCAACACTAAAAGTTGAGTAGGAAAAAGAGAAACCAGAAATACATTTTTACATAAGTATTTCATTAATAGCAAAATTTTAAAATGTCTGTTGCCGATTTTGACAGTGGAGTCATTTAAGTAGAATTTGCAGCACAATTTACATCTGCAAAGTTCAGAATCTCGGTTTTTTTCTTTAATAAAAGCAAGTACTTTGGTTTCCCAGTTAGAGTAGTTAACAATCATATCCAAATAAGTTACTTTTTTACCTAGGATATCTGTGAGATTGATGGGTGAATTGAGAAGGTATGCATAATTTAAAGTAGTTGCTTAGATGTACTTCTAAAAAACATTGCTATTTCATATTATGTACAACTTTTTGGATTATGGCCAATTCTGTTATAGATAGTTAAATGTTACAGTATGCTTACAGAAAATTTTAACCTAAAGGCCTGATTGATTTAATTTGGAATTAAAAAAGATTGGTAAGCCTGTTTTTTATTGATCATCTTTTGAGTTAGGTCAGAGAGCTTTTACAACTACCAGTGTTATTAATCTGAAATTCTTTGGGTTTAGAATTCATGAATCCCTGAAATTGTGCAGAAAGTTGAATGTTAAATGCATTTTTAAGAAAGAAGGGTTGCATGGTTTTCTGAAAGGGAGCTGTGATTCCCTGCCTCCAAAACAAGCAACAAGAAATGACTCTTACAATAGCAGCTTCTTAAAATAGTAATACTCTTTGTTTTCTTCCACAAATCATAGCTTTCCGTAAACCCAGTTGTCTTCTCAGTGGAATCTTGGAAAAATTTTCTCATTGCAATTTCTTTCTCCAATTAACCACAGTATGCAGTGCCATTTTATTTATAATCCTATGTGTGAAATGAAGAATTCTTTTTGGGTAAATTTGTGAATAGATTTTATTTGCTATGAGTCAGGACTAATAAAAGTTACAGAAGATTTACTTTCCAATAAATTAAAATCCTATTTTACTTAGTAATGTTTTAGGTAAATGACACAGAAGTGAACTGGTGCAGTGAATGTAAAATAGACATATGTAAATATTAAGGGTCCTTTTCTGAGGACTTCAGGTGTTTGTGTTGTTAAAACTTAATTATAATAGATATCCCAGCCAGATGAATACTAGATGGTCAGGGGTGGGTGTTTAGCCTAGTAGTTAAGATGCCAATTGAGACACTAGTGTTCCATATCAGAGTACTCATGTTTGATGCCCTGCTTTGGCTCCTGACTCTGACTTGTAACTAATGCAGACCCTGGGAGGCAGCAGTGATGGCTCAGGTAATTGAGTCCCTGCTTCCCTTATGGGAGACCTAGATTGAACCTAGCGCAGTGTCAGCGGTCGCAGGCACTGGAGAGTAAATAAGCATGTGGGAGCTCTCTGCCTCTCTCTCGGCCTGTGTCTCTCTCCCTCTGTCTTTCCCTCTTTCCACCTCTGCCTCTCAAATAGATGTTTTTTAAAAACTTAAAAAAAAATACTAGATGTTCAAGATAATGAAATTATTCCTCTTATTACCTCTCCCAAAAAGTAGAAACAAAACTGTGGAATTTTTAGAATACTAGCAACAGTCTAGAAGAATGAAACTTAAATTTTATCCATTAAAATAAGCAAATATAGAACCATTAGCTGAGTAATATATTCCTCACTTTAACAGTATAGCCCTCTGAAATAAAAATCACTAGATGAAATCACTGGAAAGGGCCAGCATTTGACACAGCTGTTTGAGCCACCACTTGCAACACAGGATCTCTTATCAAAATGCCTGTTCAAGTCCTGGCTGCTCCTCCTCCCACCAGCTCCCTGCTAAGGAGCCTGGGAAAGCAGCGGCTGATGGTTCCATGTGCTGCCCTTATGGGAGACCTGAATGGGTTTCTTGGCTCCTGGCTTCAGCCTGGCCCAGTGCCGTGCACTGCAGCCATTTGGGGAGTGAAGCAGTAGATGGAAGATGCTTCTGTTTGTCTCTCCCTCTCTCTGTCACTCTGCCTTTGAAATAAATCAATCTTTTTTTTTTTTAATTTTTAAAAGTCACTGGAAGGATGGAATATTTATGTTATCCATAGAAGTTATTTCTATATTATATGATAGGAGAAATAAACAGTATCATCAGAATGGACTAACAGGTGAGCATGTAGTTGATCCATTTAGTATCTGATTGGCTGTTATGAGTCTGTTACGTTCAAGGCACTTTTCGTCTGCTTTTGTTTCTTGACACTGGTGATGGAAATAAAAATCTCAGTGTGTTAGCTATGAGGAGAGGGTTATACTAAGATGATGATTGGTACTTCTAGACAGTAATCTATTAAGCGAAGAAGCTTTATCAAACTATTTACAATTCAGTGTGTATTCTGGCATATCTTAGGTGAAATTGGAGGAGAGAAGGAACAGTTGATCAGGACTTGAGAATCAGGAAATTGTGTCAAAATGCAAGTTGGTCAGTTGGTTAGCCTGTGAAGCTTATATCAGTTATGAAGAGGTTCTATCTTAATTTCCTCTATGTGACAGTGCATTCATTTGTAGGAGAAAAGAATGCCAAGTTTTTATTTTGTCATCAGCAAGAACCATTAGTGAGATTTCCTTTTTGTCTCTATGGCATATCAGCATTATCCTTCAGCAAACTGGTATTGAAAATCAGTTATGCGCTTTTTTTTTTTTTTTTTTTTTATTTTTTGACAGGCAGAGTGGACAGTGAGAGAGAGAGACAGAGAGAAAGGTCTTCCTTTGCCGTTGGTTCACCCTCCAATGGCCGCCGCGGACGGCGCGCTGCGGCCAGCGCACCACGCTGATCCGATGGCAGGAGCCAGGAGCCAGGTGCTTTTCCTGGTCTCCCATGGGGTGCAGGGCCCAAGCACCTGGGCCATCCTCCACTGCACTCCCTGGCCACAGCAGAGAGCTGGCCTGGAAGAGGGGCAACCGGGACAGAATCCGGCGCCCCGACCGGGACTAGAACCCGGTGTGCCGGCGCCGCAAGGTGGAGGATTAGCCTATTGAGCCACGGCGCCGGCCTAGTTATGCGCTTTTGAAGAGAATCAGTGTGCCTTCATAATTAGAATTTAGATTTGAAGGTTGAATCTTAACCTAACACTTTTTATAATTTGCTTAAAGAGGAGTAGGCAGAGAAAATTAACTGAGATACCAAATTTTGATTTAATGATAATACAGACATAGTTCTTGCCTTAAATGCATTTTATATTGCTATCACTAAAGAAATCACTAAGGACATCTTTTAAATAGATTTAAACTTCACTGCTTTTATGTTTATATCTGTAAAATGAATGACATTGTCTTTACCACTGAAGACATGTTAAGTGCTTGAACTATATTAAGTGTAAATATAATAATATTTAATATAATATGTAATGTGAATGTGTGTGTGTGTGTACGTGTGTAAAGTTGATCTCTTAAAGTATACTGTTAAGCCTGTCTTAAGGATTCAGTTTTTGACTGGGTTATAGAAATGAAATATTTTATTTTTGCTTTGTAATTTTAATCTGATGTTTTCATTTATCATCCAGACTTACAGCTTGTTCTTCTCTTCAGCTGAAACTGTTTTTCCCCAACAAATGAGCAATCTTAAACATTTTTATTACTCTTAACAACTATCCATTCCAAATACTTTCTTTGCCTATTTTTACATACTTAGACACCCAACATTTGATTTGTTCAAACCTAACTCCATCCAGAACATTGTTCTGTAGTTTTCCTGTGTTTATCAAAGACATGGAGATACTTTTTCTGATGACTATAGACAGAAATACAGTGTTATCAGTCATTATATCAATATTATTTAAAATGTGGGCCACAGCCTTTGTTTAATTAAATCACATTTTCTAGGCCAGTGATTCTTAATTGAAATTGCAGATCAAACTTATCCTTAGGCTTTTTTTTTTTTTTTTTTTTTTTTTTTTTTGACAGGCAGAGTGGACAGTGAGAGAGAGAGACAGAGAGAAAGGTCTTCCTTTGCCGTTGGTTCACCCTCCAATGGCCGCCGCTGCAGCCGGCGCACCGCGCTGATCCGATGGCAGGAGCCAGGATCCAGGTGCTTTTCCTGGTCTCCCATGGGGTGCAGGGCCCAAGCACCTGGGCCATCCTCCACTGCACTCCCTGGCCATAGCAGAGAGCTGGCCTGGAAGAGGGGCAACCGGGACAGAATCCGGCGCCCCAACCGGGACTAGAACCCGGTGTGCCGGCGCCGCAAGGTGGAGGATTAGCCTAGTGAGCCACGGCGCTGGCCTTATCCTTAGGCTTTTATAAATATACAGATGTGTGGGCACTGCTTGGGACTTTTAGAATCCCTTTCATTGATGTTCTTAGTATAAAAAATTATTTCTCAAGATGATTATCTATAAAACTTGTGCTTTTGAAATTTATATTTATTAAATAAAAATTTTCTTTAAAAAAGATGATTTTATATTATACCTTAAGATATTTTCCTCTATAGGAAATAGTCCCATTTTTTTTTATAAACTAGATCTCATGTTCATAGCCTTCATTGTTATTCTGAGAGTTTTGTCTGAAATGTGCTTGGAGAGTTTTTATTATCTTTGTTTCTCATGCTGCACAGGCAACCAAATGCCCTTCTCAGTTGCATTGTTCTTCCCAAGAACACTCCTCAGACCTTTCACATTTGAAACAGATAATTAATATTTACCTCAAAAAAGTGTGTTTGCTAATATTAGTTCTTAGTGACTATCAGTGAATATTTTACACACTTAAATTGGGTAACATTTTAAATAATAAAAAGCACGAGTAACAAATCCTAAATTTAAAACAGAATTAGATGTCTTGAGGCTTGTAATCAATAAAATTTTTCTAATTTGAAAGCCTTGGATAACTTCTCTAGGTACTTCCAATGACTTTTAACAGGTACAGCTCTGTAGGAAGATAATCTTGAATTTGCAATAGGTGTTACAAGGTATAAAGCATTAACATTGAAGACACTGAGGACTAAAATGCAAATTATATAATTTCCTTTTAAAATCTATAAGGCCATCTGATAACACAGAAGTTGTGGGATTCTCTTCCGTGTAAGAACTGTGCATTAATGGCTTTGTTACCAGATGTTTTGCTGATGGTCTCTCACTGACAGTTGTCCCCTGTGGTGATTTCTATGCACACTGCAGGATTTGGCCTCTGAAGCTAATGCCTTCGTGCTAAGTAGAGGACACAGATTCAGTGATATTTACCTTTGTCTTCATACCCATAATCTTATGAACTGAAAATTCAGAAGGAAAAGAACAGTAGAAAGTCACTTGTTAAACATTTGTTTTCCATGGTACAGTTTTTGTATGTTTTTTTAGAAACTTAAAATTTTGCAAATATAACCACAATGATAATAACAATACAATTTTACCATTTAAAAAATGACCCATTATTGTTTCAAAGAGGACTGATAGTGGAGTTATGTGTGTTTCTACTGAAATGATGCCTATTTCATTATTTACATTTATAAGTTTTTGAGTATATGAAGTGATTAGCTGCTTCTACTACTATTATGTAGCATTGTAATAAGAAACAGAAAAGTTAGGACTTAGGTGTGATTCAAACAATTATACTTTACTGATTAACTTTGAAAAGAGAAGTCTTTTCAGTTGGATGTTTTGAAATTTTAATTTGTGACTAATATATTCAGTTTTAAAATTTTAATTTGGAACTAATATATTCAGTTTAACATGTATTAAAACGAAGTTTGGTGGTAGTGTATTACTAGTTAATACTGAAATGTCTTTTTTCTTGATGTTTTCTCTTCATAACATTTTCCCACATT